AATTAGCAATATATCCTGCATATATTTATGAACTTTGTGGAATAATGGCTAAAAGTCGAATTAGAGATCCAAAAGTAAAACTGACAATAGCAAATACTATTTTTTATTACCACTATTGAATCCTGTTACCAATTCAGTCCTGCAATCCTTATACAATGGACATTAGATTAGCTTTAATGTATGAATCAATAAATTTAATGCAATTTATTGTGTTGTGCTTGGCTCATTTAATAATTAATGCCATTATATATATCTTGCTAATTAATTTAAATTTATTAATTAATCATAAATATAAAGTAATTTGTGGAGTTAATTTATCAATATAGTGTTTTAATTGGGTTATATTTAATTTATTTTGCTTTGCTTTTTCCTATCAATTACATCTATAGAATAAACCCGAGAGGGGGGGTGGGGGTGCCATCTGTGAAAGGGGGGGTGGGGGTACCATTTTTAGGGGGGTGGGGGTTCCCTTATTGGGGGGTGGGGGTGTAGGGTTACTACTTGTGCTTGACCAAATAGCTTCCTGAACATTTTGAACAATTTGCATCACACAACTCACATGTCTCTGACGAACTTTCCCAAAATGCGTTATCGTTGCAGGCACATTCAGTTCCAATTTTAGATGCATTTGTAATGCATGATATGCAGGCTCCATCAAATGAATTACAAGATAAGCATTCTTTAGCCTTACAGAGCCTACACGTTTCTGTGCTTCTACATCCATAGCTTCCACAGTTACTTGAGCATTGAGTGCAGCCTGAGCCAGAGTAAAAGTACCCAAATCCACAATTGTCAGGACATAAAAGTTCTGAAGGGCATGATGAGCAACCAGAATTGCACTCACTTGTGACCCATTCGCTAAACATATAAGAATTCCCATTGAAAAATTTAAGACTCCAAAGAAACCCTGTAAAGCCATCATTGCCTGTTTGGGAGCCAATATATAAAGTCCCCAATAAAGAATCTATGAATGGATAAGCATTTGTAGAAACTGAAGAAGTGACAGCTTGGCCATCTGTATATAAATTAATAGAAGTTTTCCCACTTGAGATGTCTCCTGTGAATGCGATATTGTGCCAGCTTCCGAACAAATTTGACGATCCTGCACAAGAAACTGTTGAGGTGTCGCTGAGTTCAAGTACTAAAGATGCTGCGCCTACTGAGGTAAATGAGAAAGAAAACATAGAAGTTAAGCTGCTATCAAGCTTTACTAATAAATTTCCTTTTTCTGTAGATTTTACCCAAGCTGTTATAGTAAAATAAGGTGTCATTGTAAAGGAGCTATAAGTCACATAACAAGTACTTCTGAAATAGTATCCTCTATAAATTGACGGAATTGGGTCACTAGAATCAACATTAGGGTAACTATTAGAATTTGATGAGCCGACCTGAAAGCTGCTTATAGTGCCTAGAGAAATCAAATTTTGCAAAGATAATGTAAGTGCAGTCGTCGTAGATAGTGTGCATACACTAGAATCTTGACTATAGCCAGTTGGACAGTAGTCTAAACACATACCTGAAAGGAAATACTTTTCTAAAAGGCATGAGGAGCATTGATAATATTTTTCTCCTATGCATGTTGAGCATCCTTGAGAGCATAAAACACATGAAAACCCATCTGAATAATATCCCTCATCACAATCACAATCATTATTTTTTGATTTAGAAGCATTCAAAACGCATTCTGTACATTTGCCAGAGTCAAAGCCAGTGCAGATTGAGCATAAAGGATCATAGCAAATATTACAGGAGGAAGCTCTAGTGCACCCAAAAGAGCAGATTCCCATACAATTTTGGCACTCCATGCTGGAGGTCGAATAGTATTGACCAAAATTACAAGTCCCAAAGCAAGAATTTCCTCCTTGGTCACAAAGTTCTGTTTCTGTAAATTCATTAGAAAAAGATATATAGTTTGTATTCCATAGCTTGAAATTGTATATAAAGCCATTGAAATTGCTCGCTCCTTTGCCTAAATAAAGGTATGATGAAGATGATTCTCTAAAAATATAGCCTGATTCAGTCATAGGAGTATTAGAAACATTGTTTTGATAAGACGTGATTGTGGTCGCATAATTTGAGAATGCAACTGTATAAGAAAGCAAAATTCAAATTCCTTTATTTAGATCGGAAAATAAAATGGTGACGTTGGCTGAAATTGGAATCCGAGGCACCCTAGGAACAGATAGGGCATATTCTGATGGAACTGAAAGCAGGACTCTATCCCTTTTTAAAGTCGGTCTCAGGCTTGGGGATGCCTTGCTGAAGAGGGAAGTTTTGTTTCTCCCTCTAAGGTTTTCTGTCCTTGGCAGGTAGGCTAGACAGGTTTTACCTACTACATGGTCTTCCCTTGTTGGAGCCATCAAGGCACTCTATAGATGGTGGCTCTGCTCTACGTACGGATTTGATCCTTTGGGCAGGTCGTTCAGATCTGAAATCAGGCCTCTTCTATTTCCCTTTTGTCTCGTGGGGCGATGGAGGCTGTTATTTGGAACCAAAACGAGGCAAAGGCTAGTGGGATTATCCGCTTATGGTCAGTTTAACAGTTTAATATAACTTTTATTTATATCAAAAGAGCTTGAACTGACTGTTATTGATTCCAATGATGGGCTTTGCAGTTGCAAACTCAATACTCCTGTCCCTTGTATATTTAATACATAAACTTCTGTATCTCCTTTACTCATCAAATCTCCAGTTCCAGATATTAAATAAGCCCATAAAGCTATCGAAAAAGTATGAGAAAGAAAAATGGGAGAGCTTGATTCCAAATAAGTCCCAGAAAAATAAAATCCTTGCTTATAAGAAGGAACTGGATCTACCTGCTCAGCAGAATTAAAAAACTGATAAGAAACTGAGCTGGTTCCTGTTATAAAAATTCCATAATTCCCTGAAAAATCTTGATTGAAATTTATATCAATAACTGGATTTGATGTACTTATACAAGGAGACAAGAAGCCATATGGGCAGCCTGCTAAGCATACACCATCAACTAAATAAGAGGGTGATGAAATGCAGACTGAGCAAGAAAAGACTCCGCCACCAGCACAAGTTTCACAAAGTTGGTCACAAAGCTGACAACTGGCTGCATCTGCATAATATTGAGAAGCACATTTACATTTGGATCCATTTAAATTTGCTCTTGCTACACAAGATGTGCAGGTTCTGGAATATGGATCGCAGGAAGCGCATAATTGGTCATTGCACATGGAGCAATAGTTTGCCTTGGAGCAGTCTCCTATAACTAAAATGGTATAATTAATTATTGGCTTTGTCCCAGTAAAAGCGATTGTGATAATATTAGCTGATGATAGTGTTGCTGGTGACCCATTAATCATTATTGTTGTTCCTGAGTTTGACAGTGTAAAAAGAGTGTAAGTCTCATATAGTTTGCAAGCTCCAACTGTTGTAGCTGGATTAAAGTTGTTCACTCCTCCTACGAGTTAGCAATTTTTTTATACTATTTTTATTAAAAAAATAAAAAGTTTTTTTGCAAATATTTGATTTTAAAAAATAAATATAATTTATAGAATGAGGTAGAGATCTTGCTACAGCTTGAGCATCAATATGAATTGCCCTGCTTTTGATTCCACCAGCTTAGCAGAAGTCGACTTCATTTGGCAGGTCAATTTTCATTTTGGCAATTCTTAGGATAGAGCGATTTGACAAATTGAGGCTTGGCTTGATAACTGAAGTTGATTTCACAAGCTCTCCATATGGACTGTAGAATCAAAGGCTTGAGCAATCCATGTGGATGCTCAAGCTTAACAACAATTTTTTATCATATCAAAAACATTAAAAAAAAATTTTTATATTTTTACCTTAAGGGTTGATTTCCCCAAAATAGGTTTTCATCTCTTTTTAAGGGTAAAGTTAGAATTGTAAAAGCATCTGCTAACTCCACAGTAAATTTTCTTTGTACTGTCCCATCGTCACAAAATCCAAGAATCAATACATAATTGGAGTCTCCAGTGCTAATTGATAATGAAAAGGAAAAACCATTGCTTTCATACACAAATGTTTTGGCAGGTAAAGTGTTAGTGTAATCCGTATTAGAAATAGTGCTGCAGGTCAAGCTGTTAGAAGCTGCGCTTGGGTTATATACCAAGGTGTCTTCAGATATTGTCCAGGTCTCTGGAGTCATAAGCTGAGCGGTGCTTCCTCCGTTTTCGAATGACATGACAATATCAGATGCGGACAAAGATGAATCTGCTGGGTTTAAAACAAATAAAGTTCATCATAACAAATATCATAGCGATAGACAGAAGGGAAAAGGCGTCCAGAACTTAACCATTTATTTATTGTAGGAAAGTTCCTATTTTCACTTACAATTGAGAGAATAATTTAATGTTAATAGATTTCCATTTTTTGATTTAAGATAGATTATTATAGATTATTCACCAGATTTAATTATTGATAATACATGACTTTTTTTTGAATCATTCCTCTGAGCGCTGACTAGGCATTTATCATCTTTGAGCCTTTCAAATAGTGAATTTTATTTGGATTTCAAGTCTTCTTTTTTCTCACTACATCTTGGTATTATATCAAGGTCATTTTTATGCTATCAGTGTCACAAAAGCTAGAATCTATGCAGATCTTAAATTAATGCTAATAATTACCGCGTAATTAATATCTTGCCGCTTAAGAACTGAAACTAAATGATCTGCTGCATAGAGCAAGCTTATCAACGATCAGCTCCAATTTTTACATTTGGATTCAAAATCTCAAGAATATAACCATTTTTGCAATTTAAGAGTCTGATTTTGCGCAGCCATAAGCGGACTTACTATGCAAATACCTTAAATTCAGACAAGTGGTCTATACTGTGTCCATATAGGAAATTTTAAATGGTCACAATCAAAATTTCTAAGATTTTTTTGAGGCTGGCTATTCCTTCTTATATTATAAACAATATTTAGAATTTAAAATAAAATTTACTAAAAATTGATATTTTTGATGTTTTATAAATAAAAAAATAATCAGCTTATATCCTTTAATTTATGTTACATAGCATCATTATTCAATTTTTCATTTTCATCAGCCCTTAGCCTCTCATCGCTACCAATCACAGCTTGATTTCTATAAGAATCATCTTCTCCTTCAACTCTAACCTCTAGGTTCTCTTTCTCTGTAATTTCAATAATGATGTTACTTTTCTTCGAGTCATTTAGCGTTTTCCTTGACATAAGTTTTAATTCTTTTCTATTAACATGATCTGCTTCTATCTTTCCAAGCATAAATTTAAACAAAAGAGATATATCCATTCCAGTTTCTGTATGTAATAAAATGGTGACCTGAGGAGATTTTCTTAACTTCACAGCTAATAAGGCTAGAAATAGTCAAGAATTATGGTTGGTACTTGCTTCTATATATTCAAGTAAGTCTTCCTTAGTTCCTGCGATAGAAATCGAGCCGCTATCTCCTTACTCCCCCCCCCCTCCGTGAGCGAACAAAAAAATTTTGTTCGCTCACGGAGGGGGGTTAATTTTTTTTTTTAAAAAAAATTTATATATAAATTTTATAAAAAATATTTTTTTTCGAAATTTAAAAAAATCCTAATTTGCAAAAATTGGGAAGCAAATATTAATTTAATTTGCAAAATTTATGTTTTAAAACGCAATTTGTTTAAAATTAAACAGAATTAGCTCTAGATTTCATTATACTAATTATCACTTATATATCCAAATTTTTTTCATTAAAATTTTTTCTATTAAAAAAAATTTTTTGTTCACTCACGGAGGGTGGGTTTTTGGTCAAAAAATGGCGATTTTTCTAATGGTTTTGTTCGCTCACGGAGGGGGGGGGGGGAGTTAGGGATCTAAGATCATTGGCCCCGAGATATCAGGGTTTATCAGCATAGGATTTAAGTCTTTTACTTGCAGTCACTTTAGCAACTGTCAGGCTCCAAAATTCACCCCTTGGATCAAGCTATTTTTAATTCATCCAAAGCAGGGCTGCAAAAAACATAGCCCAGCCGCTCAATACTGAAGCTTCTAATAAAGACAAGGAGGATGAAAACCTCACTTGTGCACACTGATGTCGCCTTGACCTAGATTGACTTCTAGAGAAGAAAAATACTGCCAGCTCACTGTAGTAGGCGAACCATAATTTCATTTTGTGGGCATCTCAAAGTGAATAAACCATCTGGCGAGTCCCAAGATGACTGTGCCACCAATACGGCTCTGAACTGTCTGTTAATTTATTAAAAATTAAAATTAAGATCCACTTTCTGTAATAATTAGTGATGGTAGTTTTTTAGCTTTTAAATATCCCAAAATAAATATTACAGCTCACCCAATGAGTTGACAGCATATTCATGGTGTAAGATTTCCCATGACTACATTAGCTATCGATGTCCAAAATACAGATCAGGCAACCATTAGCATTGATATGATCAGTATTAACTCCCTCCCTTTTAGGCAAGCCAAACTTTTTGCTAAATTAATTAATTTTTGAAATTTCATATTTAGAATTAGCTTGAATTTAAATTTCAAAAAATCCAATCGGAAATATTTGAAAATGCAAGCTGACTATAAATCATATATTTTATAATATTTTTTTGTTCGAAAGTTAAATAGCTTATACGCTAGAATTTTTCCAATTTTTTCTTATTCTTCACAATTAAATATGGAATGTATGAGTCAGGGGTACAGTCCCCTATACTTGTCCTAGTGAGGGAAGTTCATTCTTTCTGAAGGAAATCAGCGTTGGGACTGCTCCGGCAGCCCCAAGTGTACTTGAATCACATTCAAGAAACAAAGAGAGACTCGTCCGGGCCAAGGGCGACTGTAACGGTTCGACGGTTAGGCCGATTCCACCTACCGTTGTTCAGAGCTGTTCGCTAGTGGATGGAATTCATGGAGGAAGGGCTTGTATTGTTAGATCCTAAGCTAAGTGGGGGTCGACAAAGTGTTATCGTAATCTTAATCTTAATCTTCTTATTCTTGAGGATTAAGCAAATTTTATCATAATTATATGGCTTCACAAGGTAAATCATTCATATGTAGATAGAAAAAAAAACAAAATAAAGAAATCCATGAATTTCAGGTTGCCAAAGGCCAATAGTTTTTTTGAAAATCACAAAGAAAATTTGAGCAAAACTCTTTATCACCAAATAGCTTGGCATAGTTTTTATATGCAATGATTCTTGGACATCTTGATACACTGGACGATAATAAATTGTTAAAGGTACATAAACAAAAATTGTGAATAAACACAAGAACACGAACAGTAAATGTTTATCTTCCCAGCAATATTGATAGCAGTCTTTATCCAAGTAAGTGCCTAAAACACTGTTTCCAGTTGTATGGGTGCACGCAAAAATATTTAATAAAAATAAGAGTATAGGGACAAATAAAATATTTCCGAGTAAGGGCATTAATATTTCTAAGAGGGATCTGATATTTGCTAAAAAATTAAATATAAAACAGTTTCTCAGCTTCGTCATTGTAAAAAAATTCAAAAATACCATCAATCAAGCTATGCAAATGGTGATAATCATCTGGATCCAAAAAGCTGTTCTCTTAATTGATGTTAATTTAGAAAAGTCTAGAGATGCCATATCACTGGCATGCGTAACTGCAGAGTTAATTGAGAGTATTGGTGGGCCTAAATAAAGATATTGGAAAAATTCTACAGCAATCTTAATCTTAATTACGAGATTATCAGCTGCTAAGCTGTTAGTTTTGACGCAGTCACCCAGACCCGAAGGTTCCTCCGCTTTGCGACGCCGCCTACAGGACTCCAACTTAATGGCTAGCCTGTTTTGTTGAAAGTCTCCTCCTTGCAAGCTACAACCTTGCTCCAGTTTTGAGTGGGCAGATTTAGGAATTCTGCGGCCTGCTTGAGACTGTGGGATACAAGGTTGTCCACACAGAAAACCCAAAAAAATGGGTGTTCTGGTCGACTTTCGGCAAAAAGGAAAAGTGAAGCCCAGGCCAAACTCCTGGTTTCTCGCTAGCGGCATGCCCAATGGCCTGGGTGTTCCCTGCAAGCATAGCTGTCGCCTCCTTTCCAACTCCAACCTCCTTTACCCTTGAGGAAAAATAAACTCCGAAAGCGGACTAAGGCTAGGCTCCTGCCTCCTGCGGGAATTGCTAACCTAGCGTAGCTGCCCATTTCTTCGTTGGTAAAATCTTGCCGGATATACGTTAAATAGGGCTCGAGACTGCTTGGCGAAGAGGCCAAGCCTAAGTTGAGACGCCATATTTAAAGTATATGATTCCTACAGCAATCACCGAATAAACCATCATATCAGCGAATTTTAGCTTCTTGGTTTTCAGTAATTTGGGTATATATACTTTTTTATATTTTTTCCATATTAAAAATGAAATATAGATTGAAATAGAAAAAATCGCAAAACAAATCCCAAAGAAGACCCCAATGCCTTTTTCAGAGTGACTGGTAATTTTTTCCTCAAATGGGCAATCAAAATTTTTATCTCTCATATCGTTTGGAGTTGTATGAGAATTTCCAGGTCATGTGATTTCTTGTATTTGCTCGAAAAGTACTTGTGTTCCTAAGTTAACTATAGTGACTGGGACTTCATAATAAGTCTTGTCTGTTTTATTGTAATAAAAATTATTGAAATTGATAGATGCGTAGTTTCTGTTATTGCTGTTAGATTCAATAGAGATCAGTCCACTGCAGCTAATGAACCGTTGCTTTCTCAAATTTTTGTTTAGTAGTCAAGGATTTTCTATATCACTTCCTTGATTAATTGTATAGTCAAGCCCATGAGCTACTAGCATAAAAGCATCAAAAGAGTAGCACTTATAGCTTGGAGGATAAGGATAAAAGGCTTGAATTATTTCTTGCTTGATTTTTTCTCCATAGTTTCCTACATATTCATTGATAGAGCCACTAAGAGATCCATCCATCAGGCTTGTTCTTTTAATTACATGTTCATCGAGGTCATTAAAAACAGGCCCAGACCCTCCAGCTTTGCTGGTTACAAAAAGAATTATGTCGCCTTTCCTAAAGCCTACATCGTATAAACCCTCAATTGCATGCCAAGCATACGGGTTCCCTAGAACTAGCAGACAAATTCTGACTTTTAAGCTATAAATATGTTTAAAAATATACTTATACTGTTCAAAATCAGTCCTTAACTCCCCCCTCAGTGAGCAAACATAAAAATTTTGTTCGCTTTAGAGGGGGTTAATTTTTTTTTAAAATTTAAAAATTCCCAATTGTAAAAATTGAGAAGCAAAAATTAATTCAATTTTGCTAAATTTATGTTTTAAAATGCAAGCTGTTTAAAATTAAACAGAATTATCTAGTGATTTCTTTATTTATATATTAATTATTTTTTTCATAAAAATTTTTGTTCTCTTACGGAGGGTAGGTTATTGGCATAAAAAATAGAGATTTTTCCAATGATTTTGCTCGTTCACAGAGGGGGGAGTAAGTAATTTTGAGGAATTAATTTTTTGTTTTCATCATTCATAATAGATACTCTTACTCTCCCCAACTCCGTGAGTGAACAAAAAAATTTTGTTCACTCGCGAAGGGGGGTTAAATTTGTTTTTAAAACAAATTATATATAAATTTTATAGAAAAATATTGTTTTCGAAATTTTAAAAAAATCCTAATTTGCAAAAATTGGGAAGCAAATATTAATTTAATTTATAAAATTTATATTTTAAAAAGCAATTTGTTTAAAATTAAACAGAATTAGCCAGAGATTATTATACTATTATCATTTATATATCATTTTTTTCATAAAAAATTTTTGTTCACTCACGGAGGATTGGTTTTTACCCAAAATAGAGATTTTTCCAATGATTTTGTTCGCTCACAGAAGGAAGTTAGTGAAGCGAATTCGTCATAGAGTTTTTTATATAAAGGGTAATTATAAGTATTATTTCCAAATATTACTGCAGCATGAGTTCAACCAAGATAAGAAATAATTTTAGCTAAATTTGTTGCAATATAGTCTCCACTCGTTGAGATTCTCATATATTCAGGATATTCAGTTTTATTTGACAAAAAAGAAACCACAGTAGAAGCTCCGCAGTGAGGTATCTCAACCCCTAAGCCCCTAAATGCATAAATATATCCAATAGCTCCAATATCAAAAGAAGGGGAAAGAAAAGCTACGCCAAGCTGATCTTTATATTGCCTCATACACGTATAGTAGAATTTTAGATCAAAAATGCTTGATCCGCAATTTGTCTGAAATTGAGATATATAAAAGTTTTTCAGAAGAGAGGTTGAGTTGTTTATGACTCATTGGGCATATAACGAGCCTAAAAAGTTTTGAGGGTTGTAGATATTAGTAGATCCATCTGGCTCAGCCGACCCTGAAGCAATTGAAACAACAATTTCAGTTTCTGATCTTTTTGGGGTAATTGCTGTGTTCCCAGGATAAAAAAATGTTGAATTGAAAATTGTAGCGTTTCAGCCTTCAATTTGAGCTTTTATAATTTTTTGGCTGTTATAAATATTTACTACCGAAAATATAGGCAATTTTCGGTGCTGAAAGGTGTTAGACTCAAATAATTGTCGAAGGAGAAGTGAATCAATTTGAATGCTGGGGTATTTTGACTTAAAATCTAGGATAATATCAGTAAACTGTTTTATTGCCAAGATTTCATATTCAGAATATGATTGAGCAGTTTCTAGTCCTTTTTCGACATATATTGTAACTCCATCCTCAGCAGGTGCTCATATAGCTGTGCTTCCAACTATAATTCCTGCCCCTTTTTTGTATATCTTTTTACTTTTTAATTTTTCAATAAATTTTCATAATCCATATCCTTCTTCTAAAATAAAAAATAATTGAATCCCATTTGGCTTAATAATTTTAGAAATTAAATTTTCTATGCTTTCATCACTTATGGAGTCAGGGAGAACTAATTTTTGGGAAACTTGGCTTCTGTATTTTGTTTCAACATTTAAGGCTAGTTTTAGATTTATTGGTGACTCATTTGAAATAATGGCAAAATTTTTCCACTCAAAAAAATCTATTATGAATCCCGCTGCATTTTGATGTTGGTCAATAGAATTATGAATAAAAAATTGTCATTCGCCATAGGAGTTAGAATCGAAATTCAAATTAAGATTGACTATTTGATTTCGCTCTGTATAATGATAAATTATGCTGCTTCAATATACGTCAAAAGTGACATCTATAGTGATAAAAGTCTGCTGTGCTTCTAAAATATTTTCAATTGTTTGATTTGCAGTAATCTCTACAAACTGAAAGTCAAAATAATACTCATTTTCAAAAATAGAGCTGGGCAAATTATTTTTCAGGTCCGAAAGCAGATTTATATTTGTCTGCTGAGAATAAAGTATATAAATTAGTAAATCTCCTAATGAGTACGATAAAAGGATCAATGTAAGATAGCGCACCGAATTCATTTTATTTATTTTTTATTCAATTTCAGCTAATATATCGCTAATAATTAATTTTGTTATTAAATTGCCATAAATTTTGCTAAAATTAAATTGCTTAATAGTATAAGTATCGTAGGATATTAGGAAAATGCAAGACAATAGTATTTGCAAGTAGAAAATGTTTTAGTGACAGAATTTATTGCGATAAATGTCAAAAAGATGAGCAGCAGCCAAAAAGGACCCTAAGAATGGACTAGCAAAAGGAAAATCCCAGCTAAAAAGGTTCCAGAGACCACCAACTTTACTAAGGACGAAATCAAAGAAATCAAGGAAACCTTCGATCTCTTCGACTCAGTAAACTCGGACCATCGACCCTAAAGAAATTAACGCAGCATTTGCATCTCTTGGCCAAGACAGAACTCCAACCATCTTCAGACTTCTTGCAGGAATTAAAGAATTCACTTTGATGACTTCTTAAGCCACATCAGCGAAAGACTCAGCCACAGAAATAGCAGAGAAGGTATCCAAAGGATTTTCGATCTCTTTGATGCAGACAGATCAAGCTCAATCAGCATCAAAAACTTAGCTAGAGTTGCCAGAGAGCTCGGAGAAAGCATGACTGAAGAAGAACTCCAACAAGCTCCTACTAAAGTTTCTGCTGATAACAAAGCAAGGAGTATTGACGACTTTTACGATGTTATGACTAAGAAATTTATTACAGGTTTTAGAGATATAATGCATGTGTTTTAGTCGAAAGATGCATAATGTGAGCTGCATCTGTTATTTTACAATTACCAAATTGTGTACCACTGTTGGAACTCAAAATAAAGTAACAACCTCTCTTGCATAAGACTTAAATCTCTTAAAATTCCATTTTTACTGATAAAATCTATTTTTATCAGAATAATCATTTTTCGACCAGAAACCAATAGTAAAATTCTGGTCAATTTAAAATAGACTTGCTAAAATCATTTTTAATTTCTATTTTTTTAACTCTTACAAAATCATCTACTTTCTTATGAATATTAGCTTAAAGATATCTAATCACATTGATTGTAAACTCCAAACATTTAAAAATATCATTACTCAAAAAATAAAGATGTTTGCGATTTGCTAGGTCAATTAATATTAATAATCAAGAATATTGTAACTAAAAAATATAGTCTTTCCCATTCTTCCAAAAGATTCCTTAATTAAGCCATTTTCTCTAATGTTCTACTAATATATCAAGGCATTCACAATAATCATTCTCTATCATACCTTCAAAATAATATTAATTATTAAATAAATGGGCTAACATTTCATAATGTGCGGTATGTTCATATTTAAATTTAATATGAACACAAATTCTATCCAAATCCCAATTTTTGTGCTCACCAACATCAACACAAGCTCTTTCAAACTATTTGGGAAATTCGACACTCCTTCCCCGCGTAGCGTCTTCAACACCAAGGATTTTTTCAACGACGAAATCGAAGACACCGAAATTTGCAAAATTTTCATAGAAAATCAAAGAAAATGCTCAAAAAGCTGCGAAAAATTCCCAAAAAATATCAGCCCTGACGCAGAGTGCTCAATTTGTAAGGTAAAAGTAAAAGCGAGTTTTAGACAATTTGGGATGTTGAGTGACTGTAATGATGTGTTTTGTTTGCCATGCATTAGACAATGAAGAGGAAGAGGAAATGTGAACGCTTCAACAGCTAAAACTTGCCCAGTTTGTCATAAGAAAAGCAAAGCTTTAATTGCGAGTGATTTTTTGGTTTTTGGGAAGGAAGACAAAATGAAACTTTTAGGAAATGAAGGGGACTTATGCAGAAATCTTTTTAAAGGAAAATTCTCTTCAGAAAATGGTTCATATGATAGTGAGATATTTATGCAAAAGAATTTTTGCAGAAGCATGAGTTAAGGTTATTTAATGCTTAAATATATCGATTTTTTATATATTTTTTTATATATAAATTTTAAAAAAAAATAAAAATAATTGAATATGATTGATATTTTTATGAAAAAGGTATATTTTCTTTAATATTTAATAAGTAAAAATAAATTAATTTATATTTGTTTGCAAGTAAAAAGCTCTTTCAAGGTCATCAAGTAGTGAAGGCTCAATTTCAAATTTCGGGATAAATTTCACGACACTCTCAAATGGCATATTATTAGAAAATCTGTGCAGTGTCGTTTCCAAATTTTCCCCCAAGACCGACTCTTGGCTCAAATAAAATAATGCTAAGCATGTTGATAGCAAAGCTGGCCATCCTTGGACTAAAAAGAAATCCCAGATCCACTGAACCACTTCAATAGGCACTCCTTGCTGTCCTAATAAATGAGTAAATACAGTCAAAAGCCAAGGTGTTACAATCAGACTTATAAATAAAATGGCGCAGCTCTAGAGAAAATATTCTTCCTCATGAAATTTTATTATGAGTTTGGTTTTCTCTCGAGAACCTCTGCAGGCTAGCGTTGGGATAAACAGAGGAACTGCTCCATAGTGCAGCTGAGAGGCTCAGAGTTTCACCACTCAGAGCATCCGAGGAGGATGACTCTTAGGTGGAACACGCGTATTAGCTGAGCTTGGTGAGAAGCAATGGCTAGGATGGCAGGCAGTTTATTTGGGATGGCCCGGCTTTTTGGATCGGAAATGCTCGTGAAGTCACCATCTTAGCTCTGTCCCTTTAGTGGGAGTGTAAGAGTATAAAGTTAGACGCCTTAAATACTCATATTAAAAAGTAAGTAAGTTACAATCACATCTAGATTTATATCAAGATCTTTAAAATGTTTACTCCCCCCATCCTTGATCGAACGATTGCCTGTAAAAATTCCTAAAACTTGGGGAAATTAACCCCCATCCTTGATCGAACGATTTTCATATCATGCAAATTTTTTATATATATAAAAATATATTATTTATCAAAAGCCTGGGAAGATGTACCTAATGAAGTTGTTTCAGAGCTTTGAGACGACAGAAAGCTACGGAATCAACCATTTGAAGTGATTTCGTCATCAACCTAGGCTTAAAAACTTAATAATCTAATAAAAGAGAGATTCTTTAAAATTTTTAAAAAAAATAATTTAATTCAATAAGGAATAAATTAAAATTTATACGGTTTAAAAGGGTAACTAATAAATCAAAATATTACAAACTGGTATTTTATGAAATTAATTCAATTTTTTGCTGTAAAAAATTTATTATTAAATACTCTTAACCCTCTTATTTAAAAGTAAATAAAAAAAATATATATATATTATATTTTATATATAATTTTTTTTTCCCAAAAAAAATTTTTTTTAACCCCTATCCTTGATCGAACGATGGCGAGTTGTTCGATCAAGGATGGGGGGGAGTTAGCAAGGTAAGGCAATTTCAATTTCAATAAAAATTCCAACTGAAAAATCCCAAGTTTGAGCCTTGAAAATCCATTTTTCCAGAGCTCGCCAAGGTAAAAAGGTGGTCTTAATAGAGACATAAGAGTCCCCAAAACTTCGTCAGTGTCTCTTAAAATCCCCAATAAAAAATGTGTAACAAGCTGCATGCCTTGGCAATACCCCACATCAGGGTTTAGGGCGCATAGGCCAATTAAGACTTCTTCTACCTCTTGTTGGTGGTCGACTAAGCCTCTATTTACATCTTTGCTGATTTCTTCCATTATTTCTGGGTAGACTTCATGGCCCATTCCTCCTACCCTCATCCCATAAAAATTTCTAATATACATTCTTCAGCTAATTTTTCGAGGACAAAGGCTCACAGTTCCTATACGCCTCCACAAAGATTTTGTAATAAACGCTTTAGCGACCTGGTCTTTAAAATACAATGAAACATTTTGTAAGACAAGGAGGTCTTTAAATGATAAAAAATCAATGATATTTTTCCAAATTTTGCTTAGTGTGCGGGATTGGTTGGAAGATAAGTTACTATAAAGATCTTTTATATGGTCTTTGAGAGTCCCAATTTCTTTATTTTTTTCGCGTAAAGAGTTTTGCAAACTTTCTTGTTTTTGCCTTAAAAGTCGATTTTCAGCATCTACAGCTTCTTCTTGGCGCTTGACCATGAGCATAGCTAAATTAGCTTCTCTGACTTCTAAAGCCAAAATCATTTCATTAATTAGTCCTTCAATTACTTCTTTTTCGAGCTCATTTCTTTGTAGAGTTATAATTGATATTTCTTTTTTTAGCGAAAAAATATTTTCATAATTATTTTAAGGCAAAATAAGAAAAATATTTTTTATATTTTTTTGACCCATTTTAGCATTTCTCTGGCATTCTAAAAGATCAGAAATATCTTGCTCAGACTGGCTTATTGTTGTAAGTGTATCCCAATATTTTCTCAGCCCAATATGACTGCTTCATTCCTTTACCACCTCTGCTAGCACATTTACGCTGTCAACTCATTGCTCTCGTTCAGCGCGACTATTAGAGCTTAACTCAATAAGCCTTTTTCTCGTAATAAGACGAAATCCGTATACTTTATGATTGTAATCTCCTTTAAGAAGCACAGCGGTCAGTTGATTTGAAAATCCAAATTCAACTGCTAATATATCTGTAGTAAATATAAATTTCGAGTTTGAGCGGTCTTTTTCGAGGATTAATTTTTGGAGAGAATCATTGAAATATGGTGCAGGCTTTAAATATTATTTTATAAAAAAATTTTATATGATTTTTTTGATAGAAAATTGCTAATAAATAATGATTTTATATATAGTATTTTTTATCATAAATAAATATTGGATAGAGAATTATCAAGCCTTGAAATAGATTCGACGCACACTTCTGTGTCCATTTTTCTGATACTTGATGAAATAATGCCCTCGCAGAAGGGTTTTTAAAGATTCTTTTGAAAGAGGTCGATCTTCAGCATAAGATAATGCAAGAGAATTTTCTTCCATGCTTCTGTCATTGATACTGCGAACACTGCGAGCTGATGTACTTGTGGAGAGTGAAGGGGTAGCGACATTAAGGAGATCCATTTTTTTATATGCTGACTAAAAAATAATATATTATTTATTATTTATCTATTCCTTATTTCTATTGAATTCATTTTATTATTTATAATAAATAAATTTAGACTATTATCTATGGAATAGTAAATTTTCATTTAAGTTTTTGAATATTAATTCTGGCATAAAATAATGTGATGCTTGGATTGCTAGGAATTTATGATGATATATCAGTAATATAAATTAATTTTATTTTTTTGAATTTTCAAGAAATGTAAAATTACAGTTACAAAGTAAGGGATGAGGTGATAAATGGTCGGTTCTGATTTTTGGATTACAAAAAGCTTTGATTCAATCATAATTTTACATTTTTTTACTTTGAGAACTTTATTTGATACTTTAAGCAGCGAATCTATTTTAAATTAATCTCGTAAGTAAGAAAATTATTTAATGTGTATTTTTTAAATCCCAAAAGATTTATTCTTTTATATTAATTTTTATTTACCAATTTAAACTTCGTTTTAACTCATCTTCTTAAAATATTTATCTTGACCAAAATTAATTTTTATCAGAATTATTCTTTTCTATATTTTTATATGAATTTCGCACAATTTTTTATTAAATGTCAACTAAATTTTCCTTTTAACTCCCCCCCCTCCGTGAGTGAACAAAAAAATTTTGTTCACTCACGGAGGGGGGTTAATTTTTGTTTTTTTAAAAAAATTTATATATAATTTTCATAAAAAATTTTTTTTTTTCGAAATTTAAAAAATCCTAATTCGCAAAATTTTGAAAGCAAATATTAATGTAATTTTATAAAATTTATGTTTTAAAAAGTAATTCGTTTAAAACTAAACAGAATTAGCTCAAGATTTCATTATACTAATTATCATTTATATATAAAAATCTTTTCCATAAAAAATTTTTCTATTAAAAAAAATTTTTGTTCACTCACGGAAGGTGAGTTTTTGGCAAAAAATAGGGATTTTTCTAATGGTTTTGTTCACTCACGGGAGGGGGGGGAGTAAGAGTTAAAAATACTTAAAACTTCTATCTGAGCAGGTGATGGTCTCAATTACAAATTTATTTTATGACTATTAAATTGTTGAAATTTATGGCTTTTTTCTGCTAATAATGTCTAACATGACGTTTCATGATGATATATGGTTCAGCTGAAGCAGTGTTGCATGGGTTCCGATGTTTTGGTGCACATTCTATAGGATCTGATGTGAGAAACAAAGCACTTTCGTAAAAGAAGCGGCATTGAAAACAGACACAGTCGATACAATTTTTAGGATTTTACTCTGGCCATCCGCTATTTATTACATAGCCGACTCAATCAATCTCATGTTTTTTGCAGAAGCCATAGATCAGTGCAAAATTTCATTTTTTGTACATCACGTTGTCACCTTAATTCCCCCTTTAAATTGGAACAAAAATTCCTGCCTTGATTAAAGGGTTAACATATATTTTAAAAAACACATTTATATTTAATTTTTTTTTTTAAATAAAAATATAAATTGAGAATACTTTGAATTTTAATTTATTCATGAAGAAATAATTAATTATATGAAAAATGTTCAAATAGCATTCTACTTAAAATTAGATTAAAATTAGTATTTTCATCTTTAATTTTTTCTTTAAAACATTTTTTAAAAGTTTTACAAATATAAATTGAACACCAACTTTGAATTTTAATTTATTTTATGAAGAATTAAATAAAAATATTAAATTAAACTGTTTGCTTTTTTTTGTCTATTAAATTAGGTCAAAACTAATTTTATAAATTTTAATCGTTAAAATTTTCCTATTGAAAAACAAATTTAAAGAGGGTTAAAAGTACCCCAGAAATGCAAATTTTACCGATTTTTTGTTCCAATTTTAAGTGGGGAGAATTAGTTGGGGCTGGCTCAGCATTGACAATACCTCATTATCCATGATTTTTAATGCTCCCTTTTGCATTTCACTGCTTTCTTATGATGTTCCCTCTGATTGGGTGACTAAATTACATTTATTTGGCGACTGTCTTTAGAAATGCTTATGGGCTGCATCAAGCACCATATATAGAGATCGCGAAGTACAGACATATATTATATGTAGTTTACTTACTGTTAGTTCCATTGATAATGCTGTGGGGCTTTGGATGTTCAAACGAGAGAGAATTATCATAATTTACTTACTTATAAGAATTTACTAATAAATCGTGTCTTCTTTCCAATTTTAACCATAATGAATTTTTGTGTACCTGATAAATAAAATTTATGCAATTTACATTAAAGTAAATTATTTTAACCAAATAGCTCTATACATAAAATTTTAATTTTTTCAGTATGAGTTTCTTATAATACGATTGCCCTAGCATCCTTTTTCTTTCCAATTACTTTTTCCTCACTATCAAGAGATATTATCAAAATTACTGCCTTAAAAACAAAACTCATTAAAAATCTCCATTACTTACAATCAATCTTAATAAATGGCTGAGACCTCATTTCGAGCCAAAGCTAAAGAAACCATCCTTGAAATCCAAAAAAAAATCACAGAATCTCTTGAAGCTATTGAAGGAGCCCCATTTCTTCATGACAGTTGGGAGCGTCAAGACCACAATGGACATGGCCAAGCCAATGTCTTACAAAATGGCCGAGTCTTCGAAAAAGGAGGTGTAAACGTCACAGAATTAGAGCTTCCTCTATCCCCACCTCTAGCCAAATACATGACAGATAGAGGCAAAAACATCGATTTAGCCCGAATTTCTGACTATAAAATCTACGCAACAGGCTGCAGCTTAGTCATCCACCCAAGAAATCCAAATTGCCCTACAGTTCATGCAAATTACAGATACTTAGAAATTACCTTAAGCGGTGAAGTCCAAGTCTGGTGGTTTGCCGGGGGTTCTGATTTAACACCTTATTATCTAGATGAAGCCGATTGCACTTTATTCCATACTGAGCTTAAAAATGCATGTGATTTTGCTAGTCCTGATTTTTATCCCCAGTACAAAACTGAATGTGATAATTATTTTATGATTACTCATCGTGGATTCAGAAGAGGGATTGGAGGAATTTTCTTTGACGATGTAGATTGCCTTGATAAAGAAATTTTAAGGGAATTTATTGCGAAATGTGGAGATGCATTTGTAAGAAGCTACCCAGAAATTATTAGAAAACATATGGATGAGCCTTTTACAAAAGAACAGAGAAGGTGGCAAAAAATCAGAAGAGGCCACTATGTGGAGTTTAATTTGGTATAGGCCCCTTCCTATAGATGGCGCGCAATACGCCATCATCGGGCCATGTCGGGAGAGGGTTCTCCACGAGGAATAGTTCCACGTGTGGAACCCTCTTTTTCCCACGAGCCAAAAGAGAGGGTTCCACACGTGGAATCATTCCTCGTGGAGAACCCTCTCCCGACATGGCCCGATGATGGCGCATTGCGCGCCATCTATAGGAAGGGCCTATATATGACAGAGGCACAAAATTTGGTCTGGTCACTCCCGATGCAAATATCGAAGCAGTTTTAATGCCTTGTCCTTTAGCAGCTAGATGGGAATATAAGCATAATATAGCTCCAGGGTCTCCTGAAGAAAGACTGATGGCTGCATTGGCAACTCCTAGAGACTGGGTAATCTAGGTAAAAACATAAATAAGTATGGCTAAAAATTAATAAGAAAAATGACTGAAGGCATAGCCTATGAAGAAGACCAAGTAGTATGGGCAAAAATACGAGGCTACCCATGATGGCCAGGCGTCGTAATTTTTATACAGATTAGTAAAACTGAAAAATCTAATTTAATAAGGCCAGTTGACGATATACAATACACAGTCAATTTCATTGGGGAAAATACACAGTAACTTATAATCAGTGCGTCGTTGTCAAGCAAATATTTAAGTGATTTTGAAATGCTTTACCCTCAGCATTCCAAACTAAAAGGCAGAGCCCCAGGGAATAAGTGGCTATTAAAATGCATTGGAATTGCAAAACAGCTTTCTGATGGAATTTTAAACGTTTCTAATCTCCCAAGTATAAACCAAAGTCTAATAAAGAAAAAACACAAAACTAAAGCGGCTGAAGCTGAAAACAGCCAGCTAGCAGAGCCAAATTTTAAACTTGAGCAGCTAAAGACGCTGCTTGAGGAAAAAATTCACAGGATCAGTGAGCTCCAAATTTCCACAAAATCAAAAAAAACCACCAATATTTTGGCTCGACATGAAAAGCTGCTATCAGAATTCACTGAAGGGCTTAGTGATGAGGATGGAAAAGTCACTGAGATCTGTAAAAGTCTATCTGAATTAATCGAACTTGACATAAATGCAAAACTGTTAGCAAAAAACCCAATTAAAAAAATAGTAAAACTGTTGGCGAATTCATGCCAGAAAAGTGATTGTGAAGTATTAAAAGAGCTTGCTGAGGTGGCATTAAGGCTGAGGGAATATTGGAAAAAAATCAGGGAGATAGGAATACCAGTAGAAGGGTGCGAAAAAAGGTTTAGGACAGAAAATGATGAAACTTATATAGCTGATAAAAGTTTGAGGAGAAGAGTCTGCTGTAAAATTGCTAAAGTGCTAGAAAATAATAATTTTGCAATAGAAAAAGCACAAGAAATCGCCTTGTCTATTGAGAGAAATTTAAGAATGAAGGATCCTTCTATGTCTTCTAAGTATAGGAACCACTTCAGACTTATGATAAAGGATATTAAAAATATCAGTCCAGCAGCTTACAGAGCTGCAACTGAGACCCATTAGTTTTGTTTATAATTAAATGTGTTATTACAGACAAAAAAAAACTTATTTTCTAAAAAATAATTAAAAAATTCAAAATTTTGCTACCCAATTTTCACCAGAAATAAAAAGAATTTAATATTTTATTTAAATTCCCAATAAACTATATTTATTAATGGGAATTTGTAAATCTACCTGTCTCTCAGAACGTCCAATTGAGATTGAAACGTTTCAGCCTGATGAATTTGTGGGCTCAGTTCTTGGAATCCGCACAAACACTGACACAAAACTTGAAGAATTCTATAACTTTACTGGCCAGACCATCCCTTCCGAAATGGGAATTATAAGAAAAGCAATGTCCAACCTAAACCAAAGCCAAAAAGTCTCCATAAGAAGCGTTTATAAGCGAAATTCTGAAGAAAATTTGGCTTTGCTTAAAAATGAAATTAACGTGCTCAGCACACTTGATCACCCGAATATTGCAAAAATTTATGAAGTTTTTGAAGATGAAAATGTTTTCCATATCGTGATGGAAGATTGTGAAGATTTTGGGCTACTCGATGTGATAAGAGATAGACAAAAATTAAATGAAGATGAAGCGGCAAGAGTGATTAAGCAGGTTTTGCAAGCTTTAGACTATTTGCATGAAAAAGAATATGTGCATTTTGAAAATTATACTGTTTTTATGTGAATTTTGGCATATTTTGATAATGAATTATATCTATTGAAAATTAATTTGGAAAATATAAAATTGGCAGAAAACCAAGTAAAATTAGTCGATTTCACGAGAGCTGAAACCACTAAACCACACAATAAAAGGAAAATTTCTCAATATAATGGTATGCAGCATTTTACCTCTCCTGAAAGTTTTGATGGAAAATTTGGACCGAAAAATGATTCTTGGGCTGTCGGAGTGGTCGCCTACTACTTGCTCCATAGGGTGCTACCATTTGACGGAAATCGGCAGCCTGAAATTTCTAAGAAAATAATTGACGGAAGATATAAAAAAAGAAGAGAAGAAATCAGTGCTCAGGCATTTGATTTTATTGCGAAACTGCTGGTGGTTGATCCACAAGGAAGGCTGAGTATAAAGGACGCGCTCAGCCATCCGTGGCTAAAAGAAGCGTTTCTTAATATAAATTAATTTGAATTTTTCTGATAATTTTTGCAATTATTTATCTTAAAATATACTACATGCGCTGCAGCATATTGTATTTGACCTCCCAGCTTCAGGCTTTTTGGTTTCATTTCCGTCTTCAACAGGCAGCATATAATGTGTTTCATCAGGCTTTTTAGGTGATCTAGTAGCCCCACTATCAGGGACATCAGACCCGTCAGGCATTATATGGAACGACAATTCTCTCTTTTTTGAAGCCCGTCCTTTATTTCCTGCCAAAACGCCTTCAGTATCATCAATAACGACACTCACTGATTTTTCGCCTAAAAATGTCAATAAAACCCCTAGCAAGCAGGCAGATTTCCCATGCACAATGGTCGATTTTCCAGTGCTGAACGTGATTCCATGATTTTCGAAATTTTTGACTAATTGTGTTTGCAGTATTAAATTTCCTCTAGCGTCAAGCAAATTAAAAGGCAGACTATTAGCTCGCAGAATTTGTTGGCAATACACGCTTTTCTTAGCGAATTCTTCTTTTGTGAAGACAACTGAGTTATTGAAAGGCAAATAAGGGTGGTTTGATTTGGTAATCTCAGGAGGCTCGCCTTCGTCGAGCTCTAGACCTATTTCTTGGCATACTTTTAAGCCACCGATTAAAATTCTGACTTCATCAACACCAGTAGCTTTGAATCCTCAATATGCTTTACTGGCATAGTTAAAGGAGCCGTCGTCATAGCAAATGATGGTTTTTTCTTCTTCGTCAAATTCAATACTGCGTGCATCTTTGATAAATTCTTCTGTGTCGTCTGATATGTAATAAATATTCTTATTTAATAAGAAATAGGTAAGATAATTTTTATATATTCTAATGGCGGACTAGTAAAAATTAACTTAAAATCAGCCTAGAGCAGTATATATTAAAGGGTATTTCAATAGATATTTATAGATTAAATATTTTAAGATAAAAAATTGTCTTATGTAGCTAAAGGCCAATTAATATGGAGTGAATCGGTATATAAGAATTTGGAATAAATGAGTTTTGGCTATTTGAAGGAGGTGAGCAGAAGACTATATTGAAGTTCTCTGCAGGCTGGTTTGTGAATTCTTGGACTGAAATTAATGGGTTCATTCGAAATAATGGATTATAAAGTCATTTTGATTAATTTGTTAGGAATGAAATAATTTGAAATATTGGTATGATGGGTATTTATAGAAGAAGAGAAAAGAGACATTGCTGCCTCTATAGCTCAGTTGGCAGAGCATTTGCTTACTTTCCCTTAAATTTTAACAAAATATAGTTAAAATTCCTATTTTTGGGTGCTTTAACCCATTTAAATTGAGCAATTTTTTCAAATATGAAAATTTTTTATGTAAAAAAATGCAAGTAGAGTATTATTTAACAGTTTTCACACTGAATCGATTAATTTATTTAATTAATTCTTTATAAAAATAAATTTAAATTCAAAGAGATATTGGGTTCAATATCTATTTTTTAATTTTTTAAAAAATTTTAAAAAGAATTTTTTTCAAAAAATTTAATAAAAAATTATCCTTTAAATTTAATAGGATTTTTTTTTTTCCAATTTAAAAGAGGGGGTTAGTAAGCAAAAGGTCTCCGGTTCAAACCCGGATGGAGGCTTATTTTTATTGACTATAACGTGATTATGAAATTGTGCTCAGATCAAGCAGATTTTATGATTTTATTAGGAATAAAAATTATTATCATATTATTTAAAGTTTTATTATCATTACTGACAATTCCAGTTAAAATTAAAAATTTTAGTATTAAAAAAGATTAAAATATAGGATATTTAATAAACTTATAGAGGTTAGAGATAATAGATTTAGCTTGATATTACTTTATTTGCATGCATATGAAGGATTTTTTTAATGCAAAATAAATATCGGATAAACTTAAGAATTCTTTAGTAAAATTTTATATTTTATTGCTAGTCTTTTAAATTTTTATTAATGCTCTGGCAATATCATATTTGATTCATCTTTATTAACTTCTAGATCCAAAAATCAAAAATGCCTATTTAAATATATAATAAAAAGGCAAATTGCTTCTTGACCGATTACTTTGAGTCAATAATCTTTTAAAGATGAATGCCAAATCTTATAAAACTAAAAATAACAGTTTAATATTTTCTCTGAGCTTTTCAGTAATCCTTAGCCTAATATTGAACATAATAAGATTTGCAAGCCTTAAGAAGCTCAATTTCTTTTAATAAATAGCCTATAAAACAATTCAAGCTTATTTATAAATGGGTGCTTTATACTCAATATTTCGAGATACTCTCCCAGGCTCCACTGCCCATTATCTTAACCTTAAACTTGCAGACTGAAGCACCCCTTTCACCCCAAGCAAAGACTTAGAAACTGAAGTTTGCGGAATTAATTTCCCATCTCCTATAGGAGCAGCTGCAGGACTTGACAGAAATGGAGACTTCCTCGACCCTCTATTTCGCTGTGGTTTTGGCTTTGTCGAAGTTGGCTCTGTTACAGCCTCAACTGAACGAAAACAAGGCCAAAAAACAGAAAAAATTGACTATCAAAACAAAAAATGCATACAGGAAAATGTTGATGAAAAACGAGGAATCCTATGGATTGTCCAAAAACTGAGGCAAAATGCAAAAGGACCAAGAGGAGCTAATATTATGCCGTCAAACGAAACAATTACAGCGCTTCCTTCTATATGTGACGATGAATTTATATATTGCATTGACGAAATTTATCCATTTGTGGACTATTTTACGCTGAATTTAGCAGCAAATAGAGTAAACAAGTTACAGTTATATAGGAAAGAATCTAAGTATAGGGATTTATTTAGAAGAGCGGTTAGGGAGAGGGATATGCTGATTGGGCTGCAAGTGGCTGCAAAGACTGGGCTAGATGTAGAAATCCCTTATAGATCAAGAAGTTTGATTCCTCCGATTTTTGTGAAAATTGATAATGAAGGTTTTGAAGCGAAAAATTTTGTGAATGTTTGCAAAGAAGAAGGGATTGATGGAATTATTTTGTCAGGGACTAATGAAAAAGGGGAAGGAGGAGAAATCTTACTCTTTTGTAATAAAAATAATTTTTTTTTAATAGTTTTATATGAAATATATTTAAAATTAATTAGAAGATTTAGCAGAACAAGCTATAAATAAATTGAAAGAATTTTATCAATACACAAAAGGAGACATTGCATTGATAAGCAGCGGTGGGATTATGAATGGCCAAGAAGCTTTAAAACGCTTAAAAGCAGGAGCTTCTCTGGTCCAAATTTATTCAGCTGTGAACTTGGAAGGCACCCAAATTGTAGGAAAAATCACACAAGAGCTTGAAAATGCTTTAAAGACAGAAGGCTATCAAAGTATCAAAGAAGTCATTGGGAAAGCTTTTAAATAAAAATGCTACTTAAATCACTAATATTAGCATTATCCGCTAAATTCATCAAAAAAAACTTCAATATTTAAGAACTAATCCATTTATAAGATTTCATAATGGTTGAAGATCAAAATTCTTTATACCCAATAGCCCTTCTAATAGATGAACTAAAAAGTGACGACATCTCAAGACGTATAAACTCAGTCAAAAATCTCCCTATTATTGCGAGTGCTCTTGGTTACGAAAGAACGCGAAATGAATTGATCCCTTATTTATCTGAGCTTCTTGACGATGAAGAGCTGGTCCTGTTACCACTTGCTGAAATTCTCTCAGAAATGGTGGAATATGTAGGTGGGAGAAACTTTGCTCATATTCTTTTTGAGCTATTAGAGCAGCTTTCACAAGTCGAAGATTCTTCAGTGAGATCTGCAGCTTTGAAAAGCTTCAAAATCATATTAGGGCAGATTGATACTTCTAAACTAGAAGGATTAATTATAGGAGTTATCAGAAAAATGAGTGACGCTGAATGAATTTCCTCAAAAAGTGGAGCCGCTCAATTAATCCCTGCAGCAATTCGAGGGATGTCTCCTGAGTCCCAGAACATTATGCTTTCAAACTACAGAGAACTTTTAGGAAACCCCAACCCATCTGTCAGAAAATCAGCTGCAGAAGGGCTCAAATTATTGCCTATCCTAGTCCACCCTTCCTTTGAAAACAATTTAAATGAATTCTTAGGACTTGTAGCAACCGACAAAGATGACACTGTCAGAATACTCGCCGTTGACGACCTACTATCATTTTGCTGCAGGGCGACCCCTGCCAAGGTAAATTCCACCTACATCCCAGTGCTAAGAATGCTTCTAGAAGACAAAAGCTGAAGAATCAGGTATTTACTCTGTGACAAAATCGCTGAACTTTGCAATATTTTGCCTGCCGAGCACAAAGTGGGGCTTCTCTTGCCTTCCTTCGTGAAATTTCTCCAAGACAATGAAGGTGAAGTCAGGACTTCCGCGTGTCAAAGGCTCTGGGATTTTTCAAAATTTTTGACTGTAGACGAAATCTCTAATAATATTTTGCCTGTTTTAGCTCCACTTGCTATAGACGTCGACTACGTAAAAGCGTCATTCGCTACAAATTTGACGAAACTTTCTTCAATTATAGGGAAACAAAACACAAATCAATATATAATGTCACTCTTTTTAGACCTATTAAGAGACCCTTCCCCAGAGATTAGAATTTGTTTATTTAATGATTTAGAAGGGCTAAGTAATGTAATTGGAGCTGAAAGTCTAGCACAAAGCGTAATGCCAGCGATACAGGAGCTTAGTGATGATAAACAGTGGAGAATAAGGAAAAAAATTGCGGAATGCATACCATTATTGTGTAAGCAGCTAGGGCAGGAATTTTTTGAGACACATTTGAGCGGGGTCATGAAAAAATTATATGGCGATACTGTGTATTCAGTGAGGGAAGCTGCGATTAAGGGGTATAAAGAGATTGCAGACTTGTTTAGGACGAGCTGGGTGGAGGAAAAACTGCTTGATGAAATTTTAGAAGGACATAGCAGTGAGAGCCATATTAAAAGACTGTCGACCATTTTTACATTATATAAGAAATAATGAATTTAGCTTAAGCTCATGATCAATTTTTTTATTTTTAAATTAAATTAAGAGGATACACTATATCTACTGATTTAATATAGAATAAAAGCAATTATTGGGAATATTTCGCCTGAAAAAATCATATCCACTATAGTCCCAGTTTTAGTAAGACTAAGCTCAGATGCCGTTCCGAACATTAGATTTAACTTGGCAAAACTAATAAAAGAGATTTCCCCAATACTAAAAGATGCAGGCACAAGAGATCAAATTAAAACTTCATTGAGGATGCTGAATAAGGATGAAGACAGAGATGTAAGGTTCTTTACTGACCAAACTTTAAGGACTTTTGGGTAGTTGAAATCTAATAATAATTTAATAGAAAATCATATATTTCTTATAATTATAACATGGGCTATGAAGAGTGGGAAAAATACGCAATTCTTACCAAATCTGCAAGACAATTAATCCAAAAAGAAGAATATATCCCGGAAATAGCAGAGCCTGTCAAACCTGAAGAGCCACCAGCTTGATCTGCATTAGTCCTAGCAGAGCTCGAGAGATACAAAGGAGAATCAGAAAACTCATACAAAGCTTCTTTAAATATGCTGTCAATTCTTGAACAACTCAATATAGTCAGAGAAAAAATGCTTGCTCAGAGCAAAAAATTAAATTCAGAATGCTCAAACCTCTTAAAAGAACGTGAATATTTAGTCAAGCTAAACTCTGAGCTGCATTCAAAACATTTTTATTATTTACATTTAGAATCACTAGAAAATCAAATTGAATTATTGGCAAATGACCCAGTTACTTCAAGGAAAAAATTCTTGGAAATTTTAGCTCAAATTGAGGACGGGATTTCTTTTTTCAATGAAAATCCTCATTACTTTGAAAGAGATGACTATTTAAGGCTATATAAAGATCTGCAAGTTCATTGGGTTGATAAGTTTGCAAACTCGTGCGCAGAGCAGCTTCATCTGTTTTATTCACAAGCTGACAATTTTTATAAGAAAGTGCCGAATTTTGAAGAAATTGAAGCGATTATACAGCATTTGAAGTCAAAAATTGACCCAGAAAATATCTATGGGTCTTTGATAGAAAATATCCAGACAGCTTATTTTAGAATCAGAAGTCGGCATTCTTTATTATGATAATTGTGCCTGGTTAATTTATTTTTATTATTATTTTTTTATATAAAATAGAGCTCTGGCGAAAAATATTATTGAAAAAATTACTTTTTTTAATATATTTACAAAAAGCTATCAAAAAGAAGCAAAATGAGCTGACAAATATCCCACAATCAATTGTCGACCATATAAGAGTTATCTGTGAAATTATCAAAACAGCTTGGAAAAAAGAAAAAGACTTATTTATAAGCTACTTCACAGCTGAAAAATCAGAAGAGTCCTTAAAACCTATAAAGCAACAAATGAACAGTTTATGTGTCGGACTTTACGAAAGCTGCCGAGAAAAAATGATCCAAGAGCAGAGCGTAGACATCCTTTGTGAGCTTGCCTTAATGATGAAAAGGGACTTTATTAAAGAAGATCTCACTCCCCCCCCCTTTAAATTGGAACTAAAAATTTTGTTCCAATTTAAAGGGGGGTTAATTTTTTTTTTTAAAAAAAAAATATAAAAATTTAAAAAAAAAAAATTTCAAAAACTTATCGAATTAGATCAATAAATTTGTTTAATAAAACGCTATTTACTCTTTATCCTTTAAAACAAAGCAAGATACAACTAAATTTTCATTATTAGTTAATACGCCACTATTAATTGGTATCAAAATTATTTACACAAAAATTATTATTTTTATTGATAAAAACAAATTAAAAAAAAAAAAATTTTGGAAAATTTATCGATCAAAGTGCTAATTTTGTTTAAATAAGATGCTATTTATACTCTATTCTTTAAAATAAAGCAAGAAATAAGTAAATTTTGAAAAATTTATAAAGAATTCCTATTGAATTTATATCAAAACTATCCAAATAAAAAAATATCATTTTTATCAAAAAAACAAAAATTTTTTTGAAATTTTTTAAAAAAAAAAAATTAATTTTTTTTTAAAATTTACCAATTAAGGATAATAAATTTATTTAAATAAGATGTTCTTTATACTTTTTTCTTTAAAAACGAGCAAGATATAAATAAATTTTTAATTTTAGTTAAGAAGAAACATTTAACTTATATCAAAACTTTTTAGATAAAAATTATATATAATTTTTTTTATTATAAAATTAAATTTTGTTCCAATTTAAAGGGGGGTTAATTTACCAAAAAAAGTGGAAATTTTTACCGATATTTTGTTCCAATTTAAAGGGGGGGGGAGTCAGCATTTTAGTAAGAATTTACCAAGACATCCAAGAAAGATTAATATATTCAGTGCAGCTTTATATAAATGAGAGCATAGTCCCATTAAGGTCTAATGACGAAAAACACCCAGCTCTTATAGCCCAGGAGCGATTTTTGATCGCCCTGGGCTAGAAGAAGCTCAAAAACTCCCCGAGTTTGGCTTTCACTCAAACTGGCAAACTAGGGGAGTTGAAAAATACGCTTTACATGAGGAATTTATCAACTTGAGTTGAAAACAAACTTGGGGGTTTTCTGAACCTTCTCCCTAGGGCGATCAAAAATAGCTCCTGGGCTATAAAATTACTACAAATTTACTATCAAAATTGGTGATTGGGGTGGAAAACGAGATTTTTCAAGGTCTTGCCCAAGAAGCTGTTAGCCTGTGTTTGTCAGCGCTGAAAAAATCAATGCCACAAGATGATTTTATTGACGGCCACGCATTTCTTATAAAGCATATCCTGCTGTTAAGGAAAGAAATCCTTGCCATGTCAGAAATAAACTGCTATACAGTTAAAGAGCTTGATTTCAGCGACACAAAGCGGCTGTTTTGGAAACTAATTATGGGAGAAGTTTCTCTACAAAAAGAAGGGGTTTTAGCAGAAATTGTAAATTCTGGGGCTCCGAAATTTATGGAAAGCAATTTAGATGTGAGGAAAATCTTGGAAAATGAGCTAAAAGAAGCCTGCAAGAGTTTTGTCGTGAAAGTCTTCCATGAAATAGCGAATCCAATTATTATTTTCATTATTCGAGGGAAAAAATTGGGTTGCTTTTATTATTCAAAAAAAAATTACAAGAAATTTATATAGAGAATATGAAAAATTTAGAGAAAAATAGCCCTATTTTGCCATATGAAGAAGCAGAAGCTGCACTTATGGAGAGCTCAAATAGGATTATGGGAATTTACCCAAGTTTCAATAATGCACTGCGAAGTGTATTGGATGAGAAAAACTACAAAGAAGTCCTCAATTCTGCAACACTACAAATTATGAAAGCATTTAGGCAGCTTATTTCATACATGGAAACTCATTATATCGGAAGGCCTTTACCAAACTTGATTCACATACAAACTTTGCTTCAAAGTAATTAAACTCTACCATAAAAATTGATAAAACAATATTTTAAAGCTTGATTTATCCGTTTCCTTTTCAGATTTTTACTAATCCATATTGATTTTGCACAAAATTCAGTATCCTTACCAATAAATACTGTTGTTTTTGCTTCTTAATAAACCTTAAATATGAATAAAGTTGTTTCCAAGGTTCTTAATAGTGTCTTACTATAGCCCCCTCCCAAATATTTTTTTTTAAAATTTATTTTAATATGTCTCCATATTTTAGGAAAAAAAATAGTAAAGTTAGGAGACTTCATTGAAAATCTTAACCCAGATCAACTAAACTTATCAATATTCAGCGGAAAAGTGTCCCTAGAGGATCTTCGTGTAAAATCAGAAGCATTAGATAAGCTCGGTTTTCCTTTTAAATTGGGAAGTGGCTATGTAGGGACTATCCAAGTCTCAATACCATGGACTTCGCTGGGCTCAAGTCCTTTGAAAATCATCATAAAAGATGTAATAGTTTTCCTGCTGCCTTATCCAAAAGCAAACTGGGACGAACAAGAGCAGCGGACAATCAATCAAAAATGAAGAAGATCTCAAATTGATAAATTTGAGATAATGAATTCTGAAGAAGTTGCTGTAGCCAGCAGTCCAGGAATGATTGAAAAATTATTTAGAAAAATCGTGGATAATATCCAGGTGGAATTAAAAAATGTGTATGTAAGGTTTGAAGACACAGAATCGTTTTCGCAGAAATTTGCAGTTGGATTGAAAATTGAAGAAATAAGCTGTTTTACATGCAATTCTAGCTGGGAAAAACAGTTTATGGAAAGCAATTTAATTTGCTTTAAATTGATAAACCTGAGGAATTTTGCGATTTTTTCAGATTTTGGAGAAAAATTTAATTTGGTAGCTTTTGAGAGCTATTTATAGGGAATTTTTTTCGTGTGGCATTTTCCCTAATTTTGGTCGAAATTTTCTTTGTGACAGTTAAAATTCTATCAAATGTCTCATGAGGAAAAATTTTTTGACAAAAAATTGCTGACTTCCCCCCTCTATGAGCAAACAAAACCATTGGAAAAATCTATATTTTTTGGGTAAACCTGCCCCCGTGAGCGAACAAAAATTTTTTATTAAATAAAAAATTGATAAATGAGTGATAATTATTATAATGAAATTTTATAGCTAATTCTGGTTAATTTTTAAAAAGCTTGCATTTTAAAACATAATTTTTTCAAATTAAATTAATTTTTGTTTCTCAATTTTTACAAATATGAATTTTTTAAATTTTGAAGAAAAAAAAATTCTATAATACATAAAATTAACCCCTCCGTGAGCGAACAAAATTATTGTGTTCGCTCAAGAAAGGAGGGAGTGAGAAAATCTACATGAAGAAAATGCTAATAAATTGAATGGAGCCCTTTTGAGCACGTTCCTGGGATGGGCGAAAAGCAATCCCTTGAGCATCTAGCTCAGCAGGAATTCGCTGAACAGATAAATCATCGATACATAATTTCTCCAGTCTCTTTAAGAATTGAGCTGATTATGAATAAAGACGCAAAAGATACTTCAAAACCTCAGTACTCTGTCAGCATTTCTTCTGAAAAAATCGAAGCTGGCATTGTGGTCACCCAAATCACCCATTTTATCAAGCTGGGAGAATTCATATCTCAGTTCTTTAAATTCAGAGAAGGAGTTGCTAACCCCCCCTCCGTGAGTGAACAAAAATATATTGTTCACTCACGGAGGGGGTTAATTTTTTTTTAAAAAATTTATATATAAATTTTATAGAAAAATTTTTTTCGAAATTTTAAAAAAATCCTAATTTCAAAAATTGGGAAGCAAATTTTAATTTAATTTATATAAAATTTATGTTTTAAAACACAATTTGTTTAAAATTAAACAGAATTAGCTTGAGATTTCAATATACTAATTATCACTTATTTATCAAATTGTTTTTCATAAAAAATTGTTTCTATATTACAATTTTTGTTCACTCGCGGAGGGTGGGTTTTTTTTGACAAAAAATAGGGATTTTTCCAATGGTTTTGTGTACTCACGTAGGGGGGGAGTAAGTCAGAATCTTATAAAACAATGACTCACGAAGATATGATAAGATATTGCACCACTTATAAGAACTGAAGAAGCTTTAGTGGTGATAATAATAGACTGTCTAGGAAATTTTCTGAAGAAAATTTATATAATTTAGCTTAAATAATACATAAAATAAAGCAACAAAAAAAAATTTTATAAATAAATTTGAATAGAATACTTGAGCTCCAAAAAATGGAAGAAATTTTTGAGCTTTCTGATATTTTAAAACAGCGAGAAAATGTGATTAAGGAAATAGGAATGAGAAAACTCGCTGATGAAAAACGAAAAGAAATCGAAGAAATAAAAGCGAGCTACAAACAAAAAAGACCTGGATCTTTTAAAAGAATGTTTGGGTATGGGAAGTCAGAAGAGACTCTGAATAGAGAAAAACAGGAAATGGAAGAAAAAATTGCCAAATGCCAACAAGAGCTAGAAGAAATCCTAGGAGGCAGCTATAATGAAGCAAGAAATGAACTTTTAGAGCTCGTTTCTGGCGTCGACACATTTGATGAGCGAAATATGCCAGAATTCTCTGATAAATTTGTTTTGAAATTAAAAATAGACCGACAAAGCTTCCATTTGAACTCTTCAAAATCAAAACTGTCTTCGTGGGAAATTTTGAGCACTTATGTAGACGCCGCCATAAAACCATCAAGCATTATTGTCGAAGCCAAAATAAACTCTATGTATATCACTGACAAAGTCTGCAAAGGAAATCGGAAAATCATGGAAAGCGGCCATTTGCATGCGAAATATTCCACTTTTGGAATAAATAGCATTGATGTAGACTCTGGAGATTTTTGCTATAATCTCAATATATATAGCATATTAGAAGTTTATAAGACTTTTCAAAAAGAATTAATTCAAGAAATTGATTCTGATTTTTACCAGACTCAGGCAAATGCTAAAGTGAATTATTATGTAGAACTCAGCAAAAAATATGTCGACGAAGCTATAATTCAGCAGGAAAAACAACCCATGAAAATAAATTTGCATTTGTCAGCGCCTAAATTCAAGATACCTCTAGACCTAAAAAGAATGGAGGCTGGGTATTTTATTTTCGATTTCGGCAGGTTTAATATTTTTAATGGAAATGAAGAAATTGAAGGAATTTTGTATGAATTTTATGCTTTTGAACTGACAAAATTTAATATTGGGATCACAGGAAGCGACATTTTAGAGCCTATCAGCTTTGACTTTAAAATATCAAAAACAAAAAATAAAGACGTGACACCAATGATAATCGACGCAAAATTAAAAAAAATAAAAATAAATTTCAATGATTATTTACTTTCGACAGCCCAGGAATTTCATCAAATATTGATGAGAACATTAGAACCAATTCTGAATTCTCCATTAGTAAATAGCAACATTTCTTTGCCAGAAAACATTAATTTATCATTATTAAATGCAGAAAAAGAAATTTCACATAAAAGCTCTATGAAAATTTTTTTAGAAATCAGAGAAATTTCGACATCAATTTTTTCGAAAAATTCGGAAATTTTGTGATGCGCGTTTAGAGGGCTTAAAATAGAGCATGAAGCGTTTGCAGGAGGAAGTATGGGAATTGATTTTAGTTTAAGGAGAATGGATATTTTGGATATGAGAGAAGAGGCTTATTTTAGGGCAATTATGTCAAATCCTCAGGTGAGGGCGGAAAATGGAGAATTTTTAAATGATGAACGCCAGCTGTTGGCTCCTCAAGTCAGAGCTGGGGTTATTGTTGACAGCTCAAAAGGTGTCACTCAAGTTTCAGCTCTGATAAGTGGGATTAGGATTATCCTTGTGCATTCTTTTATTAAGAATTTGATAGACTTTTCAAAAGATTTTTCGGGAAAACCTGGATTTAAGCCTCAAGCCAAAGCTCAAGCTGCTGAGAAATCTGAGCCAAAAATATCTAATAATACAATAGAAGCAAGCTTGTCGGTCAGCTGCTTCGAGATCTGGCTGCCGTTATCAGAAGCCAATAATTCTCAAATTTTAAGTATAAATTGATCACCAATCGCCCATTACAATTCCACTCGAACTACCAAAGGCTCATCCTCAATCTTCATTGACGACGAGCTCTCTCTGGCAGTCCGCCATTTCACAATCCAACTAGGAACCTGCAAAAACCATTTAATAACCCCAAATTTCTGGCATATCCAAGACCTAATCACTCCATCTAGAATTATCATAAATTATTCTTCAAAAAAAGAGCCTAAAGAAAATACAGTCTTAAGTGAAGCTTCCCTCAATTTAGAAAGCATTTCTCTGACTGCTGGGTTCAGAGATATTGATTTTTTCAAAGAATTAGCTGCTAAATGAATGTCAATACTCCCAACTCAAACAAATAATGATGAGGAATCTACAGTTCCTATCGTAAAGCCAGAAAAGGAAATCAGTAAAGATATTTTTCGGGCTGAGCTTATATGTGACTCTTTACAGTTTACTTTAATACAAGATAAAATTAAAAAATCATATGAGCTCTGCCATGCCAGTTTCAGCAATTTTGGAGTGGATATGCAAATAATGCCTCAGCTTGCAGTTAATTTTAGCACTATAATTTTGATAAATTATTATAACTTGAATGTAGCGTCTTGAGAGCCGTTAATTGAAGAGTGGACTATGGAAATCAATGCAATCCAAGACGAAAGTAAAAGGTTTAATATACAATTTTCCTCAAAAGAAGACTTGAATATAAATGTTACTTATGATTTAATGAAAACAATTGGCTCTGTAATGTATGCAATCGAGACTGTCCCTACTGAAAATGAAGTAGAAAGCAGGCCTGGGACCGTAGAAAGAATGCATAAAGACATCGAATATAAAATTGTTAATTTACTAGGAAAAGACATCTATATTAAAATAGATAAAGACAATGCTCAGGAAACGCTAATTACAGACGTAATCTGTGCATATTACTCTCAAAATGACTTAAATCGGATTTATTCAAAGAAAGGGACATCAAAAACCATTAGAGCCCCAGCAAAACTGTTAATCAGAATTGGAGAAAATTTTTCAAGGCCATTTGGGATGGAAGACTCCAAAACCAAAGCTAGAAAAATAGGCGATGAGGTTGTAATTATTGAAGTAGAGTGCAGAAATAATGAAAGAATAATAAAAATCCAGACAAATAAGACGCTTATGAACAATACAAGAATGGACCTAAAAATTGTTTCAAGACTTGGAGAGGTTGAGCTGCCTGCGTATTCTTCAGTACCTTTGCCTACGAGCTGGCTTAATGAAGCTCTCATATGCAATAGAAATGTTCTGGATCGGCCAGGATTAATTTCAAACCCTTCTGAAGATCGCCATGAACAAGGAAGGTCAATTGCTTTTGAAATTTTAGAGCTTAAGGTGGGAAGAAGCATGACCCATATGTTTTTACAGTTCAACCCCCCAATAGTGCTAAGAAATCTGCTTCCCTGCACACTATCATATATTTCATATGGAAACCAAAGCGGTTTTATAAATCCTGGCTCATCCAGAGACATTTACACTGTAAAAAAATTAGAAGATTTCAGATTAAGAGCCCACAATAATGATAGGACTGAAGTTACAACTGAGTCTTTTGCTATTAAAAACATCTTTGAAGCAGAAATAACTGAAAAAATGTGCCTGAAAGTAAGAAAAATTGAGAATGAGGAAGAAGACAATGTGGATTTGTTGGCTGCTACGTCCTTACTGATGGATATAACAAAAAAGAAAAATTTAAAAAATGATATAACTGATTTAAGGACAAGAAAGATAAAAAAACTTACTCCCCCCCCCTTCGTGAGTGAACAAAAAAATTTTGTTCACTCACGGAGGGGGGTTAATTTTTTTTTTAAAAAAAAATTTATATATAATTTTTTTATAAATTTTTTTTTTCGAAATTTAAAAAATCTCACTTCTATAAGCAAATATTAATTTAATTTATAAAATTTATGTTTTAAAAAGCAATTTGTTTAAAATTAAACAGAATTAGCTGGAGATTTCATTTAAAATATTTTTGTTCACTCACGGAGGGTGGGTTTTTGGGCTAAAAATAGAGATTTTTCTAATGGTTTTGTTCACTCACGGGGGGGGGGGGGGGAGTTAGCAAAGAACAAATGAATCAAGACGAATATAAAAACCATGGAGCCAAGCTGCTTGAAGTTTATTCACCTTATATATTTATAAATAAAACAGATCACAAACTTATTTTGTCAACTGAAGAAAACCTACATCTTTTTAAAGGAACAACTGGGTTTGTGAGCCACAATGCAAAAAAAATGCAAGTTAAGCTGAAACCAGAAAGTGAATGGTCAAGAAATTTTAGCATTGATGCTATTGGAGTCGCCGATTCAATTGATATTAAATATCGTCCAGATGATACAGAAGAGATTTCTATTGGGATTATAAGAGAAAATGCGATTGCTCCAATGGTGAAATCAACAATTATTAAATTTGTCCCGCGGTATGTTATAGAAAATAGCTTGAATTTTGATATCCAGCTACTTCAGCTTGAAAATGGAAGCTGGGTCGAAATTGAGCTTAAAAAAGGAGAAAAAAAAGCCTTTACCAGGTTCACACATGGGAAGAAACGGTATTTTAAAGCTAAAGCTGGAGGTTCTGAATGGGGGCCTTTATTTGACATTGACGAGCTGCATGAATACCAAATGAGGATTCCAGCAGAAAAAGCTGACAAAATTGAGCTGCCGAATAAAGAAAAAGGCTTAGCTGCATTCTTTAGAGCAATAAAATGGAATCTTCCCAACTCATCTAATGACTATCACTATACAGTCAGAGTCATCACAACTACTGAAGACCAAGCCACTATTTTTGTCAATTTTTCGCTGCCTGACAACCCAGAATTTGTCATAATAAACCAAGCTGCTGAGCCTCTAAAAATAAAAGCTGTAAAAAAGAAAATAAAAATAGATCCTAACTCCTGACCAGACGAGCACAGATTTATGAAAAGCCCTAAATATAGAGAGTATACTGTCCTGTCTGGGTCTTATATTCCTATTATTTTCAACCCTTTAGATCCTAGAGATATCTGCCTAACTATTGGCGAGGATTCCAAAATTTTCCCAATAGACGAAGTTTCAGATAAATCCAAAAAACCAAAAAAAATCGCTAATTATGACGTAATCGTTGAGCTTAACGGCTGCACAAGAGAATTATACGTTATTGATGAAAAATTTAAAAAGGAAAACGATGAATTTACAAAAAGCATTATAAACCCTTTACATAAATGCAGAAAATCAATGAGGCTATTTAATTTCAAAGCTGACATTGAGCTTAAAAAAATAGGGGTTTCTTTAATAACTGATGCTCCGGCAGAAATTTTTTATATAAGTTGCGATAAAATTAGTATTTTCGCGAAGGTAAAGCAGTCAATGATCGCTTCCAAGCTAGAAGAGAGATTAGAATTTCATTACCAGCTTGGAAATTTTCAGATTGATAATATGATAGCCAGAGGGAAGCAGTTTCCAGTCATTTTTTCTCCAGCGAATAGCTCTGAAGATACCATTCCTTTTTTGCAGCTTGGGTTCAGCAGGACCAAATTGAGCAACCCTCTAACCGAAAGTGTAATTCTTGACCAATTTTTTGACGTACATTTTTGCTTACAAGAGTTTAAAATACAACTGGACCAGCCCGTGGTCAGAATGTCAATATCGGTGATTCGGAGTCTGTTGGACTCTTGTTCAGAGCCAAGAATGGTTAGGTCTAACGCAATGTATATAGTATCAGCTACAGATACTGATAAATATTTAGACCCTTTTAGCTTATCATTGTCATTTATCCCAAACCAAAAAGCAAATAATGTTTTTATTGATGAAATTAACTTGGAGTCCCTGCATTTAAATTTGACGTTTAGGAGCTCCAAAAAAAGGTTTGAAATGGAAAGTGATGCTAGACAAATCCTTGGTGGACAAATCCTGTCAGCTGTGGGTGGAGCAATCATTAATATATCAGAAACACCTATCAAGCTGAATCAATTGAAAATGAATGATGTGTTCAGCACAATTCCAGACCTCCAAAGGAAGATTTTAGCTCATTATGCAAAGCAAGGGTTTTATCAGCTATATAAAATCCTAGGGTCAAGTGATCTAATAGGAAACCCTGTGCAGCTCCTAGACAAACTCGGAAAAGGGGTATATCAATTTATAAATGAGCCTTACAAAGGACTCTTAAAAAGCCCTAAAGAGTTCATAAAAGGGGTTGGAAAAGGTGTCAAAGGGCTCGTCTCTGACTCCCCCCCCTTTAAATTGGAACTAAAAATTTTGTTCCAATTTAAAGGGGGGTTAATTTGTTTTTTCTAAAAAAAAAATATTATAATAAAATTTTTTATAAAAATTTAAAAAAAAAAATTCAAAAACATATCGAATTAGATCAATAAATTTGTTTAATAAAACGCTATTTACTCTTTATCCTTTTAACACAAAGCAAGATATAACTAAATTTTCATTATTAGTTAATACGCCACTATTAATTGGTATCAAAATTATTTACACAAAAATTATTATTTTTATTGATAAAAACAAATTAAAAAAAAAAATTTTAGAAAATTTATCGATCAAAGTGCTAATTTTGTTTAAATAAGATGTTATTTATACTCTATTCTTTAAAATAAAGCAAGAAATAAGTAAATTTTTGAAATTTTATAAAGAATTCCTATTGAATTTATATCAAAACTATCCAAATAAAAAATATCATTTTTATCAAAAAAAACAAAAATTTTTTTGAAAATGTTTAAAAAAAAAAATTTTAATTTTTTTAAAAATTTAGCAATTAAGGATAATAAATTTTATTTAAATAAGATGCCCTTTATACTTTTTTCTTTAAAAACGAGCAAGATATAACTAAATTTTTTAATTTTAGTTAAGAAGAAACATTTAACTTATATCAAAACTTTTTAGATAAAAATTATATATAATTTTTTATTATAAAATTAAATTTTGTTTCCAATTTAAAGGGGGGTTAATTTACCAAAAAAGTGGAAATTTTACCGATATTTTGTTCCAATTTAAAGGGGGGGGGGAGTGAAGTAATAACAGGTGGGTTTGGAAGTATTTCAAAAATAACAGGCAGCCTTTATGGGGTTCTTAAAAATGTCAGTGGAGATGACGAAGGAAGAGAAAAAATCAGAGAAACAAGGAATCTGTGTAGTGGGACTTTTTATGGAGTCATTGGAGGGGTGCAAGATATAGGTGAAGGGATTGCTGGGATTTTTATAAAGCCTTATAAAGGAGCCAAAAAGCAAGGGACGAAAGGGTTCATTAAAGGTGCAGGAATTGGCTTGTTTGGGGCATTTTCAGCGCCATATTCAGCAATTTTGCATTTTGGGGCTTCGGTGTCGGGTGGGATTGCGAACTCACCTTTTTGGAATGACAGAAGTAAACAGCGGCTGCGAGGCAGATCAAGATTTCCTCGCCAGTTTTCGACGACTATGGTTGTTGAAAAATATAGCCATGAAATTGCTCAAGCCCAAGAATTTCTTCGAGCAAATATAAAAAATAAGTGGGAAAGACTTGTCATGTACCAAAATTTCGCAGATTTAGACAACGTCGTCATACTGATCACCTCTATGAGAGTTCTTTTATTCGTAAAAGGCGAAAAAAAAGCCAGTATCAAACTCCGCCAAATAAAACACTGTGAATTCGTCAAAGAAGAAGACAGCATCTCATTCGAAATGAGGGATTTAGTCAAAAACATCACCATTTCTAGCACTCTTATATCAGGACTGCTTAAAGTTTTTGAAACTATCACTGCAATCAACCATAAAATCCCCAAAAATGAAGCCTTAAAGCAAATATTATCAATAAAGGATACAAATAATAATTAATTATGTAGCCATTTCCAACGCTTTTGTAGTCTCTTGCAGTCTATTTATTCTTTCTCCAATGTGGTCACATATATTGTCAATGCTTCCCAGTTTGTCATTTAGCGAGCTCATTTGATGAGACAGGGAATCCACCACTTTGGACAATTCTTTGGTTTTTATAGCAAATTGGGTTAAGACTGGGTTGGTAATTCTTTCAGCGTCCAAAATGTCGACCACTTCTAGAGCTTCAGGCGGGATTTCTCCTTTAGAAATTTTCATTGCGATAACCGTGTGGCCTTTTTCTTCAGCTGTTACTATGGCTCTTATTTTTTCTACCATTGCTTTTACGCTGGTAATTTTGGTATTTTTTCTGTTTCTCTTATTAGTAATCAGCTTAATTACTTCGTTTTTTACCTTGATTTTGGATTTCCAGGCTTTTCTGTTTGCGTTTTTATCGTATTTGAAGCATTTGGAGTAGTCCAGAGGGATTTGCTTTCTGAGGTATTCTTGTCGGAAATTGTCCCAGACTTGCATTTCAAGCTTTTGGGCTTCGATTTTTTTCTTCAGCTTGGGGAAGTCGACGAGTAAAGCGTCAAGGTCTTGGTTGGTGAATACCATGACTCGGGTTGGCTCTATAACTCTGCATGAGACAGTTGCCAGGTTAGGTTAGGTTAAATAAAGTCAGGCATAAGCAATATTGATTATACAGTCACCAAAAAACTCCAATTCTGAGGTTCTACCACTTTTTAACTCCAGCTCAGAGGGTCTTTCCCCCGAAAACGGATGCCACTTCCTAAATGTTATGTTCTCCTTCTTATCTTGCGGTTTTAGTCTTATGTGCATGTATTTCTGTGGCCATGTTCCGTGGATCAGCTTCTTGGTATCGGGTTTTGAAGTGTCTTCCTTCAATAGTACAGGGAAAAGACTACTCCCTTGTGGCCTAGGCTGGTACCCAAAAATTTCTCGGTCGAGGAATGCCCATGGATCCTTGGATCCAAAGGACATTGCTGGATACCTCCATTTTAACCACAGAAAAGCAGCCAAAACCTCATCAGGCTTCACTTGAATTCTTGACTTTGAGTACATCCCAGTTCGCTGTCGCCATAAGATCTGGAATTGCACCAAGAGTACAGGTTGGCACTGCCGCCATTTTAATGCATAGACAGTTGCTGGGTACTGCATTAATAGCTGCCTTGAGCATAAGACACTTCCCATACCTAATTCATCAATAACCAGCTTAACACCTTTAGTATTTCCATATGTAGCACTTCCTCGCTTACTTCTAGTGCTCAAACCTAAATGCTCACCCCCAATAACAGACGAATGCCTTTCTTTATTTTTTAAAGTCATTGTCAAAGTTACATCAAAAACCACAAAAATTATTTGGACTTTTCCTTCTAATATTAAAAATGCTTTATCTATAGTTTGGTTTTGCTGGAATAGGTAAGAATTGGGAGCATAATTTTCAATATCAAGAGAGTAAATTAAATGGTCAGCGGCTCTTGGAGAAATATTTTCAAAATATGGGACTCTTGCTAATTCCCCTTTGTTAGCAAAGATTGGAAAAATCCATATTTTCGGCCCTCTGTAAGCGAATAAATATAAAATATTTTGATATAAATAGTTGTTTTAATTTTTGAAGGCTTGCATTTTAAAACAAAAAATTTTACAATTAAATTAATTTTTGCTTTCTAATTGGAAAATTTTACTAAAAATTTATTTATAAAATTTTTAAAAAAAACACTAGTTCTAGAAGCGTACAAAATTTTTTATTCACTCACAGAGAGGGGAGGAGTAAGGTTCTTTTTAGGAAAGATTTATAATTGTCTTTATAGGTGGAAACGGAGTTCAAAAATGTCTGCTTTACCTCAGGGAATTTTTTTAGAAGCTCATTAAGAATTGGCTTTGTAATTACAGCGAGGGTTGAATAAGTACAGGTTTTGACGCTAGCTGTTCGCGGGGTTTTATAAAGTGCTGAGACCTCTCCGAAAAAGCTCCCTGGCTCTAGTATCCTTACTGAGTGGGAGTTTTTGTATTCGTCAAGGACCTCAACTTCACAAGATCCCATTAGATTAGATCACAATGGGTATTTTTCCCCACTTCCTCAAGCTCTATGAATTCCGCAGGCGAATGCCTGCGGGGTAGGATCCCTTAAGGCAGCTTGAGCCCAGGCTGAAACCCCGGTATCTCGGCAGAGGCATTTTTCTTCTTGATCGGTCAAAGTCAGATTTTGCTGGAAACCTCCATTTCCAACCTCAATGCCAAATTTGCCTAACTTAGGCCAGATCGTCTCATTAAGGGACCCTTTCAGACTTGAGAAACTAGCCTTGAGATCTTCGGCCTTTTTCTACGGATTATCTCAGAAAAAAAAACTTAATGTGCTTGTGCAAATTCGAGACAGGCCACAAAAGCAGCTTATACAGGTAAGTCGCCCTACCTCTATCGGACACCCTTTTTGGGTCTGGCATTGCTGGCAACAAAGATGAAAAAAGCCAGCGTTCAAGGCAGTCACTAATCAGCGGAAATAGCATTGGGCCTCTCGCTTCGAGGCTAAGCCAATCTTTGGGCAGCTCTTTGCGCCAAAAACTTTAATATACATAAGGGCATTCTCCTAGCCAGTCATTTTATGTATGTTCACAAGACCCCATACCTACAAAATAAATATTTTCCTCTGTTTCAAATTGATTAATTACAGGGTACTCAGGCTGGAAAAACTGGCTATCCAACTTTTGCAAGGCAAATTTCACAAGCTGAGAGTTTCCTTCAAAAAACTCGCTGCTTAGAAAAACTTCTTCAAATAGACATGCACTGATTTTCTGCTTTTTGCTGGGTGGGATCAGTTTTGAAAAATTTTCATAGCTTGCCTGTCTGTCTAAAATTTTAAAAGACGACGTCAAATAGTCAGTAATTTTCATTTGCAGATCGTCAGAAAGCTCCATATTTCTCATAGCGGTGTTTACAACGTCATGAAGGTCGCTTAACTTTTGGGACTCTCTTGTCAAGCTTGTCATTATTACAGAAATTTGCCCAAATACTACTGCAGTGATAATAGAGCCTATCAAGACTAAAATCCCGCCAATAGCATATTGGACCGTAGTTCTTGGCCAAAATTCGATCCCTGAGTAGGCAAAAACCATAGCATATAGTGCTTGGGAATATTGAAAATACAGAGGAGATTCGTATATGAGCTTAAGATTGGAGTCTAATGAAAGACAAGGGGGAACCCAAGAATGGCTTGAGTCCTCTTGGTCAACTAGGTAGAACCAAAAGCAAGCCAAAAGGTGAAGATATATGCTGAGCCATAGTAAAATTGTACAAAACCTTATGAAGAGCTTAATCCACTCTGTCATCTTCATAAACATCAAGTCATTGGTCACCTTAAGGATTCTGTCAAGCTTTGTCAGCCTAAATAACGTAAAAGCAGGAATCGTGTAAAAATATTCTGAAGGCAATGCTGCCAAGATATCAAGCAAAAGCTTGGTTTTTGTATAATTAATTGCGATTTTTACAGGGTCAATAACTTCATCCCCTGAGGCAGAGTCAAAATAAGTCGTCCTGAAGTTCATAATAATATCAGCTGAAAGGACAATCATATTAATGAGTCCAGTTGCCTTGATAGAAGGGTTTCGCATTTCATCTATATCGAACGCCAAAAGGTAAGGGATTGTAAAAGTGTTGTAAAGGACGAAAAGAATAATCAAAATGTCCCATTTCACCCTCATAAGGCCTGATTTATGGAACATAAACTCTGGGAGAGTTACTTTGGAAATTAGCCGTGACTGAGGATTTCTTAAAGAAGCAAAGGACATTGAGATACTGGCGTCGTCGTCTTCGACTCGGGACACTTCTTCGTAACCGCTTGATAGGATTGATTCGTTGTGGCTTCTTGCCTTTGTCAGCATTTTTTATTTATAAGTGTTTAAAACATATTTGAATAACTCCTTCATGGAATACTATGCGGAAATTAATTATCATAATAGTTTGGTTTTTTATTAAGGAGTTAAAGAGTTTCAAATAAAGCCCTGACGAGGATCTTGAATTCGCTGTGGCTCAGCTCTCCATTTCCGTCTTCGTCTAAAACTGCTAGAGCTCCGTCAAGCTGTTGGTCAGAAAGCGGATACATGCCAATTTCTCTTGCAATTACTGTCATTGCTTTTTTTAGCTCAGTTTTTTCGATATTTCCACTGTGGTCGAGGTCAATTGCGCTGAACATTTCTCTTGTGATGCTGTCGAAGAGTTTTTCGTCTCTTAATATTGTGCTAATTGATTCCATTTATTGCTTATTAAATATATTTTAAATTACTTACTCCCCCCTCCGTGAGTGAACAAAAACCATAGGAAAAATCCCTATTTTTTGCCCAAAAACCCACCCTCCGTGAGTGAACAAAAATTTTTTTAATAGAAAAATTTTTATGGAAAAAAAAATTTGATATATAAATGATAATTAGTATAATGAAATCTAGAGCTAATTCTGTTTAATTTTTAACGAATTGCTTTTTAAAACATAAATTTTATAAATTAAATTAATTTTTGCTTTCCAATTTTTGCGAATTAGGATTTTTTTAAAATTTCGAAAAAAAATATTTTTTATAAAATTTTATATATAAATATTTTAAAAAAAAAAAATTAACCCCCCTCCGTGAACAAAATTTTTTTGTTCACACTCACGGAGGGGGGGGGGAGTTTTAGCATCTTATCTACAGAATAATATATAAAAGACTCTAAATAGATCTACGCTCTTGCTGTCTTGCAATTAACTTACATTTATCTTTATTTATTAAAAATATTGAAACTCCTCTAAGATCTATGAGACAATTGAATTTGGAAAAACTCATATCAACTTAAATTTCATTTCGAAACGCACATACCACAATAAAAGAATAAAAAATTACTTAATTGTTCATTATTTAGAAACAAGATCTGGAGTGAAAAACCCTCTGCAGCCTGAATTCATATTTTCTCCAAAATACCATTCATCTAGCTCCGATATCTTTTTAATCAAATCTCCTTTATTCATACTTAAAAACCCAGACTGAATTGGCCTATGATCCTGCTTGCAAGTAAAAATTGAGTCATCAAATTCTTCATTCCCTAGGGTAAATTTCGGAGTTGGAGGAATATTTTTCTTTTTTATATTTTTGCCTGCAGAGTCTGAAAATGGCATATCATAGCCTTTTCCATAATCTTCTTCTTCTTCCTCTTCTGGATATGTTTCTTCTCTTGTTTCTTTAGACTCAATAGGCTCATACATAGGCTCATCAATAGGTTCTTCAATTTCAATTTCATTAGGCGCTAAGTTCATTTTTCCATTTTCTTGTTTTTCATCTAAAATTCCAGTTGGCTTGAACTCCTTGCACGGATCATTGATAACGTCACCAAAATCAATGTCTTTTATAAGCTTAGAATCAACCCGAATCAATTTATCAGTCACCAAGCTGAGAATTTTTTTGAGCTTTTTGTTTTGTATTAATAAAAGATCGTGCTCATAAGAAACCGTGTCACAAAATTCAATGGTTTCGTCTAATGCTTCTTTAATATGGTCTCTTTCTAAAGTAATTTGTTCTATTTCTCGCTTATACGCATTAATTTCATCTAAATTGCTGCTTTCTTGTTTGGGTGGAGAAGTTCATGGAGGGCTTTGTAATGGTAGAGAATAATACATTGGCTTTTCTTTTGATGGAGGCGATTCGACTACAGTTGCCATATGTAGCTCTTCGTCAACGACTACTGAATTTTCTAGAGACACCGTCATAAAATGCTGATATTTGTATGGTGCTGATCGGCATGACTCTCTTTCCATTTTATTATTACGATGAGGCTTAGTTTTATATGAGAATTCTTTCTTGGCAAAGACTGGTAAGCAAATAGGAGGGGAAGATCTGTTCGCTAGTCAGGTCAAGAAAAGATAAAAGGTCTGCAGTTTACCCTCTTTCATATTACAGCAGCGAAGGAGTCTTTAGTAGCCACAAGGCGTCAAGGAAGACAGAAGTCGTTCATTCATGAGTAAAGAAGCCTGAACTGCAATTTGAGGCATGCCCGGTGTAGCAAAGCAGGTCGAAGCAGAGGCTGCGGGCCCGAAATATGTAAAAATGGCGTAGTTGACGTAAACGGTATAACTTTTGAGTAAGTAGGTAGGAATTTTTCAAGAGACGAAGAAACAGAAACAGGCAAAGTTGGCTGAGGGCTTTCCTGTGTTTTATTTTTGGTTTGGGCTGGTTTTTTATCAAAAGCTTGCGTTTTCTTACTCCCCCGTGAGCGAGCAAAACCATTGGAAAAATCCTATTTTTTCCCAAAAACTTCCTTGAGTAAACAAAAAATATTTTATGAAAAAAAAGATATATAAGTTATAATTAGTATGATGAAATCTTTAACTAATTCTGCAAATTAAATAAATATTTGCTTTTCAATTTTTGCGAGTTGAGATTTTTTTAAATTTCAGAGAAAACAATTTTACCATATTAACCCCCTCTAAGTAAACAAAATTTTTTGTTCGGAGTGGGGTGTTAGCAGAATTTGATTTTTTGCCATATTTCATGATATCAAAATCTACTGGAGTAGCAGGGATTTTTCTTGGTGGTGGCTTAGGTTTAGCTGTTTTGTTAGGAAATTCAATCAGTCCTGACGGTCTTCGATAAAATAGCGAATTCAACGGAATCGCTTCTTTCTTTTTGCCATTATTTGCCTCCTTATTTTTCCCTTTAATTTCATAGTATTCTTGCATACAGTAGTCAACAAAAGCTTCTGCAGGGATTTCCACCGTATAATCAGCATCAAATAGCCTGCTGGTCAATTTCTGGACACAAGAAGTCGGCTTAATTGCATCTGCAAACAGCCGAGACGCAATGCTGACCCATTCGCTAGTCGTCAGCATCAGCTCTTTCAGAAAAACATCGTTTCTTGGGTTGTCTCCTAATTTTATTTGTAAAATGATTTTTCTTGCCTTCAAGTAAAACAAAAACATTGTTGAGTCCAGTTTTTCGTTAAGAAATTTGTGAAATAATCCTATTTCGCCTGGCTTGTTTCTGTATTTTTCAGTTGTGAAATTGAACCTTCAGGCGACATCTGCGACTTCATCAAGATTTTTCATTTTGCGACACTAAGTTAGAGTTACAATGTGAGAAATGAAAAACTCAGGAAGCAAAGGTGGCGATGCCTCATGGAAAGGGTAAATTTGGCATAACTCTGAGATTACAGAGAGAGCATCATTTTCTTCTTTTAATTGAGAAACTGGAATTGGGCTGTAAAGCGACTGGGGGATGCCCTGGGTCTCTAGTCGTTTGGCGAAGGTATTGGAAGACATCTTTAAACTTATTATTAGTAGAAAAGATATGAATGATAATTTTTTAAGCAGGCTAAAAATCCTCTCTCAATTAAATTTAACAGCCATTTTCAATGTTTTATTTTCAAAAATAAGCCAAATATAATTTACTAGAAACAGAGCCAGCCTGCTCCTGAAATAATGTGTATATAAAATGGAAACCAACAATCTCCCCAGCTCCAACTCAATAGGAAATGTATGGTAAACTCTACTCAGCTACACAGAAGGAGGCCTAATTTCCTGCCCAAACTGCTCACAAGTGCTAACTCACGAGAGAAAGAGAGTTATAATTAGAGAGGGTTAAACGAGGTTTATTTCAGCCCCTATCCAGTTGAGCTTCAGCTTCATGTGGTGCTAATCACTAAAGCGCCCTTTTCCTTTAGCCAAACGAGGAGAGTCACGAGAAACAGCTTGGACCAAAAATTGCAGGGCATGACTCTCTTAACCCTGGTAGTGCTCAGGGTATGAAAGACGCGCGCTTGATGCCTCCTTCTGGAACTACCTCCGCCATTTACAGGCAATGTAATGCTCCTGCGCCACCAGTCCTCTTGTGAGTCGAGGGGAGACTCAGCCAGCCCAAGCCTGAACCCACCCCGGAAATTGCCACCTGCGTCCTAGCCTTATTTCTTTTTTAATTTGGACGAAATTTTAGGTTTTTTGTTAACTGTCGCTCCTAGGCATGCCATGATAATAATTATTGCTGACTCACGAAGAATATGAATTTCATCTAAATAATTGCATGCCAGAACACAATGATTCTGTAATTTCAACAGAGCGACAAAAAGTCTACGTATCCCTCAACACTGAAAGCGACCTTCGGGTCACTTGCAAATTCTGTGACAGAAAATTTGCCCCAGAAAGGGTTTTAAAGCACCAATTTGCATGTGAATATTCTTCAAAAAAGAGGCCTCAGTTCGATATGAAACGAAAACGCTCACCTTTGTTAGAAAGTGACACGTCAAAAGTTATGCATAACTCAAAAAGACATACCTTGACGCAGAAGTTCAATGACAAAAAGTGGCATAAGCTGCATGAAGATTTTTTAAACACAATCAGATATGCAAGAAAATTTAAATCGTTTGAAGAAAAAGGCAAAGACCCAACAGTGCTTAAGCCGCCAGCTGCTTTATATGATAATTACATACAGTGCCCAACCTGCTTGCGGAAGTTTGCCCCAATTCCTGGAGAAAGGCATATTGCGAATTGTAAAAATATTATTAACAAGCCCAAGCCTCTGGCCCGAATGCCAACTGATATGCATTTTCCACAGATAAAAAATAATGGGAAAAGCTATCACAATAAGCAAATAAAATCTTTAAACAACTCGACAGTAAAAGAAGACTCCCAGTGCTCGTATTACTGTTCTCCTACAATGTCTAAAAAAGAAATTATTCCTAACAAATCTCCAATACCTCCAATTGTCAGGGTTTCCCCTGACTCAAGTGACCCATATACCATCAAAACTCGCAGAAGGGACTCATCAGTCCAGCGCTCTGCTGTTTTTGCAATCCAGTGTTCCCACTGCTCAAAAGTATTCGATCCCAAAGGACTAGAAAAACACATCCAGACCTACTCCAAAGAGCTGGCCAAAACTAAACAATTCCGAGTGATGTCTGAAAGCCCCTACCCCAAATACTCCCCAATTGCAGCCAAAAACTCCCAAACAGACACCTCCACCTTAAGAATCCGGAGATCTGGCAAAGCTCTCAAACACCTTGACGAAAAATGCAAAAACTGCAAGTCGCCTTGTCCCTTTGAGGCGAAATTTTGTATGATGTGTGGAATGAAGCTGGATGACAGTTAAATTTTATTTATAATTAAACTATGTGCTATGCCTCATGTCTATGTAATTTTTCAATGTGTGTTCTTGTTCTCTTAAATGAGCCAGAATTCTGTCTAGTGAAAGCATTTCTTCACATTTCATTCGGTATGCAATTTCTAGCTGGATTAGCTCAGCTTCGTCACTGTCTTCTCCATCTAGGTTTTCGACTGAAATTTTGTCTGTGATTTGGTTTTCGCTTTCATTGCTGGAATTGGCTTCTTTATTGTAGACTTCTTCTCGGTTTTCAAATCAATAGTTTTCATAGTTCAGTTTAAGCCAGTTGTCCTCACGAATGATGTTGTCAACTGTTTTTGTAGCTTTGGGAGGGGAAGCTTTTATAGTGGATTGAAGTCGGTAGAGCTCTTCTTCAAGCTCTTTGCACCTATCGATTTCTTCGTCCCTTTCTGCTTTGGCTTCTTTTAAGCTTTCTTCTACAGCAGTAATCAGCATTTTGGCTTGTTTTATCATTTGGTTAGGGTCGTCATGCATAATTTTGTGGGCGTCTTCTATGTCGACTTCAAGCTGCCTTATGTATTTTTCCAATTTTTGGACTGCCTGCTCTTTAAGCTCTATATCTTTTCGCAGTTTGGCTTTTTCATCATTTAGCCTTGAAACTGATTCTTTTTTTCTGATTCGGCATTTATTGGCTTGATCCTCAGCTTGAAGAATCGCAATTTCTCCTTGTTTTATTTCGCTTTCGATCCTTTGGCTTGCTTTTAACAGAATTTCGTTTTCTGTTTTGACTGCTTGGTGGATTTTGGCAGAAACCAGCTGTGGGATTTCAGTGTCGTATGATAGTTCTTTTGAAGGCTTTGATGAAGAGAGAGATGAGAGCAGTTCTTCAAGGATAAGTTTGTTAAGTCTGATGGTTTGTTCTAAATCTTCAATCTCCACTCGAATTTCTGTGGTGTTGGGGGCGTCTACTGAGAGAGCGCTGAAGCTTGAAACTGATTCGGATTTCATTATGTTCAGATATTATCTATTTTTCCCAACTATTTTAAAATAAAGGATACTATTGGTTTTATTTTTTAAAATTTGGATATATAATGTATGGATTATTATCATTGCAGATCTAGAAGCTCTTTCTTGATAAATTTTATCTGAAAATTCTTTAGTATCCTATTATATCTGTTCTTTATTAGATAGTCTGATCTCCAGAATAACTGCTAATTCTTGATAACTCTTTTATGTGTATAGGATCTATATTATGTGCATAAATAATAGCTTTTCCACTTTTACATAATGCAAATTATATAAATAATTGTTCTTCTCAAATAGCTAGCCTCATAAAATTTCTTTTCTGGCCACCAAAAGGAAGCTAGATTTCTAAATATTGCTAAAATAGCTTTTATAATTTTATTTATATATAGGCTGAAACTTCTTGTTTCAATTGAAATAAAACTTATTGTAAAATGGTGCATGTGCTGCTTTACTACGCAAACATTATAGGTATTTCTTATTAAAGACTATGGCAGAATCCTCTTTCTCCTTTGGGCAATGGCAGTATATCAATCAAACCCACTAGCTTTTATTTTCTTCTACGTCGTCTCAGCTGCACTTGACGCTGTGGATGGGATGGCAGCCCGACATTTCCATCAAAGTAACCTATATTCAGCATCCAACGTGGGAATGGTTCTCGACATGTCAATTGACAGAATGGCTTATCTCGTCATCCAAGCTATTAACTTCATCCTCTTCCCACAATATGCCAACGTCTATTTAACTCTTATTATACTAGACGGGGTCTCACATATCGCCATGGTCAGCAGTTCTTTGATATCAGGAAAGACAACACATAAATTAAAAGACGAAGACACCCATTGGCTGCTGAGGCTTTACTACGGCACTCATCTTTTGTTTACTTTATGCTTATGCAGTGAGGTAAGTGATATTTAGGGATTTGCTGTGATTTCTTATATAACTTATTATTATCAGTTTGAAGGAATTTTAGGGGTTCTACACAAGGCTTTGTTTGTGTTTTTCGCTGCAGGAACTTTTGTGAAGCAGGTTATTAATGTGTTCCAAATTCAGCATGCTGCCAAACAGTATCAGCTTTTCCTCGACAGTCCGAAGAAAAAAGCATAAAGAATAACTAGCATAAAAGTACTTAGTCTCTCCCCAAGAATTAATAGATACAATTTTATATAATTTTTTATCTTATATTTAATTGATTTTATTAAATTCTGGCTAGTTCCTTATTTTAATTAATTAGAAATTGATTTCTTTTATATTGATATTAAAAATATAAAAAATAGCTGATTCATGAATAAAAATGCTCTTGCTGAAGAGAAGTCAGAATATTCATAAATATGGAATACGCACTGAAAACCTGATTTTTCCTGAAGTATGGATGCATTGAAAGCAAAAGACACAAAGTCCACTTCACACTTGCGCTACTAAGCTGCATTATTGTTGTCACAGTGGCCTGCGTCATTCAAACTGTACTATACCACGCTCCCTTGATTTTTCTCCGCACAGCAGAGGGGAGTTCTGGCGAAATTGATATTAAGCTGACATCTGAAAACGAGAACTATTATCTGAACAAAACCAGAATTGAAGAACTTATCAGTGACAAAACAGCACCCAGAGTCGTTTTTGGGAATTCCAGGGCGAATTGTGTGCATTGCTCGACATCAGACAAAAAGGCTAACATCTATTTTATTGACACCAAAAGAGAAAAAGACATCGAGCTGGGCAGAGAATATCCCTATGACCCTCTAAAGCTTGGAGAATGCATGATTCATAAAAAACTCGCCTTAGCTTTACACATAGAAAAAGGAGATAAGATTTCGCTTTACGATTTGGACGTAAACTGATGGCGATCAGTTTTCCAAAGCTTTACTTATGAAAAAAATATAACTGTCCCGTCTTCTTTTGCGATGTTTTACTTTACACTTGAGTTGACTGTTGTGGACATTTTCAGCAAAGGGTACGGAAAAGTCGCTGATGGGTCGGCTTCGTCTCTAGTCTTGGCTGAGCTGTCTACACTATATCAGTTGTATTCCCAACATATACAAGCAGACAACTATTGGCCAACAACTCAAGGATATTCTGAATTTCTAACGTACTTGGACACCCACAGCGCTTCTGACCTCTCCACCCACATACTCATCAGCATGCCGAAGCCTCGCACTGACACTTATATGACCTCAAATTATGACAATATCCAGAAAAAAGTCACTCATAAGGCTTCTGGGATAGTCGATGACCTTGGATTTTATCCAGTTTCTGTAGATTTGCCAATTATGGACGAGCTGCAGCCACTTCAATATGTGACAATTTTCCTTGGGATTTTATTGGACTTAATTTTAGTCATTTTATTTGCATTAAGCGTGATTTTAATATACAGCTTACTGCTTGTGTCAATTGAGACAAAAACCTTTGAATTAGGAGTCATTAGGGTCCTTGGACTTACAAAGACAGGGATGGTCTTTATGCTGGTCACCCAAACAATGATTTTTGTGATCCCTGCAATTATTATTGGGATTTTTCTATCCTTTGGCTGCAATAAAATCATTTCGGATATGTTTGAAGAACAAATTGGGGTTGGATTCTCTCCAGAGCCTACCCCTGATGCAGTTGGCATAGCCATTATGATCGGTTTTTTAATGCCAATAATTGCTGGAATGTCTCCTCTCAGACAAATATTTTACAGCAACTTAGCAGAGTCTTTAGATGTGTCGCATTCAAAATCCAAAGCAGTCAGTATCAAGATTGAAGGCAGTGATAGCGTGGTTAAAAGAACCATTGTGTGGTTTGGATTTGTAACGGTGGTCTTTGGGTTTGTGGTATACTTATTACTCCCTCTTGCATTATTATCATTTAATTTGCAGCTGCTACTTGGAATATTCCTAGCAATCCTTATTGCATTTTTGCTGGGTCTTGTGCTGCTCTCAATGAACTTTCAGTATCTTTTTGAAAGGGCGACAGTTTTGCTTTTCTTCTGGTGGGAATCGTCAGCTATGAGGCTAATGATAGTTAAAAATCTAGCTGCACATAGGCTGAGAAATAGAAAAACAACTGTTATGTATGCGTTGGCGCTTGCGTTTATTATATTTTTATCAGTTATGGCTGAAATGCAGCTTACAGCTGCATCATATAGAAATTTGCAGTCACATGGAGTAAAATTAGTAGTCCAAGCAGACCCCAAAACTGACGATATCCTTCCCAGCCACAATCTTCAGCTAGTTGTCGACAATTATGGTGACATCATTGATTCCTATTCTTGGGTTACAAAAGAACTGATCCAAGTAATCGATGAAGCAGATGCCACTTTGCTTAAAAATCTCGGCAAAGCATATGAATATAATGTACAGATCTATGGAGTTTCCCCAAATCTGATTGACACCATTTTTGGTGAATTTGTGATTGTGACTGACAGAGATACATCGACTGGGCTTTCGCTATCTGAGCAGCTTTACACCCCAGAAGGGACACAAGGAGCACTTATGGGGACTTTATATGAGGACATGCTCGATCTGAGTGTGTCTCCGAACTCTACATTTTTGGTACAAGTTTATGCTCCTTATGATAACTTTTTTAGAGTAATGCGGCCAATTGCATTTGCTGAGTCCTTTTCAGGCTTTGTCATGTCGAAATTCCCAAAGAACAAAAAACAAAGCTTTTTAGTGAGCATCCCAACATGGCAAGACTTAGCTGGAAAATACGCTGAATCTGCTAATAATGTGCCAATGGGGTATTTAATGATAAAACTGGCAACAAGTGACGGTGATTTAATCGACAAGCTTTATACTGACCTAAATGAAGTTATCTCATATAATGACGACTTGTCAATTTGGGATTATAGAGACAGCCAAAGCACAGCCCAACAAAGTGCAGGACTAATGAGCACTGTTTTTTCATTAGTCACCCTTATAGCTATGTTTTTGTGCTTCTTTTCTCTTGTCTCCTCAATGTCAGCAAATATTTTGGAGCAAGCCAAAGAGATTTCAGTGCTTAGGGCGACTGGGGTGAGGAAAATTAGAATCGCGATTTTGTATGTATATGAAGCTTTTGTGCTGCTTTTTTCAGCTGGCCTTATGGGGATTATGATAGGGACTTTTGTAGCGTGGACCATGTCTGTGCAGCAGGTGATGTTCAATGATATACCAATGCCATTTATTTTCCCTTGGGAAATCACTATTGCAGTGTTTGTGGGGAGTATTATTTGTGCATTTTTGGCGTCATTTTTCCCTTCGAGGAAACTGGTGGCGAAGCCTATTGCGGAGTTGATGAGAACATTGTCTTAGAAATATAGTTTTTATGAATAAATAATATGGAATCTTTAATTCCTGTTAAAAGGGCAAGAGAAGATGATTCAGAAAATCATGAGGAAAGAGAAAATATAGTCAATAGGCTTGAATCAATACAAAAATCTAGAAAAAAGCTGCCGATCCTCTATATGGAGCAGGAAATTATGGAATCAATCAAAGAAAATACATTTACCTTAATTTGTGGAGAAACAGGCTCAGGTAAAAGTACACAAGTTCCACAATTTTTATATGAGGCTGATTTCTCTAGCAGCAAATGTCCTGGAAAAATCGGAATTACACAGCCCCGAAGGATTGCAGCAATTTCGCTGGCTCAAAGAGTGGCAAATGAGCTGAACCTTGAGATTGGAAAAGAAGTAGGATATCAAATCCGATATGACGCTTCAACCATAAATCCAGCCTTAAACAAAATAAAATTCATGACAGATGGGATTTTGCTCAGAGAAATTGAAGGTGATTTCTTATTGTCTTCGTATTCTGCAATTATCATTGATGAAGCTCATGAAAGAAGCATTAACACAGACATTTTGCTAGGATTTTTATCAAGAATCGCACCTCTTAGAGCAAAGAAAGGAAATCCATTAAAAGTCGTTATTATGTCAGCTACCCTAAGAATTTCAGATTTCACAGAAAATACCTCACTATTCCCATCCGGCGCTCCTCCAGTTATTCACATAGAATCCAGACAGTTTCCTGTAACAGTCCATTTTTCAAAAACCACAAGCGCCGAAACATACTTGGACAGTGCTTTTGAAAAAACTCTAAAAATTCATACAAGACTTCCTGAAGGCGGGATCCTCATCTTTGTTACAAGCAAAAAAGATGTGACTACATTAAAAAAAAGGCTCAAGACTGCAATTTCAAAAGAGGAAGCTGTCATTCTTGGGCTTTATTCCATGTTGCCATACTCAAAGCAAAAGAAAATATTCAGTCCACCATCAAGCAGAAGGATGATTGTAGTATCCACAAATGTCTCAGAAACATCCTTAACAATTCCTGGGATTAAATATGTAGTGGACACTGGGCTAGAAAAGCGAAAAGTTTTTAGTGGAAATCTTAAAATGAGCAAATATGTTGTCACTTGAATTAGTAAAGCAAGCGCCGAACAAAGATCAGGACGTGCAGGAAGAGTTTCAGCTGGACATTGCTATAGACTGTATTCAAATGCTGCATATGGAATCCATTTTGAAGAGTATCGGCCTCCTGAAATTTTGAATTTGCCTATTTCAAGTGTAATTTTGCAGCTGAAGTCTATTGGGATACGAAATGTGGAGCAGTTTCCGTTCCCAACATGCCCTGATAGAAGCTCTTTTGCTGAAGCACTTAATCTTTTGGACAAGCTTGGCTCAATAAAGCAATGCAGAAAAGGAAAGGGAGATGTATATGATATCACTGACTTAGGCAGAAAAATGGCAGAATTCCCAATATCTCCGAGATTTTCAAAAATGCTTATTTTGTCAGACCAGCACAATATTGTAAAATGGATGTGCATACTTGTGGCGCTTCTAGAAATTGAGCAGGTATTTAAATTTGATTTTGAAGGCGAAACAGCCAAAGAGTCTGTTAAAAAGTCAAAAGAATTCCATGCTAAATGGTTTTCAGGTGAATCTGATTTATTGTGTGGGGTCAAGGCATTTTTGAAATTTATAAAAATAAATGATGCAGAAAAAGAAGATTTTTGTGAAGAAAACCACTTGAACTATAATAAACTGAAAGAGGTAGAAGACTTATCAATGCAACTTTTGAGGATTTATAAAGATGATAAAACTATTGAAACCAATGAATTTTTGATACCTTATCCTCATAGGAAAGAAAGGGAACAGCTCTTAAAATGCTTAATTTCAGGATTTATTGATCAAGTGGCTACCAAAATTGATATTCCAGATGATTACAGCAAAACCAAAAGAATCCCTTATACAATCTCAACTCCAACTGATACCTCAATTTACCCCAAAGACTACGCAGCACTAGGAATAAAAAAAGACACATTTTTTATCCATCCTTCATCATATTTATATGGCAGTTATCCAAGCCTTATCGTTTACCAGCATTTATTATTCACAAAGCGTCCTTATATGATAGGGATCACAAAAGTCAAGCAAGAATGGCTTGATAGCCTGCAAATAAATATTCTCTATTGAATAAATAACACTATATTTTACTATTAAAAAACTAAAATCAAATTCATCCCAAAAAAAAACTAATTAATTTGCATTTTTAACTGCAAAATATTTTTCGAGAAATTCATCATGTTCTTTAATAAGTAAAAATGGCTCAGGAGGCTGTTAGTTTAGACGCCTTGTTCAAACTCTTAATAATAGGAGACTCAGGGGTTGGCAAGTCTTGCTTTATGCTTCAATTTATCGAAGGGGACTTTAAAGAAGATCACACAGTAACAATTGGGGTTGAATATGGCGCCAAAACAGTTCAAGTCGCAGGGAAAAACATTAAATTGCAGCTCTGGGATACTGCTGGCCAAGAATCCTTCAGAGCAATTACAAGGAGTTTCTATAGAAATGCTAACGGCGTTCTGCTGATGTATGACATTACACATAAAGAAACCTTTGAAGACCTTGAAGACTGGCTTAAAGAAATCAGACAAAATTCAGACCCAGAAGTCACTATTTGTCTAGTTGGAAATATGCTTGATCTTGCAGAGCAAGATAGAGAAGTCAGCCCTGAAGAAGGAGAAGAATTTGCGAAACAGCACAAATTAGATGGATTTATTGAGGCTTCAGCCAAAACTGCGGAGGGTGTAACTGAGGTAAGTGAGCTATTTAGGGGTTTCGTTAAAGTAGCTGAAATTTTGTATAAAAAATATTCTGAAAGAGAAAATATCGAGAAAAAAATTAATTCACCAAAAGTAGTTTTGGAAAATAAAAAGCCAACTGCAAAGAAAAAGAAATGCTGCTAAAACAGCTTGAGCAGAACCTTTATAAGTAATTTTATTCTGAAAAATCTTAACTGGATTTTATTTGTTAGAGTTAGATTAATTATGGTGGAGTAATTATAAATATGGAGTGAAGGAGGCTCTAAATTTTCTATACATAGCATGATGAGATTTCTTCACGTTGTGAACACTGATATCAATTTATTTCTGAAAAAATAGCGTTATTTGATTTCATACATAATTCCAGCTTTGAATTTGCTTAAGATTAAATTTTAGATAATCTTATGAAGTTTAGCTATTTTCTTCTTAATCTATCTATCAATTTGTCTTCATTGAATCAAATATAATTAATTTTATGCAAGGACACCAAATCGCATGACACGGATCGAGTTATTGATTTGTTAAAAATAATTAAATTTTATGGCTTCTTTATTTTTCCTTCCTTTAATAAGCTGAACTATTTTTGAAATTTCTTTTATAAATAGATTTCTTCGACAGTTTATCTGGGGTTATTTAGCTAAAGAGGTCACAAATGCCTGTGACGTACCATTTTTGGCTAAGTCCTTAGATGCATGGCGATAGATGAATTTTTCCTTCAAAATTTATTTCATTGTTAAAATATTTACTTCCAGCAATTTAATAATATGACAAGGAAATTTCATTAGAGAACATCCAGAAAGAGAAAATATTGAGATTAATGCAGCAAAATTGGCTTTGGTAAACTGAATAATAAAAATAATGCTAAAATCAACTTAAAGATAAAGTTTAAAATGGTTTTATTTGAAAATTTCTGTATGCTTTATTTATTGTTTTATAAATTATGGTGAGTCTATTATAAATATGAAGAGTAAGAGGTTAAGAATTTTCTTATGTAACATGATAATTTCTTCACGTTTGAAAACTTATAGAAACATTTTTTGAAATATTACCTAACTTTACTTCATACATATTTTAAGCTTTTATCAAATAGTTGATAATTTTACTAACTTTAACTTTTATCTTGATCTATATGCAGAAATCTTATCTCATAAAGCAATATAAATTATTTATGATTCTCCATTTATCCATCAGATGACATCATATGCATCCTCATATTTAATAATTTTTTATGATTAAAAATAGCTATTTTTTCTTTTCATAGCTCATCTGAATACTATTGCATATGAATGAAAAAGGTAACGACACATCAAACACAATTGATTTTTTTTCTTTTTAAGTTCTGCACAAATAAAAAAATTTAGAAATTTTAAAGACTTATCCTCAAAGCATTGAAATTTTTTGAAAAAGAATCAGAATCTTCCAAATTAATGATATCCAAAGCATTATTTTAATTAAATATGCATTTTAAGAAGAATGGCCTACTAAGCAGCAATTTTCATTAACTAAAATTAAACTTGGATGCCTAATTATTTGGCAAGATAGCTGGCTATTTGCTGAAAACTATTATAATGACTTTAATGAAATATAGAAATTGCCCGAGGATGGCGCTATTTTGCGCCATCCTCGGGCAATTCAAAAACCGGCCCCACACGGGAATTGAACCCACGTGTGGGGCCATTTTTGGTATGTGTAAAACATCGACTTACATGTACCAAAAATGGCCCGACACGTGGGTTCGATTCCCGTGTGGGGCCATTTTTTGAATTGCCCATGGCGCAAAATAGCGCCATCCTCGGGCAATTTCTATATATCTTTCATGTCTTGACGTCACCCCATTTTTTCACCAATAATATTTAATATGTCCTGGAACTACTCTCAGGTTGTGGCTAAACTAAAGCCACTTAGAACAGACCTAGTTTCTGCTTATTCCTCTATAAAGCTTGAATCTCTCCCAGCAACTCGAGTTTACATGAAAAATTTCATCTACCAGGCGTGGGCTGTTATCTCAACTTTAAAGGCCCTTCGCTCAAAGCTCTCGCCATCCACAGTTCCATGATACCCACCAGAAGATGAAAACTCTGTGAGATATATCAACGAGATCTTACTGGATGAAGAAACTGATGTCGCCGGGCAACCTCAGCAATATAGTTCCCACTATAACCTTTTCATTAAGGCTATGAGAGAAGCCAATGGATTTTCAGAGCCAATGGAAACTTTACTCCTCCCTTCTTGATCATGAAAAACCATTGGAAAACTCCTATTTTATAGGGAAAAAAACTTTTCGTGAGAATAAAATAATTTTCTAATCAAAATATTTTATTTATATAAATGATAATTATTATAATAAAAAATCTCTAGCTAATGCTTGCTTTCCAAAATATAATTATTAATTGGATTTAAATTTCTTAATTGAAATTTATGTAAAATATTATGAACCCCTCCTGACTAAGCGAGAAAAATTACTTTCCTTGCTCATGGGGGAGATTTAGTCACTGACTTACGGCAAGGCATGGCTTGGGATAAAGCATTTATTAAAAACAAAGATCAATACAAGCACATCATCTCACCATCTACGTTTAAATACGTTGAAAACGAGATTGGCATAGCGATGAACGGAGATCTTCATCAGATCGCAGGATTTTTCTTCTTGGGAAGAGAAGAAACCGTTCCAGACTTGTTCTCAGGCTTCGTCAAATCGTTGAATGAAAAAGAAGTAAATGCTCCTCTGTTCAAAAGTTATATACAGAGACACATTGATTTAGATGGCGATTTGCACGCTCCTTTACTTTATTTTTCATAAGTGAGCAGCAAGGTTTTTCGCTCAAAAATAATTTTATTCTGATTTTTATTATAAAACATTTTATTATAAAATATATCTTGACTTTATAAATATTTTTGGAATTATAGAATTATTAATTACTCCCCACCCCCATCCTTGATCGAACGACTCGCCATCGTTCGATCAAGGGTAAAAAAAATTTTTTTTGGGAAAAAAATTTTATATATAAAATAAAATATATATATATATATTTTTTTTTATTTTACTTTTAAATAAGAGGGTTAAGGGTATTTAATAATTATTTTTGCAACAAAAAATTTAATTAATTTCATAAAAATCCAATTTTTTAATATTTTGATTTATTAGTTACCCCTTTAAACTGTATAAATTTTTAATTTGTCCTCATTAAATTAATTTTTTTTTTAAAATTTTAAGATCTCTATTTTATTAGATTATTAATTTTTTAAGCCTAGATTGATGACTAAATCACTTCGGATGGTTGATTTCGAAGCTTTCTGTCGTCTCAAAGTCCCTGAAAACAACAACTTCATTAGGTGCATCTTCCCAAGCTTTTGATAACTAATATATTTTTATATATATAAAAGTTGCATGATATGAAAATCGTTCGATCAAGGATGGGGGTTAATTTCCCTAATTTTTAGGAATTTTTACAGTCAATCGTTCGATCAAGGATGGGGGGGGGAGTTAGAAAAGTTTTTGCTCGCTCACGAAGAATAGAGATAGGAGAAAAGATCACACAGAGAGTTTGCAAAGAAGACCCCAAGATGTGAAAGGAAGTTTATGAGGCTGGAAAACTTGGAATCACTGATGATTTGAATTTTGCGAAAGGAGTGACCAAAATGATAGGAAAGCCTTTGACTCTTTATGAAGCTGTAGGAGGAAGGAGTAATCTTGAAAAAGTTATTGAAGCCGCTAAGAGCAGGATTAACGCTGATGCTGCAGAAAAGGGATTAGGAGATGAAGATGGAAGAATGATCGTTAATTCATTATCTGAAGATTTTGAAGGGCCAAGCTATCCAGCTGACCAAAAGTTTGGCATTCCTAAGAATAGCCAGACAAATCTTAAAGTAGCACTACTGGATGAGTTTAGTGGTTTGCTCGCAAACCAAGAAGATGCTGCAACTCATCTTAAAAAAATCAAAACAAAATTATCCAAATCTTTTGAAAGTTAAATAAGCTTAATCAGAAGATTTCCCTAAATATTTTCTTTCATATACTAAATAAGCCATTTTCTTAAATCGGCAGATAAAAGGTGCTTGTCGTCTAGCGTGCTTATTCTAAAATAAAAATCAAAGACAAAAACAAAGAGCAGTCATAAAAATTAAATTTGAAAAGTATTTTCCTATTTTAAAGCAGTTATTTATTATAAAAATGACAGAAAGCAGCAGCTAAAAGAACTCTTATTTATATAGTAGAAAAGTAAAATTTACATAAAAAAATAATCTAAGCTAAGCTCTGCAAATGATAAATCAAGCATTGAACCGTAGAAGCTAAAAGATTGAATAGACAAAATTAGAAAACTAGATAAATTATTATTATTTTTTATTTAAAAATGTGGATTATTCATTTGGATTTGAACGTTTTTAAATATAGCATACATAAAATAAAGTAAAAATTGCCTACTTGTAAAATGTAAAGCAATTATTGGGCGATTTAACTCTGATTCATATCAGGCTTTTCTTTCTTCATTTCTTCAAGCTGTGAGTTATAAAAAGTGTTGTCTTGTGAGTTTTCTTTGTTTATATTCTTCTTTTTATCATTAGTTATAAGTTTCGGAGTTCTTCTATCCAATCTGAATGGGCGTGCCTTCACACGACGACTATTCATAGCGACTATTTTTTTTCGCCTGTTTCTGTTCCGCCTATTTTTTCACCTATTATTTTAACATATGAAATAGGCCAAAAAAATAGGCTAAAAAGAAGGCCAAAATAATAGTCCAAAAAAAATAGGACCAAAAAAATGGTCTAAAAAATAGGTGCAAAAAGGCAGAAGACTAAAAAAAAGCCTTTATTAAATGGCATCGTATTAAAGAACCCTGAATGGGAGCTCTTCATCTTCTTCTTTAGATAGAATATAAGGCTCATAATATCTTTGTATTGACTCATTCGGGTTTGCCTCAGGAGTTGTTTTATTTGATTTCTAAATATTCGTTACAAGTGCCTTTTTGGCTCTCCTAGACAGTATATATTGATATGTAGACATATGATTAAGCATCAGCCATATATGAAACCCCAGTAAGTGCCCTACGACCAGAAAAATCAATGAACTTAGAATAGTTACAATAATATGGTATATATAAATCCCTTCTATACCTTCATCATCTAGTCCATACATATCTTTCACATTTTCTTTTTCAGATCATCCACTGCTTATAGCAATTAATAAATAAACGGAGCTCAAAACCTGAACTCCCATCTGACCCTGTAAACTCAAAATTGTTCCGATAAAATGCCGGTAATTGATCTTGCCTATACAGTTATTTAGCCACTTGCAGTGGTGGTCGAAATTATTTACACACCTATTGCATTCTCTACAGTGCTTTGAGTCGCTGTGCACGTGGACTTTACAAATTTTACAAAGTTTTGTGAGTTCGGACAAGTCCATTTCATTCCTGTTTAAATATTACCCTGATATTTGAGAATTAAAGGCTGCGTGCACAGCTGGGTCTGTTGGATCTGTGTAGGTAACTTTGAAGCCAAAAAAGATTGTTGAGATTGAAATTATTGAATAAGAAATTCCTGCCAAAATTTGCATTTGGAGATAAAGAGGAGGGAGAGTGAGCGTATAAAAGGTCCCTGCTAAAAGAAAGGTGATTACTCAGGAGAGAAGTTGCAGAGAGTGAAAAGGACGCGTGAAACCATTTCGTGCCATATATTTTTTCATTTTAAAATTTTTAGTCCTATTTTAAGTTTCCATGACATTTATACCTTGGAGCTTATTTTGAGTAAATTATAAAAGTGCTAGCAAAATTAATACTTGAACTGCTCAATTTCTATTCATTTTTTGAGGTGGCAAGTTAAATCTTTGATTGGCTTGCTAAAAGATCATATTGACAGTCTGAGAGCAGCCTAGACTCTTAGAAAAGGCTGCTGAGCTATATATTAAACAAAAAAAAGCTAATTTATAAAAAAGAAACTTTATATCACTGATGCAAAGTTAGTATTATAAAGTCATAAGGATAGACTACTAGCATGCTTACCTGGCGTAAACCTACCTAACCTAACGATTAACTCCTAGGTTAGAGTTACTTCTTGTGGATGCCCTTCTAGTCCTGATTAGCAAAGACTAAGCTGTAGTCAAAACCTGTCTAGCCCACCGGGTAGGAACAGGGAAAATCTTTGGGGGAGAATAAAATTTCTATCTTCTGTAGGCGCATAAAACCTGAAGATCTTACTTCAAAAAGTGACAGAGGCACTATTTCAGCTTCATCGGGACATGTTTTACCCTCTCCATAGGGAGTGTATCTCGAATCCCTCTTCCGTCGACGTCACCATTTTATTTCTCACTGATGCAAGGTATTGCTTATAAAAAGTGAGCTTATTGCCAAGAAATCAGCTGTAATTATAATAAGTTTCCATGAAAAATCAGCAAATAGCCCAAGCCTGCACTATATCAAATTTTTATGCCTATTTCCATCTTATAACAAATTAAATTAAAATTACAATAAATAATTAAATTACCATGATTGAGTTTTTCCAAGAAATGATTTGCTCTCAGCAGAAAAGCTTTTTTCTTTTGTTTGCAGCTCTAACACTGCAGCCTTCTGTTCTTCAATAAGCTTGCTTTCACTTTCCATAAGCTTTTGTATTCTTTCTCTTTGTTCTGTCTCTATTCGTTTTTGAGCTTCCAAATCTTCTTTCGCTTGCTTTTTTGTCTGAGTTATTGCTATTTTCAGCCCGTCCAGCACATTTTGCCGTTCGTTCTTTTCAACCTCAAAATCCTCTGTTTCCTTTACTGTTTTCTCTTTTAGTTCTTTTAAAGCTTCTTCTTTTTCCTGGATTTCTAGTTCAAGAATTTGCTTTTCATGCTTTAATTGTAAAATGGTTTCTTCTAGCGCTTTCAGCTGCGAGTCGGAGTTTTCAATTTGAAGTTTGTATAGTTGGTTAGCATTCACAATCTCTCTGTATTCTTGGTTAGCTTTGACTAGTTCTAGGTCGATTTCTGACTTTTCTTTTTTTAGATCAGAAATATGATTTAATAAATGGATGGAGACGAGCGACCCGCCATCTTAGCGGCAGGTGTCTTATATATACTCTGCTTGATTTGAGGTAAGATTTTGGTCCAGCTGCATCAAATCACCTCAAGAACAATTCTATAGTCTGCAGGTTTTAGTCCTGGATCCTTGAATATTAATTGCATTTCTTTTTACAGACCACTTAGTTCAGAGTGGCTACATTCCTAAGTTGCTTACCCGAATGGTGAAAACTATTGAGTTCTTTCTCAAGATGGCTGAAATAAGGATAAGGCGAGTTAGACTGTCTCGGTGGGTCTCTCAAGTTTAAAAGGAGATTTGAGACACTAATGTGGAAAGGGAAGACCCATAAAGCAGGATTTTAAATACCTATCATAATAGCATAGATCAGAAATATGGGTTGACTCAAGGCTAATAGAATTATTTAGTTCCTTCAAAGCTATATCAATTGATTCTTTTTTATTCATAAGTTGTTCAGTTCCAGAGGCAAGCTCTTGGTATTCTTTATATTTCTTATTTATTTCAGCCTCAATGTTTGCTTTTTCCTTTTCAGCACATTCAATTTTTTCATTCATTGCGGTTAAATTCTCCTTATTTTTACTCATTTCAGCTAGCTGGGAGGAAAGCTCATTATGCAAAATCCCAATCATTTCTTGAAGTTTTTGTCTTGACGAAGATACTTCAGCAAGTTCTTGAGCCTCATTTTTCTTTTGCTCAACGATTTTTCTCAAATTTTCTTTTTCACTTAATATACTTTCTTTTAATTCAATCAGATTTTGCTGCACAAAAGCAGTCTCGGTGTCCAGCTGCTCTTTTTTGTCTTCTAAAGATTTTATTTTAGACTTTGTTGATGCTAACGATATCATTGAATTTATAAATGATGATCCTTCTGAGACAGACTCTGGATTTTCGCATTCCAAATCAAGCATAGGATAAATTGCTTTAAGCTCTGACTTCCCCTCCGTGAGTGAACGAAAATTTTGCTCCACTCACAATTTTTTTTTTAATTTAAAGAAAATCCAAATTCCTAATAATTTTAAAGCAATTATTCATTTAATTTGTAAAATTTATTTTTTAGAATGCAAGCTGTCTAAAATTGAACAGAATTAGTGAGAGATTTCATTATTATAATTATCACTTATATATCAATTTTTTTTTCATAAATTTATATATTTAAAAAAAAATTGTTCGCTCACGGAGGGTAGCTTTTAACTCAAAATTTGAATTTTTCTGTTCGCTTACGGAGGGTGGGAGTGAGCATGAAATCCCTAGAGCTACCTGAACGATGGCTATGGTCACAAGTAACTTCATTTTAAATCATAACGTTCAAATTTATCAATCCAGATAATCACAATCCAAGATGCTAAAATTTATGTGAAGAAATATCTATGCTTATATGTAAATAAAAATAATCAAATAGAGCTAATTGCTTATTAATTTATAAGACACATTGATTCAGCATATCCAATTTTAAGCAAAATATTTATCTGCTGATTAATAGTTAAATGCTTAATAATACTGTATAGCAATTGCCCGAGGATGGCGCTATCTTGCGCGCCATCCTCGGGCAATTCAAAAAATGACCCCACACGGGAATCTAATCCACGTGTGGGGCCATTTTTGGTACGTGTAAGTCTATGTATTACACATACCAAAAATGGCCCCACACGTGGGTTCAGTTCCCGTGTGGGGCCGGTTTTTTGAATTGCCCGAGGATGGCGCAAAATAGCGCCATCCTCGGGCAATTTCTATATCTTTTAATTCAATCACATATAATTAATTTCATGGAAGAAGCAAAGATGAGTAAGAGCCAAAGCGCTCCTCCAGACGGCTTTCTACAAGACTCCCAAGAAGCCCTCACAGAAGCAAGTGAACAATTCATCGCCAAAAAAATATCAAAATACGATGTCCTCAAAGTGCGTGTATGGCTAGACGACCACTTCTTCATCTTTTCCAGGTTTCTGGTCAGCAGAATTCTCAACCTCAATAAAGTCCCTCCCAAAGACTCAATCAGAATTGCTATGGACCTCAAAAAGCTCCTCGTCGAAGAAGAAAAGTTTGACGTAAAACAGTCTGAAATGCAAAATTATCTTTTTCAGATCATGCGAGCTTATAACTATGGTGACTCTTTTATAAGAAGATACCAAATGGTCTCCAATTTCTACGCACAAAGAGCTCCTTTGCTCATTCTCGTCGCAGGGCCACCAGTGTGTGGGAAATCTACCTTGGTGACGCAGCTGGCTGACCGTGTGAATGTCGCAAACGTGCTTCAGACCTCAATAGTGACCTCAGTGATGAAAAAATTCAACCCGAATATCATAGGAAAGCCTTTTTGGGCTTACCCAGAAAACGAGCAAGAACAAAGATTCAATTGTGAGTGCGGAGTTGTCAGACGAGGAGTGCAGACTGATATAAGTAAATGCTTGCAAGAGGGTAAAGCTTTGATTATTGAAGGATACGAGCTTGATCCGAATCTTTATTTGCAGCAGCACGAAGATATGCCTCGAAAGTTCAGGATCACTATGAAAAATTCTGATGACCCTCATGATCAAATGTTGAAAAAGCAGCTTGACGACTTAGACCAAAGCAACGCTGTCATTGTGCCGTTTTTGCTGACCATTTCAGAAAAAGAGCACGCTTATATCATTGAAAACTGGCTGATGGGAATTTTGCCACCAAGTATCCAAGAAGAAGTCGCAACACTCGGGAATTTCCAACAGCAGCTAAAACGCTTGCTAAAAAGCTTCCAAGAGGTGCAAAGGCAGCTGCTGGAATACAACGATATTTTCACTGTTATCCCAATCAACATCCAACACATTGACGAGACCTTGAACACCTTGCACAATGTTATCCTTGCAAGGATTGAAGCATCTTTTATTAATCGAGCTTAAATCTGCTAATCATAATAATTACTTAAACTGGGTTATAGTCGATCTTTCCTTCAAGCTTCTTAGCCTCCTTGATCTTCCTGGCTGCCTTCATGAAGTCTTCGTGATCTACGTGGTCTCTCATTTCTCTGATTGCGAACATCCCAGCTTCTGTGCAGACATTTCTCATGTCAGCGCCGTTGAATCCTTCGCACAGCTTGGCTACTGCTTCATAGTCGATTTCTGCACTTTTTCTGATTGATCGTGCGTGGATCTTCAAAATGTCGACTCTTGCGACTTCGTTGGGCAGAGGGATTTCAATTTTTCTGTCCAATCTTCCAGGTCTTAATAAAGCTGGGTCAAGCACATCAGGCCTGTTAGTTGCCATGACCATTTTAACCTTTCCTAACTCGTCAAATCCGTCCAATTGATTAAGAAGTTCCATAAGAGTTCTCTGGATTTCTCTGTCAGCAGAAGTTCCTTCTGAAAATCGCTTGCCTCCTATGGCATCAATTTCGTCCATAAAGATGATGCAGGGCTGATGCTCTCTGGCATAGGCAAACATTTCTCTGATGACCCTTGCACTTTCTCCTATATACTTGTCAACAATGGCTGAAGCGACCACTTTCATGAATTTTGCCTCAACATTGCAAGCCAAAGCTCTGGCAATCAGAGTTTTTCCAGTACCTGGAGGACCATATAAAAGGACTCCTTTAGGTGTCTTGATGCCTACTCTTTGGAATAATTCTGGGTTTGTGATGGGGAGCTCTATTGCTTCTCGGAGTTCTCGAAGCTGCTCAGATAAGCCACCTACTGAAGAATAAGGGACGTCACCTGGGTTTTCGTTCATCATATTGAAAACCATTGGGTCGACTTCACGAGGCAGCTTTTGCATGATTGTGAGAGTGGTCATGTCTAAGGAAACTCTCGTGCCTGGCTTTAGCAATGCTTTGTCAAGCTTTGGTCTGGCTCCGACAACATATCGAGGACCATTTGAAGCTTTGACAATGTACTTTTCATCGTCAATTTGCTTGAGAACTTCTCCGATGATAAGCCCGGCGTTCTGAATTGCTTTTAAGTCGTCTTCTGTCTTTGCGAATTCTAGCTTCTGCTTTGCGACTGTTTCTTTTAAAGCAGTGACTTTTTGTTCAAGGTCGTCATGCTCGGTCTTTTTCTGGATATATTTCGCAATCAGATTTTGCCTCTCGTCCATTTCTAATTATAAATGGGAAAAGAAATTCATAGATTTCTTTTAATCTAAAAATTCTGATTAATGGGATTTCTTCATTAAATTTTAATATATAAATTCTCAAAACAAAATCTTTTGGCACATTTTTATCGTCTCCAGCGCTGAGGAGTCTTCCTCTTCTTCGGCAGGGATCCAAAGAGAGAGTCATTAGTAGACTCAACATCAATGCGTTTGAATTTCCAAGATCTGCTCGCGTCCATATTTAGCTTTTCTTGAATTCTGCTTAGGTCAATTGAATGTGGAAGCAGCCGATATTTATAATCATATTTATATCCTCACTCACCTGAAAAGTGCATTACACAAACCAACGAAGTTGACTTAGCTGACGCATCCAAGGAAAAATGGGCCATGCCGTTTTCAGTTTTAACTCCTTTTGTGTGGTTGAATTTGAGCTCAAAATGCACCGGGCCTTCGTGCTCGTTGACAAGCTCAAACGTAATTCTATGCTCAAGGTCATATTGAGTAATTTTTATTCTTAACCCCTTATGGACCTCAACAAATTTAATTAAAGGCTCAATGTTCAGCTTTTGGAAAACAAATTGGTATTTGTATGAAAATGACCCTTCTATTCTCAATTCTGACAGTTTTAGAGACTCATTTGGGAGGACCTGCACTTTCTTGGTAAGCTGATCGTCGATAGGGGAAACATTTCTCAGATCTATAAGCATAAATTGGACTATGTACAGGAAATCAGTGAGATTTTCTAACTCCTTCTGTGAGCGAGCAAAACCATTGGAAAAATCTCTATTTTTTTGCCAAAACCACCCTCTGTGCGAACAAAAATATTGTTTATATAAAAATTTTTTATGAAAAAAATTATATGGGATTTTTTTAAATTTTGAAAAAAAATAACCCCATGAGCGAACAAAATTTTTTTGTTCACTCACGGAGGGGGGAGTAAGTAAAACTCGATGTATCAGTGAGATATGTCTTTGATCACAATTAATTCAAGCCCTTCTGAAATTTGCTTTCTCTCAGTATTATCTTGCATATTTTCAGTTGGGAAATGCTTGCAATAATAAATTATAAATATTGAAGAAAATATATATTGCAATTGCGCACCCATTAACTCCTATAGCTGGTTACTCACAAGAAGTAGGGGACCTTAGGAAAGGAGAGTTGCAGCTGATATGTGTATCCGGCAAGATTTTACTAGCGCAAGTGAACCATTATGCTGAGCTAATAGCTCAAGTTCAATCCTGAGGCAGGGTTTCCTCATGAGGAAATGGGACACGAAACTGGAAAGAGAGCTGTCAGAAATTTCAAAGGTATTTATTGTTCAATTAAGAATATCTTCTAAATCAATAGCAGGTATTGCGTCCTGAGTTTTAAGTTTCCATCTTGCAGACAGTGTACCATAATTTTTAACTTTTGAATTTTCATTGCTATGCGCTGACACACGACGCAGCGGGCGCAAATCTTCTGACTACAGAATAGCGAGGATTTTCTCCTCGCCACTAAGGAGCAACTTTCGCTAAGTCGTGAAATTTGCAAGCAGAGAACTATTAGGAAAGAGAATACGGACCTGAAAGTGACCTGAAAATGAGCTTATCGATAGTCTTATATTACATATATTGAAGAAAATAGTTAATCGAATACACTTATTGCTAATGAAGAGATCATTCTAGAAGCAGAAGAACTCTGGAAAGGCTTGATGAAAAAGAGACTTCAGCTGAAGGAATGTGCGCGTTTGACCCTTTTGGAGCAATTTTTGCGGTTTCTTATCCAATTGCAACTCAAAATGTCAAAGAATTATATCAAACTGACTGATGCAAGCAACTATGCAGATGGCGCTATTTTGTGTGAAAAAATTAGTGCCCTGAAAACAAAGGAATTAAGTGAAGATGGACAATACTTGTTAGCCTATACATTTGAAAATATGATTCTGCTGCTTGATGTACTGGATGGCCAAAAGAAACATATATTTAAAGATTTCCAAAACGAAAATGGATGGTTATGACTAATAGTTGTTGAGGGAGGATGGGTTCCATAGGAGACCTTTTGGGTTTTTAGTCTCAGTATATGTGCACATATTTTTTTAAAAGTATACTTATAAGTCCAAAAGCAGCTGATCTGTTTGGGCGTTGCTCTATATATAATTACTGGGGGAAGAAAAAATCCATTGTATTCTTCGATGTGAATACTGATGAGAAAATGCATTAGTTGAGAAGGCATCCTAAAACATCAACTTCCTTCGCATGAAGCAGAGAGTATGTGCTCTTTGTTTCAGGCTGTCAAAATTTGTTATTTTGAGTTCCTGACCATGCATAAAAATAGCGTGGCGAATCAACCCTTATACATAAAAATCGAATGACAAATCAATCCAACCTCTTAGCACCTGTAGCAAGGAGATTCAGGGATCTTGTGGAAGGAGTTTTGGCGCTTGTTATATGTCCCTAGTAAGGTTTTACTTGGTTTGTGGAGTGCAATGTCCGAGTTGGCAGACTGCAGGCTCACATCCAGGTCAAGGGTTTTACCTAGAGGAATATGGAGTTCAGAGTTGAAAGGGGTGTCCCAGCAATACCAGTGAGTTTCCTCCTGGTCTATCAGGAACTTACCCACTATGATGCTATGCGTTGTGTCCTGAACCATGAATTTTTATCTTAGCCGACAGGTGACAGAAAATTTTTTCAAATTATTTTGAAATTGTTAGCGTGCGGCATGGTGACCCAAGCTTTCAGATTGCCAGGGAGTATGTGCAGGCCCATGTCTGATAGGAGCAAGACTTTGAAGGTCATGAGACAACTGTCGGCGAAGCAGACAGTGGAAGGGAATAAGGATCTTAGGACCCTAGGGGGATTTTCTATAATCTAACTAAGTGTAAGTTTAAGAGTTCCTAACCAGTCAAGAATTAAGCAATAATTTATTTAATTTAATATGCTACTTAAAAAGAGTAAATCTATAGAAAATAGATAGGTTTGAAGAAATCAGATATTATTACTGAAAAGGATGACAAGCATTAAAAAAATATTTGGGAATATTTAATATATTTAGCATCCAATATATATAATATAATTTGCACATGAGCTATGAAATTCAATCACTGATATACTTAGATTAAATTTCTGGATAATATTAGCTTAATTTAAAAAAAACTATTAATTTCTTCACTTTTTTATATTAGTATTCAGTCTTCAATTTTTTTCCTCAATTTTAATCTATTTTTTATAAATCCCTCGCATTTTAACTAAAAAAATTTAAATGTAATTATAATAATGACTCAAAACCAGAATGAAATAATATTAAATATGAGTAAAAATGACGACATCAACGACTTTCAGCCCAAAATTATAAGCTATCACTCAAGCCCAAGACCTGTAAGACTTATAAACCTCAACCAATGCCCCAATCAGGGCAGACTTTCCAATTTAAAACCTTTAGAAAACTGTTTAAACCCTCCAAAAGTGCCTCCGAGATGCATAAGTGTGGGCCCAGTTTGCAAAAGAAATCTATTCTTCAAAGAAGATAAGTCAGCATTGCCAAAACCCATCAGCAAGCCTCCAAATGAGCTGATCTTAATTCCAAAACCTCCCTCTGAGACAAGTTTAACCAGCAAAAAATGCACTCCAAGATTAAGGCGATACAAAATTGCTTTTGAAGAAAGCTCAACTGCAACTTCTAGTGTCGAGTCCAATCCCCAAAAAAAAACAAATAAAGAAATCGAAGTCCTAAATCAGCTTTGCAATCAGCTGCTAAAAGAACAAGACGAACTTAGGCAGCAATTGAAAGAGCAAGAAGATCAAATCCAGTTCATCAGGTCTTCTAACTCCCCCCCCCTCCGTGAGTGAACAAAAAAATTTTGTTCACTCACGGAGGGTTAATTTTTTTATTTTAAAAAAATTTATATATAAATTTTATAGAATTTTTTTTTTTCGAATTTTAAAAAAATCCCAATTTGCAAAAATTGGAAAGCAAATATTAATTTAATTTATAAAATTTATGTTTTAAAAAGCAATCTGTTTAAAATTAAACAGAATTAGCTTTAGATTTCATTATAATAATTATCACTTATATATCAAAATTTTTATCCATAAAAAATTTTTCTATTAAAAAAATATTTGTTCACTCACGGAGGGTGGGTCTTTGTGCAAAAAAATGGCGATTTTTCTAATGGTTTTGTTCACTTACGGAGGGGGGGAGTAAAGAAAAAAATGTGAGACTTCGCAAAGAGCCACTTAAATTGTTCCAAATCGCAGTGTCTCAACTGGAGAAAGAAAGAAAAATCAGGTGCATCAATTCCTCACGGTCGATAACTCCTTGGAGAAATGGAAGCCAAGAAAAACATAGATCGCCTGAGGTGAGCCAGTTACCCTTGGCATTGAATTTGTCATTCAAAAATAGCCAGGCTTCGAATGAAAATTCGGAGGAACTTGTCACTTTTCGTAGCAGACATTTGTGGTCAAACCAAAATTCGCCAAAAAAACAATTCCGCTTTCCAAGGGAAATTTTTAGCAGGCATAATAGAAAAACGAAAGAACAGAGTTAATTTTTCAATTTTATAGTGTGGTGTATAGGTTTACAGTAATGATAAATCAAATTTCAATACTTTTGAGATTGTTGAATTAAATAAATCTAGCAATTATGGGAGTTCGTTTATCTCTAATAAAAATGGTAGTTTTTTATATATGTAGAGTAGATATCTATTTTTTTAAAGTTAGGAGGCAATGAATAATAATCACAATTTAGTTTAAATCGTTTATCAAAGTCTTTTTCAAAGGATAAGGGACTCCTCGGCATTTCTGTCGTATCATCATAGCTCTTTTTAAATGAATGCACTCAGTCTCGCATTTTCTTTCGTCATGGCCTTCAAAGCACTTTATTAGCTCCGATTTTACTCGTGGGGAAAGATTTTGAGCTTCAGCCTCACTGCTGAAAATTGAAATTACTAACCCCACTCCATGAGCGAACAAAACCATTGGCAAAATCCCTACTTTTTGACCAAAAATCCCACCCTTCGTGAGCTAACAAAAAATTTTTTATTTATATAAGTGATTATTAGTATAATGAAATATCTAGCTAACTCTGTTTAATTTGAAACAAATTGCATTTAAACCATAAATTTTCCAAATTAAATTAATATTGGGATTTTTTAAATTTCGAAAAAAAAAACCTCTGTGAGCGAAAATTTTCTTTTTCGCTCACGGAGGGGGAGTAATGGTGGGAGTTTTATTTGGTCATTTCCAATCAACCCCTCATACTCCCTACTGAAATTCTCAGAGAGTGTTGGCCTGTGGATGACAACCATTGTAGGACCAATAATGGTATCTCCTTCTAAACGCGACCTACGAATTTTGGATGGAGATGAGCTGGTCTCTCTAGCTTTTCTTGACTGAGGACTGCTCAATGAAAATTCTGAAAGATTAAATTGAGTGTACTTGGAAAAGATCTTAATATTGGAAAGTTTTTGGGCTAGCTTAAAATGGTCGAGAGACTCCTTATAAGCCTTATAAAGAATCTGCTGATCATAGCTTAAAGAATCCAAAAATTTTTTCTCTAAATCATTCAGATTGGCTATAAGCTCTTTTTCTTGTTTTCTAAGAGCTTGTGCTTGTGGAAAATCATCGATTTCTGACTCAATTTCTGAGTCTTGAACAGTTTCTTCATTTCTTATAGAATTAGAAAACTCGGTTTTTGATAAGTGAGTCTGAATGGCACTCTGGGAGACATTTCGGCCTTTGTCTTTAGATTGAAGCACACCCCTTTGTGACTCAATAGTATCATTAGCAGACTCAGCTGCCTTCTGGCCTTCTGAATTCCCAGCACTTTTTAGCCCAATTCCTTGCGATTTCGCAGAGATATTATCATAGACGACTCTTCTTTCTTGCTTACTATTTTCTCTACTTCTTGCATCATTTTTGCTTCTGTTTTCTTCTCTTTCATCTTCTTCCTCTTCTTCAGATTCATTTTGTAGTATTCCTAGATTGCCATTATACTTTCCTTTCTGGCCATTGGGTACTTTCCTCCTATTGCTTGCTTCTACGTCTTCTTTTTTACCTTCGCCAGGCTCTTTTCCTTCATTCTCTGCACGTGCAGATGGAGCATTTCCTTTATATCTAGTCGCTCTGCTAGCCTTTGGATAGTTTTGTGAAGTCTTTCGATAGCCTTCATTCATTTTTCTCAAATCAGAAAAATCAATATCACCAGAATCCCAGTCTGGAGCCTCAATTTCGCTTGCTTTTGCATCAATTTCCTCGTCACTTTGGCCAATCTTGAAAATTTTATATTTTTTAATGATTTCATTTGCATCAATTTCCAAAAAATGATATGGCCCTCCAAATTTCTTCTGCCAGGAATCCTCAATTTGCTTGAGTTTTTCTTCAGCTATCCTTAAATGTAAAGCAGAATAATTAACATGGTGGCGAAAAATATATCTTTACCAGCAACGCACCACTGTGGGCGCCAAAATGGCTTTATAGAATAAGCCAAGGCATAAGCCCTTGATTCTCGCTCTAAGCACACTGTATGGCTGCCATATGGGTTGGGTGGCTTTTGAAGTCAGCTGGTGGACATTCTATCCGGATAGTTTTCGGGCCTTACCCTTCCTCTAGGTGACCGAAAGGAGATATTGGATAGCCTTTCCTCCATAGTACCCGCAAGAATTCAGCATTAGGGTCTTTCTAGCCCGTCGAAACTCAAGGAAGACTAGTTCAGGTCCTAGTCCCTGAGGAGACCGGTGCTTTGGGGCTCTTTGACCGTTACTATTCCTGACGAGGAGGTATCCGGTGATCGAAAGCGTGTGGAGGCATCAAATCTGGAAGACCTTAAGCTCTTAAATTAACTTAATTTAAATGTACAGTAGTCTGGAAAAGATTGTCTCTTAAAGATGACAGCTTATTTCTTTTCCCAATAAGCTTCACTTTAAAATCATTTATTTCCGCTCTCATAGCTTTTAAGACCTTATCCTTATCAATGAGTTTATTAGAAAGCAGCGAGTTTCTTTCCTTACTTGCCTTCAGCTCTTCCTCAATAGCTGTTTGCTTATTTTTGGCTTGAAAAGCTTCAAATTCGTTATCATTAAATTTCTTTTCTATGTCTTGCAAGTTATGCTTCATTTTATTGATTACATCTTCGAGCCTTTTGTTTTCACTTATTAAGTGATTGTATTTTTGTTTCAGAAGCTCAGTATCTATTTCTTTATCTTGCAGCAAAGGGTCTTTTCCTTTCTTCGACTCTTTTCTATCAGCAGTGTCTGTTTGTGTTTCTTTGTCATTTCCATTGGCATTTTGTTTTGGCTGTCCTTTTGAAAATGTCACAGTAAGCTTACTGTGAAAATCATGGATATTTGCTTCAAGCAGCTTCGCTGCTTTGTACTCGTCAAAATCATAACCGTCTGGGAGTTCTGTAGGAGATATTGGGACTTCTGTATGCATTTTGCATATAGAGTCATAAAGATCGCACAATTTCTTTGTGATTTTCGAGAATCGGACATTCTGCAATTTTCCACTCAGGTCTCTTATAAAATTAAGCTCTGGGGTGGAGCAAAATCTGATCTCTTCCTTGTCATCTATTTCTTCAGTTTGAGATGAATTTTCTTTATGGCGTTTTTTGGGCTGGCTTTCTTCAATTGGTTTTGCTGAAAACGACTTTTTTGCGACTTTTAAAAATCCAGTAATTCCTTTAATTATTCGGTTGCTAATTCCTTTATCTTTATGCAATAAGCTTAAAGCTAGCTCTTCTAAATACCATCGATAGATTTCGTATTCTTTTTCACATAGATATTGTTGAGATGAATTTAAATGCCTCAGCCCTTCTAACTCGACTTCTTTTATTTCCAGCTCTTTGTCAAGCCGCTGAAATTCAGCGACTAGTAGTGTATCAGATCCCTTCCTCGTGGAAGAATAATGTAAGCTATTTGTAAAACTCAGCTCAGAAGACTTTGCTAACTCTCCCACCTCCGTGTTCAAAATTTGTTCGCTTAAGAGCGGTTATTTTTTTTTAGAAAATTTTATTTAATTTATTTTTTCAAATTTAAAATCCGAATTTTAAATATTTTAAAGCAATATTTATAAATTTATATTTTAAAATGCAAGCTATTTTAAATTTACCTATAGATTTCGTTATTATAATTTATCACTTATATCAAAATATTTTTATAAGAATTATGTTTGTCAAGGAGGTGGGTTTTTGGGTAAAAAATAGGGATTTATTCAAGGTTTTGTTCGCTTACAGAGGGGAAATAAGTCAAAATCTTTGGAGTTGATAGTAGAATTTTGTGTCGTTTCGCTATAAAACTGAGAAGACGATCTTTTGTGGACTCTGCTGGGCATAGGAATAGAGACCATTGTATTATTCCCTGTCATTTTCAGGGATGGGAAGGAGTGCTTCATTGTTTATATTAAAAAAATATTACTCTCTTATTTGATTAATCATTCCTCTCAAATTCAGTCGCTTATTCAAATAAAACTCATTTGGAGGAAAAATTCGCTTCTGAGATATTAACAAAGGCTTAGGCATCCTATCATCGGTTCGGTTTATTAGATTGCTAGCAAATGACTTAAAAGCCTTGACGAGGTGGGCAACTTGGTCCTCGCCTTCATACAAGCTGTTCAGCTCTTCAAGTGTGACTGGGTCTTTTTCACTGTCAATCGTCGCGTTAATTTTATTCGTGAAATCAATAACACCATTAATTGGCTTCAAAATGAGCCTTGCCAAGAAATAAATGCAAACTGTGACAACTGACATAGTAGCTATAGAGCAGAGGATTGTAGAAATCAGCAAAATGACCCCAAAGTCCTCAATTTTAGTTTGGCTGTCGTTTTTGTCTTCCATGATTTCTTCTTCGCTCACAAAAAGCATTAATAAAAAGTACCAGTTAGTTGAGTCTATTGCAGAGTCCATCACTGGATAAGTAGCGACCCTATAAATCACATTATCGTCTATTAAATAGTAGATTCCAATAGGCGGCGAGGTAGACGAAACTTGTTTTCAGAAAACTTTGTCTGGGATCTGGTCAATGTTTTTGTACTTATTGCTCCACCACCCTGTGTTGGGGGACTGCAGAATGTCACCATTTTTATAAATCAGTCCTGTTTGTCCACTATTTAAATAAGAAATCTTCGATATTTCTTGATTTATAAACACAATTGGCAAGTCTGCAACAATTAAGCCAATTCTCTGTCCATATGCATTATTTAAAGGCGCAACTAGCGAGATAATTCCTTTGCCATCACCTATGATATCTTTATAAGAAGTAGTCGCCAAGGTCGTTGAATTTTGGTTCTCAATAAAAGTTGTATACCATATTTGCGTATACGGATTATAGCCTTTCGGCAGATTTGAGGCTGGATAAATGACCATAAAATTTCCCTCTTCGAATAAAATATAAAATCTGATGGCTGTCCCAGTCGTCAAATCCAGTAGCATTTTCCAGATATTATCAAATCTTGACACCTTTTTAAGCAAAGTTCCATCATAAGTTGAGCTGAAATTATAAAAGCAGCTATACGAATAACTGATATTCTGCCCTTCATAAAACGACACATTGCTTGATAACTCTGAAGCTGGGATGCTGGAAAATCTCATAGGTGTTAAATACTCCAGTGCAAAGGTATTTTCATTATACATGCTGATGAGCATTTGGCCAACAACATCGAACATGATAAAGACTTCTTGGAATTTAGAAAAAATATAAGCCCCGCTTTCTCTGATCAAGCTCAGCATATTTTCTCTAGCCTGCTTGTCCAAAGCTTCCTCCATCCTGTTAGTGGTTGAGACTTCTAAGAGATTGAGATTGAAGATTTGGAAAAAGATGATGAGGAGAATAATGATGAGCATGGTCATTAAATAGCAGATCATCATCTGGTTCTTGATTGATCACGTCTTTGACACTGAGATCATTTCCTTCCAGATGTGTAATAAAGGGTTACACATTTAGCTATTTTATTTCTCTATATTTATTTTTGCAAATTTATTGATCACCTTAAAACGCAAATTTCATTTGAAATTCAAGATCGGGCCCGATAGTTCCATTTTAATTAATTCAACATAACGAAATCCACACGAATGATGAAGCAGATCTCTCAGGCAAATTTTTACTTAATCAGTTATAGAATTTATAATTTGGTAATAAAATATGGGATGTTCGGCTTCAAACACCTTAGGTCTCCCTCATTTGAAAATAGATGAAGTTAAAATATCGCAGTGAGAGAAGCAGCTTAACTTCAATGAATGTCAGGCTGAAACTATGATAGAGTGCATAGAGTCAAACCAAGAAACCGAAGACTATATCACCATCAAGTCATTCTGAGAAATTTTGTATTTCTTTAAATTTCCATCTAGTTCTTTCCCACTTAACACTGGGCGAGCTAGCTCAATGTACAAAACAATTAAGCAGGACGATAAAATTGATGCAAGGAAATTGAAAGCCTTGATCATTCTATTGACTAAGGACCAGTTAAAGACTAAAGCACTTCTGTTTCACGATGTAATTAATAATAAAGTCATCGAACTGAAGGGGGAGCAGGTCGAAACGTTTCTTGAGATCATTTCTACGATCGCAATCAATCTTGTATGGATGGCTTTAGGCAAGAAGCCTGACCAAATATCTATGGAAAAACTTTCAGAAATTGAAAAAAAGCTTGTTGATGCCCAAAAAGATTTTATTTTTGCAACCAAAAATCTGCTCCTGCTGCAAAAAGATGTGATTTCTAAGCGAGCATTTATAACTAGACTGCTGAAATATCCTTTGCTATTTACCCCAGCTGGTATTAGAACTATGATTAATCAGAGATACAAGGAAAACGTGTTTTTATACTCAAGTCCTGTGCAGCAAATCCATCACAAGAATACTGCTGATACAGTTTTTCACGACTGAGAAAAATTCCCTGACAGTATTAATATAGAAAGGCATGACGTAGAAAATTCCTACTCAAAGTTAAACGTCGCCCATACTGATTCAGTGAGATTTACAGATTCGTTATGTCTTGATGACAGCAGGTTCGAAAAATCTTTCGAAAACTTGAATTCTAGCAAGGAAAAAAATGATGAAAGCAGCATAGAAAAAGAAAACGTACACGAGGTCCAAGTAGAAAGGGCCAGGTCAATACTGTTAAGGCGATATTTAACAGCCCCTAGAAGTCGTCGAGGGACCAGAGTTGGTAAATCGCCTGCAGAAATTGTGGATGCTGAAGTTCTTAAAGAAAAAATAAAACTCCTTGAATCAGAAAATAATCAGCTTAAAGCCAAAGCTACCATATTCCATGAAGAATCGTTAAAAGCCTTAAAAGACCTTGAAAATGTTGAAAAATATGGGTCGCCTTTCCCAAGAAAAAGTCCCAAAAAGAAAGAAGACAAGACTCAGGAATTCAAGCTAAAACTCAGTGAGATTGAGTCTAAAATTGAAGACCTAGCAGCGCAGAATGAAAAGCATATGAGTTTGAATGCTGTACGACTCTCAATCATTATTTATAAATCTAGACTCCGATCAGCCTTCGGAAAATGGAAAATAAAGCCTATTCGTTTGCCTTCAGTTTTGTCTTCACCGTTCAAAGTAGAGACAGATGATTTGACGAAAAACACAATCACTGCTACAACAATTGTTACTAAAGAAATGGTCCAGGAGATCAAATGTTTGGTGACTAAAATTGTGAGGAAAAAGCGAAAAGTGAAGTAGACGCTCTTTCTTTAAATTAATAGAGCTTGAGATTATATATAGGTAATAGGATTAAATTGTAAAAAGTTTATAAATATATAAATGGAGTACGAGTTGTATTTCCTGCTAAATGTATTAGGAGCAGTCGTAGTGATTTTGATTATAGGGTATCATTTCTTGTGCCTTGATGAAGACGAATTGGATGAGAAAGCAAAAACAAAACAGCAATTGAAACCTAAAGACTCATTGATTTAGATCTATATGAAACAGCTATTTATGATTTTTTGGGGGCTGCCCTATTTAATTTTAGTATTGGTTTAACCAATAATAGAAAAATTAGAGAGAGCAGGCTTGTAATATTTCTAGCCACCCCTTTTTATTTTTTAATAAACCTCAAGACAAAGCTAAAGAAAATTAAATAACATTTTGATTGGAAATCATAAATTTTAGTTTTGCTATTAAATCGAATATGAGTTATTATTTCATGCTTGATAATACACTATTCAAATGAGCATGAAAAAATTCATTATTGCTACAGAATAATAAATATTAAGAATCATCAGGAATTTCTTTAAATTGTGAAGCGATTAGTAGTTTAATAAAAGACTTTTAAAAATTATACAAACTCATTTCAAAAAATCTGCATATAATTTTAATTAATTTTTATTTAATCAACAATTTTTCCTCACTCCCACCCTTTAAGAGCGACTCACTTCCCCCTCCGTGAGTGAACAAAACAATTTTGTTCGCTCACAAAGGGGGGGTTAATTTTTTTTCAAAATTTAAAAAAATTCCTTTGTAAAAATTGAGAAGCAAAAATTAATTTAATTTGCAAAATTTATATTTTTAAACTTAGGCTGTTTAAACTAATTAGAATTAGCTAGAGATTTCGGTATAATAATTATCATTTATATACCAATTTTTTTTTTCATAAAAAATTTTATATTAAAACAATTTTTGTTCGCTCACGGAGGGTGAGCTTTTGGGCAAAAAATAGGGATTTTTCTAATGTTTTGTTCGCTCACGGAGGGTGGGAGTAAGCTAAAGGTGTTAATTTTATTTTTAAATTCACATTAATTTATAATATAATTAATTTTTATGCAAGTGTGTTCAATTTAATAGGATTGGCTAGCTCTTAAGGGGATAGTCAGCGTTGCAAAATTAAAGCCAAATTAGTACGAACCCAAGATTTTATCACCTGGATCAAGCTTGAATGGACTAAAAATTTGTGCAATTATGATTTTACTAATGGGCATTGAGTGAATTTGCAGGAGCAGAAGTCTATTTTCTTTCTAATTTTCATACTTATTTGCTATAAAAATCCGAGCTTAGAGCTTATTTGGAAAAGAGTAAAGACAAAATTTTTATACTGCCAATTTATAAATATTTAGAAGTGCAGCGGGATTCTTTCTTTCGTCCAGATTTCTTTTTCTATGAGATTAGGACCTAGAGTTTTAAAGGGCAAGCACGCCACTAAACCAATCTGTAAAATTTATTTTTAAAAATGCAAGCTGTTAAAAATTAAAAAGAGTCAGCTAGATTTCATTATAATTATCATATATAGTAAAATATCTTTTCATAAAAACTCTTATATTAAAAAATTCACACATATGGTGGGTTTTTACCCAAAAAAATATAGATTTTTCAATGGTTTTATTTGTCACTGAGGGGGAGTAAGAATTTTTTGCCGAATCATATCTTTTCTTTTAAAATTTAAATTAATTTAAGTAATAAATAGATATTAGCGTTGACGAGAATAAAAAATGATAAGAAATTATTATGGCTCTTGCTAAATTTTGTTACTTCAATTTCTGCAACAATAAAAACATAAAATCTTAAGCAGTGGAAATAAGAATTTAAGTATGATAAAAAATCTTAAAAACTATTCTTTTTATAATTCATGAAAGAAGAGACGAAAAAGTGTTTAAAAGAGTTCAACTTTGAAATTACGCTGAATCAAAGAGTTTTCGCAAAAAACTGCTGACTCCAAAACATTTGTTTCAAAAAACTGCTATGCCCTAATGAAAAGCAAAAAATTTTGCCGATTATCAATAAAATCAAGATCTTCGAAAATGCATTGCAAACTATTTCAAATCTAAACCATACCCTCAAGAAAAGAAATTCCAATTCTACTGAAAAAATAATAATAAGCAGCCAAAACAATTTAAAAGACCTGAAGGAAAAAACCCCAAAAAATCTTATGATCGGTACCTTTAAAAGGGTGCAGGTCAAATGACTTTGCCTTTTGATAGTGTCCTTTTCACTGAAAAATTTTGGCCGAAAATTGATCGAAAATTTTTGATAGTGAGACATTTGACCGAAAAAACCTTAATTTTCGGCCAAATGTCCGCACTATCAAAAATTTTCGACCAAATGGATTTCGATGAAATGCACAGTGTCAAAAATCCACGGTCGTTTGACATGAGCCCCTTTAAAAATAAATATCACAATTGCCCATCAAATCAGGAGCTCAATCTATCAACTTGCGCAATACCAACAACTCTAATTGACATTAAGCTAGCAAAAAAGATTGTTTCGGACTTAAAAAACTGGAAAACAATTCATGCGTTTAAGAAATCTTATTTTAACCAAATAAACTTGTCAGATTTAAGAAACATCACCATGCATCTTCAATGCTTTTCGTCAGAAGAGCTTCAAGACAGCTTATATAAAATCATGCTCTTATCAAGAGAGCACGATGATATTTCTTTGGCCTCTAGCAATGCTGCAACAATGTTAAAATTGATAGGATTCTCATTTAATTGCAGGTTTTTGCAAGGGATCAAAATTCCATTTGCTGATTTAACTCGTGGAGCTTTTATTTATACTGACTTTTCTAATTGTGATTTATCTTACACTGACTTTCTTCCATCGTTAATTGCTTCATCCAATTTTAGCAATTCCAAGATCCAGAGCCAGGCTCCTTTCGAAGCATTATTCCTTTCATCATCAGAAAAAATTTCTGAGGTAATAGTTTCCAAATGCAGCAAATATTTTGTTACAATTAGCGAGCCAGAGAAATTAGATGACGAGGATGAGTTATACGTAAAAAATTTTAAATTATTTTCTATGTTGACAATGGAACAAGTCATCACTCTTGGGCTATGGGTTCAGAAGAGCTACGAAACTGTTACAAAGTTCTCTTATGACTCAAATTTGATTTTTATAAACATAAGAGACTCATTTAACTCAGAAGTCAGAGTGTGGGATTTTAATAGAAATACTGTCAATAAATTAAATATTGAGTCCTCACCAATTCCATCCAAAATATTAGCAATCAATGAAGAAATGCTTGCATATTACTATACAGATTACATTTTTATAAAAAAACTGCCTTCTCTGCAGCTCATTGAAAAAATACTTATTTTCCATGGTTTGCTTTTAGATAGAATCATTTTTTCATCATGCTCTAATTACCTTTTATGAAGCGCAGTTGGGAAGATCACAATTTGATCGACAAAGTCAATATCATTATATAAAAATATTACAATTTCATCAGGAAGACCCTTCTCATTACAAGGGAAATTTCTTATAATTGAAAAAAATAACTATATGTACCAAATGTGAAACATTGAAAAAGAAGAGCCCTTTTTACAATTTAAAGCTGTTCAAATGAGCTATTGCACCATACCCTCAAGTGGCAAATACTTACTTATTTTTTCTCCTCAAAAATTCGGGCTGATTGAAATCGAAAATCAGCGTATGGCAATATTATACTTTAGAAATGGTAATTTACCATATAAAAATAATAAAATAATGGGAAGGGTATATGATTCAGGAATTATATCAGGATGCAAAGCAAGCAAACCTTTTAAAAACTTGCATTATAATTTAAAGCTAGACTTCAATGAAAATGATGCATTTAATTCAGTTTCATCAAATATTACTGCTTGTGGGCAAATGCTTGTCATTTTTTCAGCTTATTATGGGAAAATAAAATTGTGAAATGCAAAGCAGAGAAACTGGTGAATTGATTATGATGTTTCTAAATTTAATGCAAGGCATTATGAACTCTCTGGAAATTTAATTGCATGCATAGGTACGGAAATAAGCCAATCAGGAATTATGGATACGATAAAGATTATTGATGTAAAAGAAGGAAAGATTATAAAGACTGTTCAAACAAGTATTGATTGTGTCAAAGGGCTCTTTAAAGGATGCAAGATGGGCATGTATCTCTAAACAGATCTCTATAAAAAAAAAACTTACTTTTTAAGAAATTTATTTAAAATTTTGCTATTAAATGCTTTTGGAGGAAGATTGCCTATTTTATGAGCTTCTTTGCACACAGATAGTAACATTATTTAATGTAATTAATACTTATTTTAGTTCTTTCAGTGACTAATAAAATATATTAAAAATATTAAAATCGTTTTTTCTGAGACAGCTTTTTTTATTTATTGACATAGCAATTCTCTTTTTTTATTAAGAGAAGCTTTTATTTATTTTTAATATACTCCAAATGAATTTGCAAGCTACTTATAGCGTCATTTTGATATTATATGATGTAGTCAGCACTTATTTCGAGCGCATATAAGTTGCGTATTTTACCGACTTAACAGTATTATAGTTTACGCAGCTACAATTTTTTTCAGGAGCTTAAAATTGCTTTTACCGTTAAATTTAATAGTTTTTTACTCCTTATTATAACTTACTTGGAATAATTAACGATTTCTCATCGATGTGAAACGGTGAATTTTTTTTTTATTGAAATATTGGTTTTCTTTATCCTATGCACCTTGTATCTCTTAAATCTACAAAAGCCGTGTCAAAGTTAAAATTTCTCAGTGTTTAAGGGAAATTTGTGTTATTTCCAGGCAAGAAAATTTTTATCTATTTAGTATAGACTCAGGAGGCTTAATTCAATTTTTAGAAATAAATGATGGCGAAGATGAAGATTTCAAAATTTATTTTTCGTCATTTGTGAATGATATGTTTATATTTTATACTTCTTATGAGTCTTTAGTTATTTGAGATAGGAAAAGTAGTAATGTTGCTGACTGCAAAATTTATAAAATCAGAAATCTAAGAAATGAAATGATTGGATCGAGCAGCGGTAATTGATTAGGCTTTCCAAATGTTCTAAATAATTCGGCAATATATCTTTTTAACTGAAAAGAAAAAAACTTAACTCCAAGCAAAAAAAAAACATTATTCAAAGAATTTTAATATAATTTTTTTTTATAATATATATATTTATATAGAGTTTTTAAAATAAAAAATTAGCCCCTTTCTAAGAGTGAATTAAAAATTCTTGTACTCTTAAAGAGGGAGTAAAGAAACTGCTTTATAATGAAAACTCAAAAAATTATTTATATACGAAAATTTGCTTTTCAACCTGCGAAAATTACCTACTCCCTTGTCATTGATCTACTGACTCATTAGAAATTACATAAAATTAGAAATTAGCCCCTTTGATAGGACGATTATCATATAGTCACGCATGAAACCCTCTCCACTGACACCTCAAATCTAAACTGCCAATCTTTGATATTAATGAATCTTAATATATTGCATACTATAGTCTGTATTTCGTATTTTATATGGAAAAAAAAGTTTAATATAAAAATTTTCATTGTTTCGAAATTTTTCATTTATCAAATGAGAAGTTAGCCAGCACTGACAGGAATGAAATTATTATATGAGATATAAAGAAAGGAATTCAAATAGCTAAAACTGGAAGGATTTTTGAATGAATTGAAGGAATAATTTGGGCACCATGTGGGAAATATTTAATTTCTATTATTCCAGCTGAATCATTTCAATTATGAAGTATAGATGATACGATCAAAGAATATAACGAAAGAATAATAAAAGAGAAAAATGAAAAGTTGATAGTGAACTTAAAATTAGGATGGACTTCGGCTAACAATGAAGATATATCTTTTATATAAAGATTATTACTGGATAGCTAATTTTAAATTGAAATTAAAATACAAACTTAAATAAAGTATAAAAAAAATTAAATCCGATTCTTAAACTCTGATATCAATAAATTAACTTTGCATTATAGGCTCATAATCATAAAATGAATAAAATATTAATATAAGAGCTTTTAGATTTAGTATTTATTAACACATTATCTTTGTTAATGATTAATAAACAATTAAATTGCTTATACACAAATAATGCTTATAGATACTTTAGATGAACAAAGTCTCGTCGTCATAAATATTTTTTTAAAGAATTTAAAATATAATTTGAAAGGAATAATTAATTTAGTTTGCAACATTTATGTTTTAAAATAAATTCTGTTTTAAAATTTTATCATTAAAAAATTTTTACTTTTTTTCATATTTTTCCTATGACTTCACTCGCTCATGGAGGGGAGTAAGATGCTCTAATCCCCCTGATATGAAAGAAAAAATTTTATATTTTTCGAAGTTAGTAATAATTAACTATGCAATTAATTATAAAAGTTCTTATTAGATATGCAATTTATAGCAATTAATTATAAAATAGCGTAATCATGCATATAAAAAATTTCCTAGTTGTTCACTATTATTTGATTAGCGTGCTATCATTATTATCAATATAAAGAGAAATACTTTGTTTTGGCTATTTTTCTTCTTCTTAATCCATTTCAATAAGGGAAATAAAAGAAGATTTTATTTAGTATAGAATTATTTTAGGATTAGCAAATGAGACATATAAAGCTCAAGTAAATTATTGAGCTCAATTAAATTATGATGCAAATTTAGTGCATGCCTTGTTTCCTTCACTGAGAGCATGCTTCGCAAGTTCACCAGGGAGTATCAATTTTACAGAAGATTGGATTTCTCTGCTGCTGAGAGTTCTTTTCTTTTCATATATAGCAAGATTTCTTGCTTCGAAGCAGATTCTTTCGAAAATATCTTTGATAAATGAATTCATAATGCTCATTGATCTTTTTGATATCCCAATGTTTGGATGAACTTGCTTAAGGACTCTGTAAATGTACAGGGCGAAAGTTTCTGACTTATTTCTTCCCTTCTTATTTATGCGCTTGGCAATTGTTGACTTTGCTTTAGCTTTTCTATTTTTTGTCTTCCTTTTTGAAATTTTTTCAGGTATGCTATTGCTAAAAGCAGTATTTACTTTTGCAACACTTCCTTTAGCGATATTATTATTTTTTCTTGCTTGCTCTTCTTGCATCAAAATTTTTGCTTTATCAAAATCCAGTTGAGCTTCTTTTTTTCGCCCTAGATCATTGAGCAATGCTCCGCGATCAGAGAAGTATAGATGATTGTCAGGCATGAGTTCGATCGCTTCAGTAAAACATTCTATTGCTTCCTCACTCCTGCCTAAAGCTTTAAGAGCTAGGCCTTTATTATTATACGCCATAGCATAGTCAGGCTTGAATTCAATAGCTCTATTATAAAACTCTATTGCTTCAGCAACCCTGCCTAAAGTATCAAGAGCAGTTCCTTTACTATTGTAAGCTTTAGCATAGCCAGGCCTAAGTCTAATCGCCTCGTCAAAGCATTCTATTGCTTCAATATATCTGTCTAAGTCGCAAAGAGACAAGCCTTTATTATAATACGCAGAAGTTTGGTCAGGTTTAAGTTTTAATACTTCGTTATAACACTCTATTGCTTCTAAATATCTTTTTAAATCACTCACTCCCCCCCTTTAAATTTGAACAAAAATTTTTTGTCCAATTTAAAGGGGGTTAAGAAAATTTTTTTAAAATAAATATAAAATTTTTTATAAAAAAATTTATATAAAACTTTAAAAAAAAACAATTTCAAAAATTTATCGAATTAGATTAATAAATTTGCTTAATAAAATGCTATTTATTCTTTTTCCTTTAAAACTAAGCAAGATGTAACTAATTTTTTATTATTAGTTAATACGCCACTATTAATTGGTATCAAAACTATTTACACAAAAATTATTATTTTTATTGATAAAAAAAAAATTAAAACAAATTATCGATCAAAGTGCTAATTTTGTTTAAATAAGATGTTATTTATACTCTATTCTTTTAAAATAAAAGCGAGGGATAAGTAAATTTTGCATTTTTGTAAAGAATCCGCATTGAATTTATATCAAAATTATTTAAATAAAAAATATCATTTTTTTATCAAAAAAACAAAATTTTTTGAAAAAAAAAATAATTTATTTTAAAAATTTATCAATTAAGGATAATAAATTTATTTAAATAAGATGCTCTTTATACTCTCTTCTTTAAACAAGAGCAAGATATAACTAAATTTTTAATTTTAGTTAAGAAGAAACATTTAACTCATATCAAAACGTTTTACATAAAAATTATTATTTTTATATATAAAATTTTTTATTATAAAATTAAATTTTGTTCCAATTTAAAGGGGGCTAATTTATCAAAAAAGTGGAAATTTTACCTATATTTTGTTCCAATAATAAAGGGGGGAGTCAGATCATTTCCTTTATTAAAGTAAGCTTCAGAGTAATAAGGCTTTAGTTTTATCGCCTCATTATAAAATTCTATGGCTTCAAGCTGTCTGCCTAAATTACGAAAAGCAAGTGCTTTGGCATAATAAATTGATGCATCGTCTGGAATAAGCTTGATCGCTTCATTATAGCATTCTATTGCTTCTGGATTCCTGCCTAAGTCAGAGAGAACTAAACCTTTATTATAGAAAGCTTTAGCATAAGCAGGTCTGAATTTGATCGCTTGATTAAAATACTCTATTGCTTCGAGTTTTCGATCAATTTGCTTAAGAGCAATAGCTTTATTATAGTAAGAAGAAGCATCGGTGGGGTCGAGTTTGATGACTTCATTATAGCAATCTATTGCTTCAACATATCTTTCCAAATCCAAAAGAGCAGAGCCTTTATTATAGTGAGCGTTAGCATGATCAGGCTGAAGTTTGATTGCTTCACTATAGCATTCGATTGCTTCAAGCTTCCTGTCTAAATCCTTAAGAGCGACTCCTTTATTATAGTGTACATGAGCATCATCAGGCTTGAGTTTAATTGCTTTATTTCAGCATTTTATTGCTTCAAGATTTTTGCATAAATGATGAAGTGTATAGGCTTTATTGATGTATGCAGTAGTATAATTAGGCTTAAGCTTGATTGCTTCATTAAGACAGTCTATTGCTTCAACACTTCTGCCTAAATCATCAAGAGCACTGCCTTTTTCCTGGTAGGCAGGAGCGTAATTAGGTTTAAGCTTAATTGCTTCGTCATAGCATTCTATTGCTTCTTTTAACAAATTTTTGTCATACAGTTTATTCCCTTCTTTTAGTCAGTACCTATGATCTTTAGCTATAAGCTGATCCATAATGCAATTTAATTTATTAATCAAATATGAGATTATATACAGAATGCAGCTACGCCAAAAGGTGTAATGCGGCAAGAGAACTTATAGATTAGTGTGCTGTCTGGTATAATATCGATGAAAACGATGATTATAAATCCCTGGGCTGGCATATTAAAGATTATATAGATAATTAAGTTTGAATTCTGTTGGATAGGCATGAACGCATTAAATCCTTCATATTGATCTAAAATAACCCTGGTTTTAGCGTTTATCGGGTGGTCACCTTGACTTACTACCAGGGGCCAGACCGAAATCTCACCCTGCCTATCACATGTGGGATCAAAATATCTGACAAGGAAAATCCATAATCAAGGCTCTCTTCTAATGTTGTGCTACAATGGAATCTCATCCAGCACCAAAGAGCATTTAAAATATTTAGAATCTCTTACAAAAAGTTTAGCCTTACCGTTAACCTATTCTCCTTACTGTATGGAATCAGTTTCAAGGTATTGTGAGAAATCAGATGTTCTCCTGAACAAAATTCATAGATCAACTTCACCGGTTGTTACCAGCTTGGTTAGTCTTTGTTGAAAAAGGTTACCAGGTACATCCTTTGAACATCCATAATTTAATTATGACTAGCATATTACAAACTCAGGATATTTGCTCTTGTTTTGTGTGTGTAATTTGAAAATATTTTTGTGGAAAGTCAACAAATCAAGTAGCAATGAAGCAATTGTTTCGCTTTAATTATCTTTAACTAATTATTCTTACTTCCACCCCCTACCTTGATCGAACGATTGACTGTAAAAATTCCTAAAAATTGGTAAAACTAGCCCCCATCCTTGATCGAACGATTTCCATATCATGCAAAATTTTATATATATAAAAAATATATTTGTTATCAAAAGCTTGGGAAGATGTGCATAATGAAGTTGTTTTCAGAGACTTTGAGACGGCAGAAAGCTTCGGAATCAACTATCCGAAGTGATTTAGTCATCAACCTGGGCTTAAAAACTCAATAATCTAAAAAATAGAGATTCTTTAAAATTAAAAAATACAAATTTATTTAATAAGGAATAAATTAAAATTTATACAGTTTAAAGGGGTAACTAATAAATCAAAATATTAAATATTGGTATTTTTATGAAAATAATTCAATTTTTTGCTGTAAAAATAATTATTAAATCCTCTTAACACTCTTATTTAAAGTAAATAAAAAAAAAATATTATATATTTTCTATTTTATATATAAAAAATTTTTTTTTTTTTACCTCCATCCTTGATCGAACGACGGCGAGTTGTTCGATCAAGGATGGGGGGGGGAGATAATAAATTAAATTTTAATTAAAATATGAAAAACTATAGAATATAGATATTATTTTACAAATATATTAATATAAGTTGATTTATCTATACAAGTATATTTTTTAGTAAATCCTAAATAAAAAATTCCGATTAAATTTTTGTATGTATTTTATAGATATTTCAGAAATAATATTTTAAATCCGTTTACTTTCATTTGTAATTTTGATTGAAGATGAAATATAATACACCTGCATTAACTCAATCTTCTCTTCGTTATCATTCACCCAAAAATTATTTGATAACAAAAATCATTATATTTTTAATTAATTTTTCATCTTAGCTTTATAAAAGTTAATTTTCTAAATTTACATTAATTAATCATTATGAAAGTCAAAACGTATCATTTAATTTATTTTACAAAAAGATAGATAGGTTAGGGGGGTTTAGGGTTTATTTAGTGCAGAAAAGCCGCCGATAGGCCTTAAGGCCTTTTTTCCTTCACTTTCAGCTTCTTCAGGGGTTTGTACAAGTAACCTCAGTCCCTACAGGTCTTCCTTTAGCTTTTCCAGGGGTTTCTTCTTCAATTTCTTCAGGGATTTCTGCAACTTTCCCAGCGATTTCTTCAATTTCTTCTGGATTTTCCTCTGGGTTTTCCTCTGGGTACCTCTGGGTTTTCTTCTGGGTATTCTTCTGGGTTTTCTTCTAAGTTTTCTTCTGGGTTTTCTTCTGGTTTTTCTTCTGATTTTTCTTCTGGGTTTTCTTCTGGGCTCTCTTCTGAGTTTTCTTCTGGGTCCTCTTCTGGATTTTCTTCTGGGTTTTCTTCTGGATTTTCTTCTGGGGTTTCTTCTGGGTTTTCTTCTGGGTTTTCTTCTGGGGTTTCTTCTGGGGTTTCTTCTGGGTTTTCTCCTTGGTTTTCTGGAATTCCCTCTTCCATGATTTTTGCCGCAATTTCTGCCCCCTCTTGCTTGTCTCTTTCTGTTAGCAAAAGTCTTAGAGCATGCTCCACATTGCCGCCACACATGCTCCACATTGCCGCCACACATGCTCCACATTGCCGCCACACATGCTCCAGGCTTTCCCAGCAACTTCCCTACTGAAGCCTAGCTTTCCTAGCTTTCCTAGCATCTCCATATCCATTTCCCATTCTTTCATTTCATCCATCTCATCCATGTCTTCATCATCGAATTCTTCTTCTTTAGCTTCATAAAATTCCTCGTAAAATTCTTCAAAATCGCCACTATCTGTGCAATATTCGTCCCAAGAGTCTTCGCTACTTAAGTCCAAATACGCCATGTTCATGGCTAAATAAAAAGTAAATATAGATAGGTAATTCTGTTGATTCATTCTGAATTAGATAAAAAATCTCTTTACTACCTCCAATTAGTATGAAAAAAAAAAGTCTTTTAGTTGTGGAAAGAAGTTAAATTGTTTTTACATATAAATTTTAGAAAAAAAAATTTTATTCCAAAAAATTAGAAAACAAATATTAATTTAATTGATAAAATTTATATTTTTAAAAAGTAGTTTTAAAAAGTATAGAGAATTCTAGATTTTTATATATTAAATATCTCTTTAGTAACTTTATAAACATGTGAGCAGATCAGCTTTATCTTTTTATTCGTCACCTGTCAATTTTTATAAGAAATTTCTGAATAAATTGATACTATTATTATACAGAATTTAAAATCAAAATTTTGCATTGAAAATAACTATGGTATTAGGAAAAAAATAACCAGATAGTGGTTTTAGAAGCAAAAATCTTTGTTTACGTAACGTTATAAAAATATAGTAAAAAGAGGAGCTAATTATTCTACAATCAATTGCCAACTATTTAAGAGTTTTCTGTGTTTTTATTAAAACAGCTTACTCTCCCTCCATGGTTTAAAACAAATTTTTTTAGCATACTGAAAGGTGCTATTTTTTTTTAAATTATATATAAATTTTATAGATAAATTTAAATTTAAAATTCTAAAAATCGTAATATGAAAAAATTTAAAAACAAATATTATTTTAATTTATTAAATTTATGTTTGCAATTTCAATTTGTATAAAATTAAACAGAATCAGCTTTAGATTTCATTATACTAAATATCACTTATATATAAAAAATTTGTTTCATAAAAAAATTTTTAATTAGAAAAATTTTTGTTTCAATCACGTAAGGTGGGTCTTAGATCAATAAATAGAGCTTTTTCTAATGGTTTTGTTCACTCACGGAGGAGTGGGAGTAAGAAAACGAATACATTTCAACATTTTTTTTGAACAACTTTAGAATTTGTTCTGTCAACTCCTAGTAGCAACTGGTTTATAGCATTATGAGATATACAAATTGCCAGATAATGGCACTCAATGCGCCATTATCGGGCAACGTCTTTTCAGGGTCCACACTGGAAAATTGTTCAACGTGTGGAACCCTTTTTAACACGTGAAGAAATCCTCAATTTCACACGTCAAAAATGGTTCCAAGCATCAAGTGTGAACCCTTAGAAAGCATTGCCCGATGATGGCGCATTGAGTGCAATCATCGGACAATCAGTATATACTTTAAAACTCTTAAGCTATCATTTGAAAAGTTCCTTATCGCTTTTCTAAGTTCAGCTTCTTTTTAAAGGTAAGGATTTCTTTCTGATTCGCAAAAGTTTCAAAAAAACATCTAAGTCCGATATAACATATCAAAATCCTTTCGTACAAACTCTAACGCTACTAACAATTTTATAAACAGTAATCATTAATTTGCTTTTAAAATAAAAATTTCATTAAAGTTTCTGCTGCTTTATAACTCTGTATATGTAATAAGCTAAGTTTAATCATTATAAGGTGTAATTACTCCTGCAGCTGAAATGCTCTCTTTTCTCATTATTTTTAGTTATAATAAAAGGTTAATAATTCTGGAAACAAACATAGCTATTATTTTTTAGTATTAATTTGTGAGCTTGTCACTTTCAATATTGTTGAAAATCTGGTTATAAAACATAGCACTGGTGACTATCATTTTATTCTGAATCAGACTGTCAGGTTTGTTAAACTAAATATTTGTGTAAATGTTCAATATTTCGTAGCCTCTTAGGAACCTTACAGTGATATTATCTTTCTTCATATGAAGAATAGCGTACGCAATTGCAAGTGTAGGAGTGAAAGGAAGACCTTCTGGGATAGATACGACCAAGACCGTGATATCAAGGATAATTGATGACACAAGGCCTTACCATTCACTAGCTCCCCATTGCTCTGGTTTAATTGCATCATGCGACAAATAGGCAATCAGCACAAGTAACAGCAAAGTCACAGCAATATAACCAAACATTCTAATATTAAACGCCATTTCTCCAAGTTTTCCTGTAAAATAGATTCTGCTTCTTCATCACCTTAATTCATCATGTTTATATTTTTTTCTAGCACTGAATATTTTCAACTGTATAAACTAGCAAGACTTTATTTCCTTGGTTTATTTTGGCCATTGAAATCAAAAATGGTTCAGTGTCTGTATCACTAGACCTTACAACGTGTTTGATTTTTTGCTTGCTTTTTCAAGATATTGAACTTTCATCTACACTCAGCATATTTCCTCTAATCAATATCCCATTTACATAAAAGACCTTTCCAAACTAAACATAAATCAAATTACCTGTTAAAATAGCCTTTACAGGTATTTCCATTTTGATCTCATTACAAGTTGGAATTACGTGATAAAATTTGTCTCTATGCCCGGATTGATAACCTGATATTCTTTTACATAGTCATTTGTAGCAGTTGCACACACAACAAAAAAAAACAAGATCAATATTGCTGATCATTCAATCTAGCCAGAGGTAAGGTATTCAATGATCCTGATTACGAGGGAATTAATCACAGTAATTATAAGGATTTGAAAAACAATATCTTGAAAAATGTCACAAATAAATTCTAAAATCGAGATACGCTTTCTTACATAAAGGTGGTTATTCCTGTAGAGCTCATCACGGAGGCTGAGATCATGTATTCTGGAATTTATATCTTTGGTATAGCTTGTGAGCAATCCTTTGCAAAAACATGAAATTTCGTGTAAGTTCAAAAAAATAATAAGAAGAAGAGGCTTCGCAGCCACTTTAATAATTCTTAATTTCTTAGTATCAATTTAAAGGAGAGAGTGGAGTATATAATTATTATAATGACAGCTTATTACAAACAAATTATATTCTAAATCTGCAATTTTTGGAACAGCTCAATACGGTCTCGGCCTAATACGTCATTAATAAAATTGATATCTTTTTGAGAAAATTTCCATTCATCCTCAGTGAAAGCATCACTTAATTGATTTTCTTGCATCAAATTATAAGCCTTATTAAAGTCCTGCAAAGCTGCATCTTCTTGTCTGAGATTATTAAATACTCTAGCTCGGTTGCAGAAATGTAAAGGATTATTGGGTTCAAGTTTGAGTGCCTTATCATAACATTGCTTTGCTTCTTGGTATCTCTCTAAAGCATAAAGAGTATTGCCTTTACGATTATAAAATTTGACATTATTTGGATTTAATTTGATTGCTTCATCATAGCTTTCTACTGCTTCTGGATATCTTCCTAATTTATTTAAAGCATATCCTTTCTTCCAGTAAAAATCATCATCGTTTGGATTGAGTTTGATTGCTTCATCATAACATTCGAGTGCTTCTAGATATCTTCCTAAACTATAAAAAGAGTTGCCTTTATCATTGTAAAAGCCAGCGCTGTTTGGAATAAGTTTGATTGCTTCGTCATAGCATTCGAGTGCTTCTAGATATCTTCCTAAACTGTTAAAAGCTTTGCCTTTATCATTGTAAAAGCCAGCGTTGTATGGATTGAGCTTGATCGCTTTGTCATAGCATTTGATTGCTTCTAGATATCTTCCTAATCTATAAAAAGCGCTGCCTTTTTTATCGTAATATTTAATCTTGCTTGGATTGAGTTTGATTTTTTCGTCTAAGCGTTCGATTATTTCTAGATTTTCTCCTAAAACTCTTAGAGCAACATCTTTTAGATTTCATTCGTCTTGATAATAAGGATCGAGCTTAAAATTCTGGTTATTTCATTTTTTTACTTCAATCTTTTTACCTACTCTTCTAAGTGAGACATGCTCATTATAGTAAGCAACTTCAATAATGATTTTTTGATTTAAATTAAAATAATAATATTCTCTAAACGATCCATAAATAGTTGAGATGCATATTCCTGCTTTATTATATGAGCAATAAACTTGACCAGGATCATAAGAGATTGCTGATTTTCTAATTCGTCTCCAATTCGAGTAACTTCCAATTTCGCTTTCATAGATTGATCCACGGCATTCAATCAAATATAGTCTCTCTGCATTTATCAGGATCTTTCTATTCTCCTTTTCAAACTTATAAGGAATTGTCGAGAAAGAGTCAATATCAATTGAGTATAACAGAAGTTTTCTATTTTTCCATCCAGAAATCAAAATATTTCGATTAAATATTATAGTATTGCAGCAGTAATCAGCTTGTGGCATTGGAGCTAATTGGATTCAGCGATTTCGATCAAAATCAAATCTACTAGATAGATTTAAATAATCATAATCATTTAATCCTCCAAAGCAATAGACGCAGCTGTTGAAATAGATATAAGGCCCTTGATGCTTTATTGCAGTCTCTGACAGAATTTAACTTTTGGGAGATGAAAGCGGGAGATGGATTATATTTTTCTGTTGGGCTTGAGAAAAGATGGAATGGGTTATATAGATTATTGGATCTTTTATACACTCTCCTGCTGTGCAGCTTCCTCTCTTAAAATGCCAATACTCGGAAGATGAGCTGCAGTTTGGTCACATACCATATCATTTATATCATCAATATGCAGCTTCAAAAAATTATATATATGCAATAATCATTCTTTAAAACCAGCATACATGATGATCAATAGCAAGGAGTTCCAGATGGAGGCTATTTCTTATTGATTTCTTTTAAGAAGTGTTAGATTGAGTTCGTTAGAGTTGAAATTTAAATGAGAGTAAAACCATTTTATGGATATTTAAAGGAAGAGAGAGTACTTAATTTTTAAAAATAAAGACGATTTTTCTGTTCCAGATGGCAGCACTTCGATTCCACCATTCATATCAATTAGAACTGTAATTCCAGAAACTGGATTAGCTTTACCAAAACAGAATAGCTTGCCATTTGGAATTTGAGCTATGCAAGTGCCTCAGTCTACTGATTCTGGAAGCTCCAAGAATTCGGCTTCTTCTGTTTCAGTTTCAGTGTTATAAATAATTAAGTTATTTCTGTTGTTATCAACATTTTCTGTAATAGTATAAAGACATGTCTTTTGCTGATGAGCATTAATATAAGCTTGGTAAGCTTGCATTAGTGGTGGATCATAAAGAGTAGAATCGACCTGAATTGCTGAGCAAGTTGCTCTGAAATCTATCTCTAATTCTGGATTGTTTGCTCTACTCAAAATCTCAGCTCTTTTATTTCTTAAGGTGTCTATAAGGTTTAAAGCGCTTTCTGTTTCCTTTGGTTTATTGTTGAGATCATTAGTAGGGGTGCTTATTTGAGAATTAAGCAAGCTTTTCTCCTTTCCTGGGCTTTTTTTTATTGGTTTTTTTGCATTTTCAGGCTCTTTTAAACTCTCTCTGTTCTCATTTATTATCAAGGAAATCGAATTCTTAACGTTTGCTGACTCTATGCTTGTGGGCTTACTAGCTTTATTATACATTTCAGGAGTATTTTGCATATTTGTTTTATATGCCCCACATATTTCTGTAAAGAAGGATCTATTTATACTCTCTAACTTTTGATTGAATATATAAAACAGCTCCTCACCGTTACATCAATCTCTGCTGGCTATGGTCATCAATTTCACTTTCTCATTAGCTTCTTGAGGCCGTAAAACCTTTAATTAATTAGGTAGAGAAATTATGGCTAGAAGGATTTAACGGATCTATTTCAGCCCTGAGCAGGAGGATTTTAGCTTAATAGCAAAGATTATAAAATGAGGCCCATTTATGTAGCAAATTACTTTAATCCAGCTTAATTAATATTTTTGCCTCTAAGTTAAACTTGAAATATCTAATCTTATTCCAATGGTGTGCAATGTTAATTCCTCCTTTATTATATGACAAATAAACTTGCATAAAATCATTTATTATTGAGTCTCCAATTCGTCGCCAGGCAGTGTCATTTAACAATTCGCTTTCATAGATTGATCCATTATCACATTCAATTAAATAAAGTCTCTCTGCACTTATAAGAATCTTGCCATTATTAGCTTGAAAATCATAAGGAATTGTTGCGAAAGTGTTGCTACCAATTGAATACCTCAAAAGATTTTTATTATCCTGCCCAGAAATCACAATATTCCCGTTAAATATTACACTATTACAACAGAAATCAGCTTGTGGCAATGGCTTTAATTTAATTCATCGATTTTCATTTAAATCAAATCTCTCTGATAGAGTTAAAACATCATTATTTCATCCTCCAAAGCAATAAATACTATTATTGAAATAGATAGCTGATGAGTGTTTGCAAGGAGTTTCAGATGGAAGCTCCCGAACTCTATAATTCTCATCAATTATCAATGAAACTCCAGAAGGTGGGCTATTACCAAAGCAAAATAGATTACCATTAGGAAGCTGAGCGATACAAGTGCCAGTATTAAGTGGTTCAGAAGTCTCTACTATCCTGACTTCCTTACTATCATTTTCTGTATCATAAATAATCAAATTAGTTTTGTTGTTTTTATTTATAATTGTATAAAGAGATGCTTTTTGGCGATAGGCATTAGTATAATCTTGAAAAGCTTGCTGGAAAGTTGGATCATCAGTATATATATATCTACTGTACTTTGAGCAGGCTCTCCTAAAGTCTTGCTCTAATTCTGGGTCATTTAGTCTATTTAAAATTTCAGATCTCTTCTCTCTTAGCTCTTCAAAGGTTTTTGGGCTTTTTCTGCTTCATTATTTTTGATCAAATCTGGAGAAGTCTTAATTATTTGAGAATTAAGCGGGTCTATTTCAATTTTTGCTTTAGGTATTATTTTTTCTTTCCAGTCTCTTATTTCTCTCTCACTTTTTATATTCTCATTTATTAGTTTAGAAATAGTGTCTTTGATGTTTGCTATCTGATCATTAGTTGAGTCAATGATCTTTTTATTCTCTTCGTTGACTGATTTAATAGCTTTATTGTGATCTTGAAGAGTGTTTTCTATATTAGACAATCTTTTATCTAAATAAGCTTCAAATTTGTCTTCGATAAAGCACTTAATCATTTTTTCAATTTTTTCACTGAGAGCACAAAATAGGTTTGCACTTTTGGAACATTCTTGATTGGTTGAAATAATTTTTTTTAATTTCTCAACAGCTTCATCAGGTTGCAATCTCAATAATCCTAAAATCGGGTCTTGCTCTGATTTTAAAAGTTTTTGAGTTTGGGAAATTTTTGTAAAATAATTGTTTAGCTCAGCCGAGCCTGAATTCAAATTTTTTAAGAGTTCTCTAATTTCAGTTTCTGATTCAAGCAAACGCTTGCTAAAGGATTTTAGGATTTTCCCCCTCTGTTTGATATTTTTTGATTTTTTTCTTGTAAGAAACTTAAGAATTTCTTCTTTTGTCTCTTGACATGGCTCTAAAAAAATTGAGTCGCAAGCATGAACTCCGTTAGGGAGCTTCATGTGCTTTAAAACATGCAATTCACAGGATAGAGTTTCAGGAGATGTGCATGGGCAAGAGTATTCAACCTCATGCTTGCATCCTGGCTCGAAGCATTGCATAAGCTCCATTAATTATAACAATAATGGCTAAATTTTATCTAAATCTGCTATATAGGTAATAGCACAAGAGCATCAAATGAGATCTATTAAGCCTCTTAATAAGGCAGTGAAGTTATTGATTTTTCTTTCAAGTTATACTGGTAGCGTCTAAGAAAATTATAATTCGTTATCTATTAAATGAACTGCTAATATACAAAGACATTGATAAATACCAATATATGACTATTGAAAATTATTCATATTTGGGGCGATAATAAAAGAAAAGAAGGAAAGATAAAAATTTTATAGATGCACCTATAAATTTTTGATACTTGTACTAATACAATCAATAATCCTATTTAGAGCAAATATATGCATAAATAATTGAAAACAAAGAAGAATTTCTCCCCTAGTTTCCAAGAATGCTTATCTCAAACTTCGCATTCAAATATGAGGCCATATCACAGCATCCAATCAAGTGCAATCTCTTACCCGCACTTTCTTTATCTTTTTTGCTACGGCCAATTCTATTGATTTGTGGCATTGGGACTAGCTTAATTCAATGATTTTTCTAACTCTCTCTCAATTGGAGTTCTCTAAAATTAGGAGTTCTTATATAATCTTAATGGAATAATATAAAACTTGTAAATTTATGATGCTAAAATTGAAAAAAGAAAAGATAAGAGTGAGTAATGGAAATCAAAAAAACTTTAGACCATATAGGACTTACATTATTTGACTCCCAAATTGAGAATTATTTAGTTAGGTAAAAGGAATCAAATATATGGGATAACTCTGATAGTTATAATATTAGAATACTTCCATCTGGAGCAGTGCATCTAAGCTTTTAACTAATAAGTATCATTTTTTCTATTGCGCCGCTTGAAGGGAAATATAAAATTGCCTGGCTCTAATAAATTAAAGATTGCCTGAAGTAACTAGTTGATGTTTATCGGGCATTCTACCTTTAATTGAATTGGAAGATTAGAGCACCGATTCATATTCACGAATAATTATAGACTCTTCAAACTCAAATAATAATTTGTTTCAATAGAAAACTTTTGCTTTGGCTCAGTAGTCTAAATTTTATCCTTTTACATTCTATAAGTTTTATTTGGAATAATACAGAATATCTAGAAATTTTAAAAAATAATTTTTTTTTAACTTATATAATAGCCAGTCAAAATAGATTCAGAGAGAACTTAATGGTGTTTATAAACGTGGAAGGAGATTCTTATGCAATAAAATCATATTTAATGACAAGCAAAATATTTTTTTCATGTCTTGCTTCATATAATGCTTTTCTTGCCAAAATTATTCTGTAGCTAAAATATATTCGCAGGCTCCAAATATTATAATAATATTTTCATTAAAATAAATTGCATTAAAATTATCACATGAAGTAAAATTACCAAAAATAAAATTCTTAAACATTAGAACTGAATTATAATTGGAATATTGGTAGAATGATCTATAATAATAAACTCATATTTTCCATTAAGAACTGTTTTTTTGCATTTTTAACAAAAATTTCATAAGTCCTTTCATAGCAAGATTGTATTTTTACTAATGAAATTTCTTTAAGGTTATTTTCCAATTGCACAGGAGAGAATTCAGGATTAACGTTTTCTGAATTGATTTCGTTTATTAGAATTGAAACTTTGATGGAATAAATAATAAATTCTGGTTCCAAAATATTTTAAAGTAAAAATCAATTTATTATATAAATTTCTAGCAATATCATTATAATAATTATTAACGATAGATCCAATAACCTATATAAAAAATAATTGCTTGCAGAGTTATTAATCTTCTAAATTTCCCCTTTAAGAGTTAGCAAAATCATTGGAAAATTTATCCCTTTAATGCAAATTTTATTGAAAAATATATTTTTCATATAAAAAAATAATTCTATAATTAAATAATTGCCATAAATTTATAATAAAAATAGATTTTTCTTTCTAATTAGATCTTTTCATCGAAAAAAAATTCAAATAATTTTCTTTTAACCTCAAGATATTGTAAAGAAGAGGGAGTAAAAGTAGGATCTTTTAATAGCTAGATTGCAAAAGTAAGAAGAAAAAATGAGGCTTTTGAATGTTTATACAAAGCACTAGAAATTGATCCGGGTGCAGATGCAGTGTGCAACGACATAGGGAATATTTATTATAATGATAAAAAATATAGAGAAGCTTTAGAATATTATGAATACTCTATAAATCTCAACCCAGAAAATGCAGCTTATTATAGAAATAAAGGAAACGCTCTTTTTGGGTTAAACAATATAGCAGATGCTATACAATGTTTTAACCGTGCCATTGAAATTAACCCAAATTTTGATACAGTTTACAATGAATTAGGACAGATTCATAAAGATAATAAGAATTATAGTTTTTTACCCCTTTTTTATTAAAAATAAGAGTCATAAGCCCCCACAACCTCGATTTTGCAAATCTCCCCTATATTGAAATTCTAAATAGGGGCTAAAAAAATCCACAAATTTTATTGAATCTTATTGATATTTTAAATAAAGAAGAGATACCAGTTGAGATGGTTCAGTGACTCTCAAGGAGATTAAAAGAAGGAATGGGCTATATCTAGAAGCTTTGAGATGTTTTAGTAAAGCAATTGAAATAAATCCCAGGTGTGCACTTTATTACAGAAATAAAGGATATACTATGAAATATTTGGGTAAAATAGATGATGCTAAAGCGTGCTTTAGAAAAGTCATTGAAATTGATTCAAACGGTGATGCAGCATAAATGAAATGGGAAATATATTTTGAAATGAAAAAAATTTTGAAGAGGAATATAAATATTACAGTTGAGCTGTAAAGATAAATCCAAATTCTGCGCTTTATTGAAGAAATGCAGGAGATACTTTAGATAAGCTAAAAAGATACAATGAATCAAAGGAGTGCATAAAAAGAGCTAAAGCATTGGAAAAAAATTCTAAGACTTAGTTGGTTTGATGGTTATTTGAAAATTAAATAAATTACGCTTTTTACTTATAAAATCTTTAAAACATGTAGTTTGGGAAAATATTAATTTTTAATAAATAGGGTGTTAGGGTGTTAGGGTGTTAGGGTGTTAGGGTGTTAGGGTGTTAGGGTGTTAGGGTGTTAGGGTGTTAGGGTGTTAGGGTGTTAGGGTGTTAGGGTGTTAGGGTGTTAGGGTGTTAGGGTGTTAGGGTGTTAGGGTGTTAGGGTGTTAGGGTGTTAGGGTGTTAGGGTGTTAGGGTGTTAGGGTGTTAGGGTGTTAGGGTGTTAGGGTGTTAGGGTGTTAGGGTGTTAGGGTGTTAGGGTGTTAGGGTGTTAGGGTGTTAGGGTGTTAGGGTGTTAGGGTGTTAGGGTGTTAGGGTGTTAGGGTGTTAGGGTGTTAGGGTGTTAGGGTGTTAGGGTGTTAGGGTGTTAGGGTGTTAGGGTGTTAGGGTGTTAGGGTGTTAGGGTGTTAGGGTGTTAGGGTGTTAGGGTGTTAGGGTGTTAGGGTGTTAGGGTGTTAGGGTGTTAGGGTGTTAGGGTGTTAGGGTGTTAGGGTGTTAGGGTGTTAGGGTGTTAGGGTGTTAGGGTGTTAGGGTGTTAGGGTGTTAGGGTGTTAGGGTGTTAGGGTGTTAGGGTGTTAGGGTGTTAGGGTGTTAGGGTGTTAGGGTGTTAGGGTGTTAGGGTGTTAGGGTGTTAGGGTGTTAGGGTGTTAGGGTGTTAGGGTGTTAGGGTGTTAGGGTGTTAGGGTGTTAGGGTGTTAGGGTGTTAGGGTGTTAGGGTGTTAGGGTGTTAGGGTGTTAGGGTGTTAGGGTGTTAGGGTGTTAGGGTGTTAGGGTGTTAGGGTGTTAGGGTGTTAGGGTGTTAGGGTGTTAGGGTGTTAGGGTGTTAGGGTGTTAGGGTGTTAGGGTGTTAGGGTGTTAGGGTGTTAGGGTGTTAGGGTGTTAGGGTGTTAGGGTGTTAGGGTGTTAGGGTGTTAGGGTGTTAGGGTGTTAGGGTGTTAGGGTGTTAGGGTGTTAGGGTGTTAGGGTGTTAGGGTGTTAGGGTGTTAGGGTGTTAGGGTGTTAGGGTGTTAGGGTGTTAGGGTGTTAGGGTGTTAGGGTGTTAGGGTGTTAGGGTGTTAGGGTGTTAGGGTGTTAGGGTGTTAGGGTGTTAGGGTGTTAGGGTGTTAGGGTGTTAGGGTGTTAGGGTGTTAGGGTGTTAGGGTGTTAGGGTGTTAGGGTGTTAGGGTGTTAGGGTGTTAGGGTGTTAGGGTGTTAGGGTGTTAGGGTGTTAGGGTGTTAGGGTGTTAGGGTGTTAGGGTGTTAGGGTGTTAGGGTGTTAGGGTGTTAGGGTGTTAGGGTGTTAGGGTGTTAGGGTGTTAGGGTGTTAGGGTGTTAGGGTGTTAGGGTGTTAGGGTGTTAGGGTGTTAGGGTGTTAGGGTGTTAGGGTGTTAGGGTGTTAGGGTGTTAGGGTGTTAGGGTGTTAGGGTGTTAGGGTGTTAGGGTGTTAGGGTGTTAGGGTGTTAGGGTGTTAGGGTGTTAGGGTGTTAGGGTGTTAGGGTGTTAGGGTGTAGGGTGTTAGGGTGTTAGGGTGTTAGGGTGTTAGGGTGTTAGGGTGTTAGGGTGTTAGGGTGTTAGGGTGTTAGGGTGTTAGGGTGTTAGGGTGTTAGGGTGTTAGGGTGTTAGGGTGTTAGGGTGTTAGGGTGTTAGGGTGTTAGGGTGTTAGGGTGTTAGGGTGTTAGGGTGTTAGGGTGTTAGGGTGTTAGGGTGTTAGGGTGTTAGGGTGTTAGGGTGTTAGGGTGTTAGGGTGT